CTGGCCCTCCTCCACCTAAAAGAGAGGAATCCTTCTCCAGAGGACCAAGAAGTGGTGGTTATGGTTCTGAACGTGGTGGAGGTTACGGTTCCGAGCGTGGTGGTGGTTATGGTTCCGAGCGTGGTGGTGGTGGTGGTTACGGTTCCGAGCGTGGTGGTGGATACGGGTCTCAACGTAGTGGTGGTGGTTACGGAGGGTCTCAACGTTCCAGTTATGGTTCGGGGTCGGGGTCTGGTTCGGGCTCAGGTTCAGGAAACCGTCTCTACGTGGGCAACCTTTCTTGGGGTGTCGATGACATGGCACTTGAGAACTTGTTTAATGAGCAAGGAAAGGTTGTTGAAGCCAGGGTTATATACGACAGGGACAGTGGTAGATCCAAGGGTTTTGGGTTTGTAACTCTTAGCTCTTCTCAAGAGGTTCAAAAGGCCATCAATTCCTTGAATGGTGCTGTAAGTATCATCATTTCTCTTCTTAGCATAATAATTTATTCAATTAGTACTTCTTACTGTTAAATCTAACACATGTTTTTCTTCCCTAAAGGATTTGGATGGAAGACAAATAAGAGTCTCGGAGGCTGAGGCTAGGCCACCAAGAGGCCAATTTTGAGCGGCCAGGCCACTTTAAGTTCTCAAAAAATGCAGATTCTGGAGGGTAAGACACTCAATTCTCAGCCATGTTCTACTATTTCCATTCTGAATCATAAATTGCCTGACTAAAGACAGTTGAATATTGAATGTAACAGGTTCTTTGAAGCATATGGGGTTAGTGGACAATGGCGGTTTCAGACAGTAACTAAAACTCACTGCTGGTGCACGCTAGGCTTTATCCGCCTTTGATGCATGAAGGTCGTAAAGGAATGGTTTTTTTTTGAGAAAGATAACAATTAGATTAAAGCAGAGAGCCCATGTTTCTTGTCTATCTGAATCCTGCGAGATTGGTTGTAGTTGGATTTGCATTTTCTTCTTGTCTTTTTTTTTGTTGGTATTTTGACACAATTTGGCTTTTTGGCATATGAGAGTGACTGTAGCAGTCTGTTTTTATTTAATGGTTTGATCTTTTATGTTCTAAAAACCAGTTTTCTTAAAACTTTACAAATCTCGATATGGAACAAGAAAATTTCTGGAAGGCTTATTGTCTTGAGGTTGTATAATCAGTTCTTATATGAACCAAATTGGAAGAATCATGATAAAAGTGCATGCTCTGGATTCATTCAAAACTTTATAGTTTGGTATAATCCGTATTACATCCCAATTTTATTAAATGGGCATAAACGATTGAAATGGGCCTAAACCTGAGATTGATTCGGACTAATAGCTCGGCCCACTGACTCTTCTAATTATCATTTTTAATCACTTCAATACATATGGTGTGCGGATGTCACGTGACGAAGGTATCTTCGACGTCATTACGCAAGAAAATGAAAAAAAAAAGAGCGAAAAAAAGAATTGATTGGTAGAACGAAAAGGTAAGAACAAATGGGGCATAGCAAATGACCGAAAGCAGGAGAAGGAACATTGAAGTGAAGAAATGGAAGATTATGTCTCAAAAATAAAGAACACAGAAAATAAATGTCACTTTGCTCTTTCACCATCATACTTCCACCACTCCTCCTGCCTACAAGTTAGGCCTTTTACTAACTCTTTTTCGTTTTGTCTTCGTATATCATCAATCAACCCCCATGAAACTAAATATTTATGTAATTCTATATACACTTATGTTATATAGAATTAGAGATGACGTATATTATTAAAGTTGACTAATGAAATAGAGGCGAAGCCAACTCTTTGGGAAATATTAATCAGAAGGTTAAGTAACGAATTATGTTTGGAAAATTACGTACGAATTAATTATATACTGTACATATCTAAATGAACATATACACCATTCATAATGAATGGTGTACTCTCATGGCAGATTTTGGGCGGTCGTAATTGCAAATTGGGGGCCCTTGTTACTTTACTAGTACAGCTGCAGTTGATATGGTCGTAATTTGGCTCTTTCATTAACATCAAATTAAATATGATTTGTTGGAAATCAAAAAATTTCTAACCAAAAAACAATTAAAATAAAGTTATTTGTCTGATCAAATTAGAAAGCTTGGAGCCTTTTCACTGCTCTTCTGCTTCATCTGTATTCGGCGCACATTTTATATACAAACATCCATACATGCATCCATCAAATGGATCATATATATATTAAGAGTATTCTACTTTTCATTTGATGCAATTTTAATACAGTTATATAATCCTTCAAAATATATTCAATTAACCGAGTAATATAATTCTCTTGTATCTCAAGAGAACTTTTTTTTTTTTTTTGTCATCCATCTAAAGAGAACTTTTGATATGAAATCAAAACCAAAATATGGAATTTACTTTTGATCATCCATTTTGGTATATAACCTTCATTTGCTTTTGATAATCCATTTTGGTATATAACCACAACCATTTGAGGTTTACTATAACAAATTAATATTGAATATATCGAGAATGAACTAATTATGTGGTTTTATTACACTACCATCATAGTCGATTATAATATTATTGTAAAATAGGTTTGAAAGTTAGAAACCCAAGAGGAATGTGGAGTGGAGTAAGAAGAAAACAAAACAAAAGAGTTAAATGCGCATGCAGGCATGCAGATACAAATACACATTGGTTTCAAGAAGTAATTATTTGTTTATAATCTCTAAATTAACCCAAAATATATAAACCTCATAAGGCAGCTTGCAGTGAGTTCTTGGGATTGCAATTTTTCTAGTTTAATTCACAGGACACACACTTATTATATGTACCTATGTCCAATTAAGTATAAGAGTATGGGGTTACTGTCCAATGTCCATGGAAGAAAGCAATTTAGTAGCTTACGGAATAAAAACAGCTAGCTATAGTTCCATACTACATAGTACTAAGATAATTTAATAACCTAATAGCACGTGGAGTCTACAATTTCATCATAAAACTTTTCTTTGTAGTAGTATGCTTGTGTTTTGTGACACATAACGAGGGTGCATCGGTACGTAAAGATATTGGCCTCTCCAAATTATTCATCAAAACCAAAAAAAAAAAGAGTGCCTCCTTCCTCACCAATTTACAAACTACCGGAGTCCGTCCCGGTGAAAAAAAATCATATATGAAACCCTAAATTTGCTTCTTCTTTTGATAAATTGAACACTTATGTACTTGTTTTCACGTGCTCATGGAAAACGATGTAAAGATGGTTTCATGTTTCTATCTCATCATTTGAACGAACTTGCTACTAGCTAAATATAAGTCATTGCTTCGAAGCCAAGCACAATCAACCTTTTACATACATTGACTACATTGAAGTACCCTCATTTGTTTGTCACATTGGATCCTTATAGTATATCATTGTGTTGGATTATTCTTAATACATGTAATCATATATTTTACGTAAAACAACTACTATGTGTGGATAAAATTAATATAAACGGCCATGAGTAAGATATCCATTATCCAAATGCACAGGGATATGGGTAAAGCTAAGAGAGCTTATAATATCTCTACAAAAACAATATTATAAGAACAAAAAAGTAAGGTAAGTGGAGTAAATATTCAAATAAATGATTTTAGAACAAGATAGAAGGAGGAGGTTGTCTACATAGGGAGGGTAAATGAGAGTACATTGATAATAAAAGCCATAACTCATCTTGTAGTGAATTCCTTATTTCAATCATCAATGGCACATTGCTCCATAACCCAGACATCATCATTTATAAGTATACATTTTTATATCAATATGCTACATGTCTGTGTATCTCATCACTAGTTTGATCACACTTTCATTTAAATATTAGAGAGAGTTAAAGTAAATTATGTTTGGACCCATCTTATATGTTCAGATATATGTTGACAATGAAATGTTTTTATTTTCATTGTCGAAAATGAAATTTTTGTTCTGTTCTTCAAAAAGGGAATCAAAAAGTGAGGTAGCTTTATATCTAAATCAGTTTCTTTAATCTAAAGATGTTTTCTTTGTCACTTCCCATTATCTTTCGCACGGCAAATTTAAAATCATTTTGAAACATATAGATAGAAAAAAATGTAAAGGATATTTCATTTTCAAGTATGTAGTTTTCTTTTAAAATATTATTAATATTAATGTATATGGTTATATCTTATATCCAATAATTTTGGTAAAAAAGTGATTCATTATCAATCTCTACTTCTCGTCAAGTTGGAGTTATATAAATCTTTAAAATTCTTATTGTGGAATTTAGTCTTTTCCGCCTATAAATATATGTTTTTGGCTCGTCAATAAAACAGTTTATAAGTAACATAGAGAGAAATTAACCAAAATTCTTTCTAAAACACAATTTTTGTCTTCAATACACGAATCCTTTGAAAAGAATATCTCCACTACAAGAAACTTTGAAAACTGTCATGCTGAAAATTTAGTTTATCTCTCATATATAATCTTACATAGTAATTCGACTAATTTCCTATAAAATTTAAATTAAACATCCATTCCATTTTGAAATTTATATTTTGGTTCCAAATTCTTTGGAGTTAGTAAGTAGATAATAGAAAGTTTTATATATAGAAATATATTTTGAAATGTTCAATTAAAAAAGAAAATAGAAAATGTGGAAACACAAATAAGACAATTAGAGGAAAACACAAAGAAGTGGTCCACGCGTGCCAACATGAAGTGTATGTGCGGGTGGCTCATGGCTGCGACGCGCATGCTTCAATCTCTCACGTGTGAAAAATCCCAAAAATAAAAGAACAAAAAAACTCTTTAAATAATATACTGTAATGAAAAAATTTCCATAGATTAATTTTTTAAAATAAAAACGATTAAGAAAGAGCATGACGAGAAAACGCACTGTGTAACTATATTAATAACAACAATCCCCAACTCTCGAAAGCATTATTTAGTAGGCAAAGAAAAGAAACACCACAACTCTTAAAGTGTCGAGCTTTTTTCTTCTTCTTCTTTGACACTTGTACGTTTTGTACCTGTCGTTTATGTTATTTAAGGAAGCAAACCCAACCGAGAGATTTCATTAACAAATCCAAACCAAAGCTACTTGTTTTTGTTTTCTTTCGGGCCAAAAGTTTAGATTTTTGCTTAGCTTGAGCTCTCATCGTAATCAATGGAGGTCAACACTGAAACCATGCAAAAGTCAAAGTTTGGAAGAATCTGTGTGTTTTGTGGAAGCAGCCAAGGCAAGAAGAGTAGTTACCAAGATGCTGCTGTGGATCTAGGCAACGAATTGGTATTATTACATAAACCTTTGGATTTTTCTCTGTGTAGTTATTACTCTGTTTCTTGGGTTTTTGCAGTTTTATGTTCACCAGATGTTTGTGAATATGTTTGTGAGTGTTTGTTTTTGCAAATGCAGAGCATTTACTCTGTTTTCTACTTTGAAAACGCTCTTAAATATTGCAAGTGAAAAAATCTTTTAAGTATTGTTGATGGATTTGTGCTTCTTTCATACCTCAAAAAGTTCTTTTTTTTTCCTTTTTATCATATAATCATATTCATCTTTTATGATTTGGAGCCCACATATTCCGCATGGGAATGTTTGTCTCAAATAACAATAGAGCATCTTTGGCTTTGATTTCTCTTCTTAGCTCATTTCTGAAACTATCTGTAATGAGAAAGATGGTTTACTCTGTTTTTCGTTTACTATTACAGGTTTTAAGGAACATTGATCTAGTCTATGGAGGTGGAAGCATAGGTTTGATGGGTTTGGTTTCACAAGCTGTTCATGATGGTGGTCGCCATGTTATTGGGTAACTCTTCATCTAATCACCATTTAGGTGTCATACTTGCTTACTCAAGTATCTTAATAAGTCTCTTTTTCTCATCTTTGTTGTTATTTGACCACAGAGTTATTCCCAAGACGCTCATGCCTAGAGAGGTATTCTTGCTTTTAATCCCTAAATCAAACCCTTTTGATCTGAATCATCCTCTTTTTTCATGTTAATCAGTACTTTTTTATGATTACCTTATCTTCATCTCTTTTATTGAAACAAAAAAAAAGAAGTTTTTATTTTGAGAAAAGGATAAAATGAAGAGCTTCTTAACTAAAGTCTTGCTGTGAATTTAAAATAAGCCAATTTGCTTACAATGCCATCATTGCTTCTGGTCATAGAACAGTCTAAAGCTGCTTTTTTGTTTTCCTTTTAATTTTGTTTAAAGTTTCAAGATTGTTAGTTAATATTTTAAATTTTGGATGCTCTCTCTTTTGGCAGTTGACCGGTGAAACAGTAGGAGAAGTAAGAGCAGTTGCAGGTATGCATCAAAGAAAAGCAGAGATGGCTAGACACTCTGATGCTTTTATTGCTTTACCAGGTTAGTAGTATTGATTTCTTCAAATCTTGAAATTGTTCAAAGTCCCATCAGTTTTTAATGTTAATTATGTCTTCTATATGTAAATCTCTCTTACAAGCTCAGTTACCCAAACAAGTAATGATTATGTAAGATAAAACTGGTCAAGTCTAGTGACAGCATTGTTTAAGAATCTAATGAGCATCATTTTAAAGCTTTTTAAATTCTAAATTGTGGAAAATCAAAGTATTAAAGAAGAATAATGCTGATTAAAAAATAGCACCGAAAAGTGTTTAACTCTTTGACTGTTTTTGTTGGCCAAAGAAGATGGAAGAAGAAAATGTTGGTAAAAAACATGTTTTGTTTCTTGGTCAAACTCAAGCTGTAGTGTGAAAGCAACTGTTTCAAGTTTAAAAATTTTAAAGTATATATTGGTTTGCTTTGAAATGATTTTTCGGTTTTTATATGGACATAATTCTGAATATAATAACTATAGATGCCTTGACCCATCGACATCTCGCACTGAAAATTAGACCAGTCTCTGCTTCTTTTTTTCTCTTTGCCTTTTACTTGGGAGCTACTTCTCTATTTAGCTTGTGTGTGTTTAGTGTAACTGTGACCAAAGTTTTAATGTTTCTTACCTGTTTCATGTTAAAAGACAAAAACCTGAAACAGTCTCAGAAAAAAAGCATGTTTTTCCCATCTAAGGAAGTCTTGTTCTTCAATAAGACCTGCTTTTTTTTTGTTGTTGTAATCATGTCCATATGTAAATAGAGTCAGAGGATAAGTTTCTGCAGATGAAGCATAGTTCGGTGAATTGACCATTTAATAATAATAATGTTTATGGATTATAATGTCTTCTGCTTTAAAAAATTGCAGGTGGATATGGAACACTTGAAGAGCTTTTGGAGGTCATAACATGGGCTCAGCTTGGTATACATGACAAACCGGTAAAGAACCATCACTATGATCCTTATAAAGATTCAGACTTTGGTTTGGTGGATAACTTTAAACGCAGAGTCATTAAAAAACTAAGTATCATTGTTCCTCCTGCAGGTGGGTTTGCTCAATGTTGATGGATACTACAACTCGTTGCTCTCTTTCATTGATAAAGCCGTTGAAGAAGGTTTCATCAGTACGAACGCACGCCAGATCATAATTTCTGCACCTACTGCTAAGGAGCTTGTAAAGAAGTTGGAGGTATGTGACAATTGACAATTTAGTTGATCCAAAAAGGTTTTCAAATTGAAAACATATAAACTGTGTTGTTGTTTTTTGCAGGAATATTCGCCTTGCCATGAAAGTGTTGCGACTAAGCTTTGTTGGGAGATAGAGCGGATTGGCTACTCTTCTGAAGACTGATATTAATCAGAATTTATCTAAACATATAGCTATTAATACTTAATGTCAGGAGGATTTAAGATGGGTCTTACTTAAGGAAGGAAACAGATTTTGAAGATCTCTGAACTTTTAATTAGGAAGGGTAAACTAAAAATTTCCACTGAGGGAGGAAATTCTTTTGTGTAAATTACTACTACTTGTCTTTAAGACTTTAACTCTCAAGTGTTCTTGTTTCTAAGAATCACTTTCTTCTGTAACTCAATTAAGGAAGGTTAACACCTTTGGCTTTTTAGTTTTCTCTCTTATGATTTATATTAAACTTTATATGCAAAAAATATGGAACCAAAATTTGATCATTATATTAAAAAGAGAATCAATTTTCTTGACTATACAACATCTGACTAAACTAAACTCACTCAAGTAGTTTCAGTCTCATGGTTACAAAACTAAGATTCACAGTAATGCCTTACTCTAATCTCTACGCTCTGTGCCCTAGTACAATCAAATCTATCTGGCTAGAAACAACTAGATTTCATCTTCTTCGTCAGTTTCACCATGATCATAGCAAAACTCTGAAGAACTAGATGAGTTCTCAGCTTCCAGACCCTTAAGCTTTTGGATTGCATCTTGTACATCAAAGAACAAGGCATCCTTAGCTGCTCTCACCGAATCCTTCTTCTGAATATCAACAGGTCTTATGTTCTCTTTCCCAGCCAGTCGAGTTGACTCGGCTTTTCTTTTTGCTTCCCTGATATGCAGATGATCAATGTACTTCTCATGCAATGCCTTGTTTTTTACCTGTTTTAGTACTGGAGGGCTAACGAGAGTTGTTGGATCTTTACTTGAACAAGGCACTGGACTTTCAAGGATTTTTGGAAGAGTTTGCCCTTTCTCCATTGGAGTTGAGAGAAAATTGCTTGTGGTGTTAGGCTCAAGAATTGAGAATAGATCAAATCCAAGACCTTGATCCATATGATTTTGCTTCTCCAGTAAATGCCTGACCACTTTCTTTGAGAGATTGTTTTTGCACTGTCGTATCTTTGTCTTTGGTGAATTGGGTTTCAGTAGTTTGCTTGCAGAGAGCGAAAACTGCGGGATTGTTGATAATTTTGTGTTCCTGGCTCTTCGAGGCTGAGCTTGACGAGGAGTGATCAGAGCTGAGTTCACTCTATCAAAACATTCCTGCGCAGACTTTCCAGGTACCATCTTAGCAACCTTTTTCCAGAAATTAGGACTGGGCTTCACCGTCAAATAAGCTCCTTGTAAAGCTAACTCCAACTCGTCTGTCCATCCTCCTTTCTCAAGCTTCTTCTTTGTCTTCAATCCTTCTTCTTCTTCCTCCTTTCCTCTTCCCTTCACTTCATCAGCTTTTGGCACAACATTTTCTTCCTCATTCGGTTTTGCAATTCTCATCCTTTTCCTCTCACTAAGACAGACACTAACTTCTTCTTCTTCTTCATTATCATCACAACCACTAAACAGCTGCTTAGTCTTAGGACGAAGACGACTTCTACTTCTATCCTTAGTTTTCACACCATCTACACCTTTCCCTTTCTCAGATGAAATTGATATCGTACTACATCTACTCAAAACACTATTACCTGATTTTCTCCCAATGGAAGAAAAAGATTGATCCACAGATCCTCCTCCTCCACTTGAAAACCTAGGAGACCGTCTCAGAGCACAAGAAGACGAAACAGTGGCCGAAGATTTCGTGCGAGAAGATGAAGTAGATGCAGTCTTCTTCGTAAAAGGCTTCTCTTTATTAACACCAGAACATTCCCTATTCGAAAGCCTAAGAGATCGCCTCAGCGAAGGAAACCCATCCTTGGAAATGTTCAATCCCGGAGACTTCTTCGCGATTGGACTATCCAGTGAGTATACTAATCTCTTCGATAGTCCTCGTAGGACTTCCCGACGAGTTTTCTTCGGTGGTTCCGAGCCAAAGACCAGATCTTTCCTGGGTTTCACTTGACTATCTCGATTCTGCATAGAGATAAGCCTCGCCGATCGACGAATAGGTTGCGGCAATACGACGGTGGATTTTCTTCTCGACATTTCAACGAACTGAAAAAAACAAAAGTCTGTAACTTGTTAAATCTCTTAACAACATATTCATGATTCTTACGAAATTAGTTAAATGGTAGTTATTCTGAGAATCAAATTAGACTAAAAAGGAAATACCCAGAACAATGATAATCGCAGATCCGTAAAACCCTAGAAAAAGCTTGGATTTTGATTTTGCCTCTCGTAGTCGTCGTCGAGATTCAACTCCTTCGTCTCTCCCAACAGTAACTTTGGGTTGAGAACTGAGAAGTAGAAACGGTTCGACTAAACCAACTATTTACGAATCAAACCAGTAATTGAACCGAGATTTCGATTATACCGAAGATTGGGCCGTTCCATAGGGAAGGACAAGGAAAGTTCTTAAGCCCAAATAATATTAAATTGGGCCGGTTCCATATGGAAGGACAAGTTCGTAATTTAGCATCGGAACATAAGAAACCCTAATCTCGACCACTTAATACGTTCCTCTTCTTCAAAAACCCTAAAAGCTCATTTCGCAGCAGCCCCCTTTTCGTTTGCCCCACTTTGATCAAGCGAAACTCCAAATCACAGAACCATGCCGCCGAAGTTGGACCCGAGCCAGATCGTCGATGTGTACGTCCGTGTAACCGGAGGAGAAGTCGGAGCCGCCAGTTCTCTAGCTCCAAAGATCGGTCCTCTCGGTCTCGCACCAAAGAAGATCGGAGAAGACATCGCCAAAGAGACGGCCAAGGAATGGAAAGGACTTCGTGTCACCGTGAAGCTAACGGTTCAGAATCGTCAAGCTAAGGTGACCGTGGTTCCATCTGCTGCAGCTCTCGTCATCAAGGCGTTGAAGGAGCCAGAGAGAGACCGCAAAAAGGTGAAGAACATTAAGCATAACGGTAACATCTCTTTCGATGATGTGATTGAGATTGCTAGGATTATGAGGCCTAGATCTATTGCTAAGGAGCTGAGTGGGACTGTGAGGGAGATTCTTGGGACGTGTGTGTCTGTGGGATGCACTGTTGATGGGAAAGACCCGAAGGATCTTCAGCAGGAGATTCAAGAAGGTGAGATCGATATTCCTGAGAATTAAGGAACAGTGGAATTTGAAATGATGTTGTTATCTCTTTCTCCTTTTACCCTATTTTGTTTTTGTTTGGGAACTTAGTTGCTATGATGTTTCACTTAGAATGACTCAGTTTTGGATTATTATTCTCTGTTTCAAAATCCAATGGTTTATCATCTCAATTTAATGTCTTTTGTGTTGAGGTTTTTAGCTGAATTGCTTTATACTTTGGCTTCTATGTCTGAAATTTCTCATTGTTTGATGCTTAGAACCTGAAATTGTGCTCAAAACTTGGGAGATTGATCTGTATGGAAGGTGATTGTTGGGGATAGATGATTATAGTACTTTGCTTTTTTGATGGGGAAAAGATTAAACTTTGATGCTACTTTTAGTTCATTTTCAAGAGTCGTTGGTAATCATTGGATAAGTCTGTCATGTTTAGGGTTCATTGCATAATCATCCGAAACTATCTACTTCAGTGCTTGGGTTTCGTGTGCAGTCTTAGTGTGAATATCTCTCTCTCTTTATTGAAGATTCTTTAGGTTGTGAGTTACTTTGTCTAACGTTTTAGTGACTCTTAATACTAAAAGAAAGGTTTTTGCATGAATTCTCTTCGCATGAGATGGATGATGGCCATTTGATTTCTTACTCTTTGATTTCACACTATTTCCTTTGGATTTTATAAACAAATCTCTCGACAATAAATATCATTCTTTAAAAGTCTTCCTTTGTCTATTGAGTAGAGCTTTAGAGTTCTTTTTTTCCACCGGCAAAATAATCCTTCCCTCACAAAATCAGATTCAATCGTCTTACATGTATAGGTAAAACAATCTTCTGGCTTTTTGATTGTTTAGCCTAAGATCTTTAAACGTAGCTCACTATATGTTGATTGATTAATATGCAAAACAAAAGTCACTCCTGAATTACCAATTTGACATGCGATGCTCATTTCAATGTCTTTTGCAACAATGTTGAACGGCAAAGTAATAATTATGATTGTTTCACCATTAATAAATTGATGATAAAACGATGGTGATTTTAAAGAGATCTTTTCTTGCTGCTAAAAAATTACATCGTTATGTTATGTGATGAACAAAAATAATAATTGATCACAACAATTTACCACCATTTATTTTTATTCAACTTGAAACAACAACCGCCAAGCCCCTCGTCGAAAACTTCATCGACATATGAGGTCCGGCCCTCTCTGTGTGCCGGTAATCAATTATTACGTTTATCTGATACTTAATTATTTATTTAGGTGTTATGGAATATTGTAACGTGTCCCATTCCTGATGATGTAAGTGATCATGATATCAAAGCGAATTTTCAAACCGTACGTACTTCAAACCTTAGGATAGTTAGGAGCATATTCTATACAATCTTTGTGGAATCCGGCGTACTCCATGGAAGTACCTTTGAAAAGCTTAGAGCATTAGGGATGACCGTTACTTCCCTAAAACCTCCTACTAAGAGGCACAAGAGGCGTAAGCTACTTTTTTCACACATCGCATGTCAAACTAGTGATAAAAATTTGGTGATCTTAGAGAGACTTTTTTGTTGCTAAAAAGTTTCATTAAAACAAATCAAAAACAAATAATCAAAACTATTTACAACCATTTATTTTTTGTTCAACTTAAAACAATCTCCATTCGAATTTTAGAAGATCAATAATCATATAATGTTTGGAAACCACTCGTTCACATGCAGAAATGGTCCAACATAAATATAGAATGGACATTGTGAAAATAGAACGAAAATGATAAGTCAAGAACAAAATCTTCTGTCATATCTAACGACAAAACGATGGTGACAAAACTCTTAAGAGTTTTTTTTGGATCATATGGTGATGGGCGGAAGAGCTAACAGCTAAATCCTAAATGACTATAGATTTTTCTTTTGCAAAAACACAAAAGTGATGCTATTTTCTTAATTGGGGTTTATTTTATTTTAAGTAATAATGTATCTAAAAAGTAGCATATTATTTAGAAGTATAATATGGCCTTAACCCCCTCAAGGCCTTAACGCCCCAATTCAGGTTTTTTTTTTTGGCAAATAAAAATATGTCATATTCATATTTTAGTTAACTTTTCACCAAATATACTTAATTCACCCTAAAATGAATTAATTCCTGTAAAAATAACGGAAACAAATAAAATAAAAATAAAACGTATGCAAGAGCAAGACAAATTAGGACAGGAGCTTTTTATCCACCTATACGTAACTCAAACAAAAACATTGTAGGTGAGACATCAGTGTACCCCCAAAAAGGCACATTACTGAACTTAACTGGCCGCTAAATTTGACCTATGAGAGCACCCATCAACAAAATAAACGTTGAGAAATTATACTAGTAACTTCTTTTGGTGTGCAAAATACCAACAAGTAACAAATAACACAACTAGTGAACGAAATATTAATCATGCAGTATAATTGATTTGTCGGAGATACGATGTTCCTTTCTTTTATTTCGCCAGAGATACGATGTTCGTATAGTTAAACTTGTTTGCGTTTTAAAGATCTAGCTACCATAGTTGAAAATAAAAAAGACAACCATAATTCATAACTCAAATCTCATATTTGTACTACATGGTAAAGCTGTAAATTTCTATAGGACTGGTCGACTGGAAGAGAGATTCAAATTTAATCGCCTTCAGTTTTAATACAAATTAATAGTTTTGTATGACTTAATTTCATCACTTTTTACTCATCGGAGATTACAATATACAATTTGATCCTTTTTCCCCGCATATAAAAATTTAATCTATATGTACAATGTAAGTATATATCTCAAGTGATTATCATTTGTGAAGACAGATAAATCAAGATATGTTTGTCGATCTTTGTTATATATACACATCTAGCTGGAGTACATTCTGGACTAGTTTAGACTTTCGATTGAGTGACTAAAAAGGACAAAAACTATGCAAAACAACAACGTCATATTATAGTTTACTCGATTTGTCTATAGAAGATTTTAGATAAGGTTAATGCTAGTTTTTTATGAATAGAATTAGAAAGTGTAAATACATACATAAATCTATACTAATAAAACAACAGAATGAGTTGCAGAAAATTCACATTTCTTAATCTTAGAAATAGAGAAAAAGAGTCGGCTGACGTGGAATATTCGTCTAATAGTAGCCGACCAACGTAGCCAAAACGATAAGGTTTGCCACATGGCAAAACGATAACCATGGAACTGCATCTCCTGTCTTTGTTATGTTCGTCACATTTTATTGGGATTTATTGTTTTGTCAGCAAATTTCAATTTTTCGCAAAAGAAAATGGAAATTTGGAAATGAAGAGAAAATGCAAATGATTGGTAGGGTCAATGTAACGTGGCATTATGTGAGAGGTTGAACAAACAACGGCTATGCTGAGCTGGAATTAATCAGAATGGACGGTGATGATACGTTTGTCGGAGGGATCGGGTCGGTTAGTCACGCGCGCCACCTATTCACGTGTCACCTTTTGCCAACAGAGACCATATGAATTTAACCTCAGTGGAATCTCGACCCACCCCACAAAACGGCACCATTACTTTACACCCTGGTTTCATAGTGATATCATTACCAACGACAATTATGAAAAAAGTTCGTTTAGGCTTTGGTTAGTTCATGTTAGTAATATCAAGTTAAATGCAAATTTAAGAGAATGTCCATCTATTTTGAAAACAAAGTGTTTCGCTTTGGTGAACAAGAAAAATGTTCTCTATATATAGAATAACACTCGACCATATATAGTTCTGCTGATACTGAACCAATATTTCTGAATTCTGACCTAGAGTTAAACTAACCACCATGCTTAGTTGGAATGAAGAAACTTAGCCATGCTTCGTTGGAATCAATCATAGAAAGTTTTGGAGTTTTGTTATGTGTTTTCAAGAATGAAAATGCTATTTGGATAAAAAGTGGACGTAAATTATAATTTTAAAATGCATTGCATACAAAATTGCGGCTTTTTAAATGTGAAAAATTGACAGGCTACGGTATTATAAGACAAAAGGAAGAGAGCACCATAGTGATGATATAGTATATTGGGTCGGTCCTTAAGAAAATGACATTTAGGTGATGGGGCGGCGAGGCTAAGTTAAAGTAAACATAAAAACCTCCATTATTTACCAGAAAAAAATAGAAAATTTTGAGTGACATAAAAACTAATAAATTATTTCAAAGTTGTGGTTCTGATAGCTCTCCAATCTCCACCATTCACCACTGATTGATTACCTCCTATTGCTACGAGATATAAAACTATACAATTTTATACGAGTGGATATAAAGTCTTGTTTTATGATATCATAAACTAACTAATCCCATATCATTATTAAGTATTTAGATTAGGATCAAAAATTTGTTTGTCATGGACTTGGTTCAAAGTATAACGTAAAGTTATTCTAATTTTGTATCTAAAATAAACTCAAAATCAATTTTTAAAGAAATCTACCAACTTATTTGAATATTTCATATTTCAAATTTCAACGATTGAAAAACTCCAAAGTCTGAAATTTAAACTAGGGTTCTTGTCTTTACGTATTAGTAACTATGTATGATATTGATATACATCAAGCAATCATTAAATAGAATTGGTTCGAATTTTATTTCAGGACAGCTAGCTTATAATCATTTTGTCAAAGCTACTTTCCTCATAATAATCACTCGTATTCATATATTTTATTAAAAAAAAAAAAATACAAACTCTCATTCCAAAAAAAAACCTTAGCATAAAAAACAAAGAAAAATATAACGGGTCTGATTGGTAACAAGCTGTTAGCTGTTAGCTGGAGCTGTTAGCTGTTAGGGAATAGTGCAAAACTGTACAAAAGAATAAAACACGAAAGCTGTACAAAAAAATAACGCAGAACAAATTTTAAAAATTTACTCTGATTGGAAACATCATAGCGGTACACATAATAAATAATATTAAGAATTTAGAAAGAAAAAAAAATTACATAGAAATGTACTTTAGTATATAATTACATATGAAAATTAAGATTATATAGAATGAACAATATTTTATTGTTAGAATAATAATATGAATTTACTAGTCCTATAATAAATAAAATTTTCTTCATTTTGAGCAATATAACATTCCAAAATAATTGTTTGGGAAAAAAACCATTATTTCTAATGAGATTTTTTCATAGGCTGTATTATTTACTTTTTCGGAAATCTTTATCTGAACATTCGAGACTTTTTTTTTGCATTATACATAGTTACAATTATATTTTATAAAGTTTAATTATGCGGTTAATAATACGGTTAACCGTGCGGCTAATCGTACGGTTAAATAACGGTTTTGATACGTTTCTGGTATATTAACGGTTACGGTTAGTATATTTTTTTTAACCGTAACTAATCTAGTTTTAAGGTGAATGGTTATGGTTTTTAACCGTAACCGTTAACCGTAAAAAATAATTAGTTACAGTTAAAAAATATATTAACCGTAACCGTTAATTAACGGTAAACATATGAAAACCGTTATTTAACCATATGGTTAACCGCATAGTTAAAACTTTAAAAATATAATTGTAACTCCATATAATGCAAAAACAATTATCGTATGTTCAGATTAAGATTTTTAAAAAAGTAAATGATTATAACCATAACTATCCGTAACCGTTGTAACCGTAACTATAACCGTATTTAACCGTAACCGTATTTAACCGTAACCGTTATAACCGTATTTAATCGTAACCGTATTTAACCGTAATCGTTTTAATTTGTTTTTGTTTTTCTCCAAAAAAAACTGTTTATGTTATAGTGTACCGCTTTTCATAAAGCTTTTGTGATTGATAACTGTCAAAGCTGTACAAAGCTGTACATGTTTAAAATTGGTTACCAATCATAGCCAACGTTGGCAAAAATACTAAAAACATTTTTAAAAAGATAACAATAAAAAAGTATACACACAAATAAATTAAAAAGAGGAGCTCTCACTATAAAAACAGAGCACATGTTCTTCTCACTAACCACTCAACAGAGAAGCAAAAGAAAAAAGCTATTGTTTGAAACAAGAAGATAACTATGGCAAAGGATGTGGAAGCCGTTCCCGGAGAAGGATTTCAGACAAGAGACTATCAAGATCCGCCGCCAGCTCCGTTTATTGATGGAGCGGAGCTAAAGAAGTGGTCTTTTTACAGAGCAGTCATCGCCGAGTTTGTAGCCACTCTCCTCTTCTTATACATCACCGTTTTGACTGTCATCGGTTACAAGATTCAGTCCGATACTACTGCCGGCGGCGTAGACTGCGGTGGAGTTGGAATCCTCGGTATCGCTTGGGCCTTTGGTGGTATGATCTTCATCCTCGTCTACTGCACCGCCGGTATCTCTGGTATGAATCTTCTTTAATCTTGATTTTGGTTTGGTTTAGTCTTTAGATTAAGATTATCTACTTTTAATCTTAATACTCAAAGATAAAGTTTTACTTATGTAAGTACAACTTGCAAACTCAAAATTTAGACAAGTAAAAGTGTAAAACTTATTTGGTATGGTTTTGTTTTTTGTTTATTTGAAATTAATTACTTTGCAAGGAAAAATATTATGACATCACAATTTAATCGGTTCAAAATGTTAGGTTCCAAAGAAGAAAACGAGTTATATATGTACTGTATAAAATATTTTAATAAGTGTCATGATCAAATAGGTTCTTATCCGAATGAAATATCTCTAATCTGAAGTCTACTAGTAATTATTTTAAGCAATTGACTAAACCTGTCCTAACCAGAATTGGAAACCGATTAATCAATTGCCTTGTGTGCCTTAAATTCTCAAGTGGTAACATTGTTAAATCTTTTTGTTTCCTTAGGTGGTCACATTAACCCAGCGGTGACATTTGGGCTATTCTTGGCACGTAAAGTATCGTTGCCTAGGGCCATATTGTACATTGTGGCTCAGTGTTTGGGTGCGATTTGTGGAGTTGGATTTGTCAAAGCCTTCCAAAGCTCTTACTACGACCGTTACGGCGGTGGAGCCAACTCTCTTGCCGATGGCTACAGCACAGGGACCGGTCTAGCCGCAGAGATCATTGGTACTTTCGTTCTTGTCTACACCGTCTTCTCTGCCACTGACCCCAAACGTAGTGCCAGAGACTCCCACGTTCCGGTGAGTCATATATATAGTGCTATTAATCTATATTATGATTAACCGAACCAAAAAAATCAATGAGGTTTAACCGAAACCAAAGCGAACCAAACCGAATACAAATTTGATTATATCTCAACTTTTATGATTGTTTAACAAAAAAATATTGAACCAAAACCCTAATGGAAATTCAGTTTCCATTTCATTTCAATCTTACTAATAAATTTAAATTGATGAAATGAAAGGTGTTGGCGCCACTTCCAATCGGATTCGCGGTGTTCATGGTACATTTGGCCACCATTCCCATCACCGGAACCGGAATTAACCCGGCAAGGAGTTTCGGAGCTGCCGTAATCTTCAACAAGAGCAAGCCATGGGATGACCACGTAAGACCTCATCGTTTCTCCATTATATTAACTAATTATATATACTTATTTTTATTAGAGAAATAATTTTTGAAATTTTGATGATAACAAACAGTGGATATTTTGGGTTGGACCATTCATTGGAGCTGCCATAGCTGCATTCTACCACCAATTCGTTCTGAGAGCTTCAGGTTCTAAGTCTCTCGGATCTTTCAGAAGTGCTGCCAACGTCTAAACCCACCAAAACCAGATTTCTCAATAATAAAAGAAGTTGTAATATCTCTGTACAAATCCAAATCAGTCACTTGCAGTTTTCTTTTCCCTTTCTTATATGTGTTTTCTACTTGCTCTTTTGTGATTTTTCCTTCGGTGTAACTGTTTTTTTTCTTTCGCTTTTAACCGAGTGATTGGAATTAAAATCTATGAATGAAATCAAAGAGGTTCCTGTTGCATTGTCTTTACATTAGTACATTTTCTCTACACAATATAGTATTTTAAAAAACAAAAAATTTGGTTACTTAAATTCTTATACTTAATTGTCAAACGCAAACGAAAAGAGATGTTTCTTTGGTACTTAGCTTCTACGTTTTAGTTATTCTCTGAAACCGCCATTGTCCACTAACCCGATATGCGGCCACAAAGAACCTGTTACATTCAAGATTCAACATACTTAGTCGTTTGTAGCCAGACAGGAAATGCTCTCGAACATGGCTGAGGATTGAGAGTCTTACCCTACAGAATCTGCATTTTTTGATGAGAACGTGAAGTGGCGTGCCCGCTCAAAATTGGCCTCTCGGTGGCCTAGCCTCAGCCTTTGAGACTCTTATTTGTCTTCCATCCAAATCCTACAGGAAAGTAGTAATACAAGTAACAGATGTTTTATTTTAGTGTAAGAAGTACAGATCCAATATTATGCGAAGAGAAATGATGATACTTACTGCACCATTCAAAGATTTGATGGCCTTTTGAACCTCTTGTGAAGAGCTGAGTGTCACAAACCCAAATCCCTTGGATCTACCACTGTCCCTTTCGTAGATAACCCTGGCTTCAACAACCTTTCCTTGCTCGTTAAACAAACTCTCAAGGGCCATGTCATCGACACCCCAAGAAAGGTTGCCCACATAAAGGCGGTTTCCTGAACCAGACCCTGACCCAGAACCATAACTGGAACGTTGAGACCCGCCGTAACCACCACCACGTTCAGAACCGTACCCACCACTTCTTGGTCCCCTGGAGACGGATTCCTCTCTTTTAGGTGGGGGAGGGCCAGCGTTGACTCTCAAGGGTCTGCCTTCAAACTCCTGAAATAATCATTGTCGATATATTAGGATTAATGAAAACAGCCACAATGTACAAAATCTGAAAAACAAGCTTGCAAGATATAAGCAACATGACAGTATAAAGAAAACAAAGGTTCAACAATAATCTCGGCAACTTTAAAGTTTGAGAGTTTTCATTGAAGGAAGAAGATGCATCTTATCGGCAGAATACAGAACAACATAAACCATGAAGTCCAGAGGATAAACAACATGATTTATCTATCTTATAAGATTCTAAAAACGTTCATAAACTCCAAGTAACGGAATTCCACATACGAAAAAGAATATGCTACGACACAAATAACATTACACCCAAGCCAATAACAAGGAACAATACATGCAATTCATCATAAAACTAACTATATCAACAAGTAAAGATACAGAAGTATCTGCTTACATGGCCATTGAACTGCTGAACTGCTGCTTCAACTTCCGCTGCAGTGGACATTGTCACAAATCCGAAACCTCTGCTCCGTCCAGTCACTTTGTCATAGATTACCTACAAAATCAATCCATTTCATCACAGATGAAAAAAATCTTAAAACTTTTTCTATGTTCTCACTTTCTGCGCAAAACGATTCAAACCCATCAGCAAAACTATTTCTCACTAAATCAGGAAGATAATTATCCAAATCTGAAAACAGAACCCGAAATTAGCTTACCTCAACCATCTCAACATTTCCGACGCTCTCAAAGAGCTGAGTGAGCTGAGCTCTATCAACATTAAAGGAAAGATTTCCAACAAAAAGCTTAAGATCAGGAGAGAGAAGAGATGGTCGAAATTTAGATGCAGACAGAGCCATGTAGTACGCGTTTTTTGAAGCCTCCCCAACCGTGTTAACGGAAATGTCCTGTGGGAAAAAAAAGATAACATAACATGAGGTCAGATTTGATATCGAGATATATATTCTTTGAAAGACAAAACAATGAACGCTGACTCAAATCAAAGGGACCTCATACAGTAGTAAGAAAATGACGAATGTATTAATATACAATAGGCTAAAATGCTTACGAACAATTCATGTTGTTTACTCTGGAGATGCATGGAGAATATTTCAAAGCTATGGCAAGCAACACCGCATAATGTGCAAGAAAAGGCATATTCACCCCATCGATAACACGTCTCCCGAAGCTTCTTCTGTTCATTATCCGCAGACGACCCTCCTGAACCCGTTGCATCTGTGTGGGAAAGAAAAGAGAGGAAAAGTTGTTCAGAAACAGCTTTAATTTTCTGGTTATTTCACCTGTGAGTGAGAGAACAAAACACACCTTCCAGTAAGTCTTCCGGCCAGAGCCACCGTGCTGGAAATTTTGGAGGAAATGGACATGCCCGAAAAGTTGTGTATCCCCTCTGACGTTGGGGGATCATTATAAAAGTTTCAGGTAAATCCTCACCGGATATGACCACTTTATTAGCCGGAGGTGAATGACTATCTTCCCACCGATAGATATCATTCGAAATGTCTTTGATACCTGTTTCAGACTTGAGAAACTTAGTACGTACGTAAAGTAAAAGCAAAGGAAAAAAACCCTAAATTGTTTTAAAAAATCCACCATGTAAAGAGATGAAGAAGATTAACCGCATGATACGTATTTAAGAGCGACTCCAGTGGAAGAGAGCTTTTGGAGGACGTTATGAGGGATGAGGTTTAGGTTGCCAATCGCAGTGACTATTATCGGACCCAAGCAGCCTCCATTCTTCAACACTGTTTTTATACTCCGACCGACTCCACCAGCATCATATCGATCAGGAACCGGACAGGTCTCAATGTCCCACCACACCGACGTCAACACCTCCTCGGGCCTTATCTCGGACATCACCTCCTATTATTTCAAGACCTTAAAACATTAAAAATCGAATTTAGGTCTTTAATCCAGAACGAAAAATCTTACGGTAACTTGTCCAATCAAACTTCATATATATAACCAAATCGTAAAAATTTCGGAGAGATTGAGACGGTTTAGAAATAACCGACCTTGTTTATTATCGACTCTGAGACGCAAGGGAAAGATGGAGCTATCTATCAGCGGAGAGAGGAGATCAGCACAACCTTCGAGCGCAAGTAATCGTTTTGAGTGAAATAAATATATTAATATCTCTAGGGTAAAATTGATATCTTATATGGGCCGATACGCGTGGCCCATTAGTTGTATCTTAGCCCACGAATTTAGTTGACCTACTTTTTCAATTTTCCCGATCATCTTCCTTCCTCCAAATCTCTTTCATCATTCATTGTGTTATGTGTAAAGGTGGATCATGGGAAATTTAATTAGCGGTGGAAGCCGCCCGGCATATCATCGGGACCGTACGTCACCGCCGTATCCAAACCCTAATACTCAGTACCAAGGCAATTATCCGTCGCCGTACCACCAACAAGATTGTGGTAGGTATCCTTATGGGGAGATGGCGTCTCCGGTGCAATACGTAGAGCACCAGGAAGCAGTGACTATAAGGAACGACATCAATTTGAAGAAAGAAACCTTGAGATTTGAGCCTGATGAACAAAACCCTGGCAAGTTTTTGCTCTCCTTCACTTTTAACGCCTCTGTTCCTGGAAGGTAATGATCTTGATCAATGTTTTAGAGTGTAATTGCTAGATATTGGAGATTACTTCAATCAATGGTTGATTCTTAGGTCTTCCATATAGCCATTTTAAGGTTTGTTCTTATGGTTTTTTTATTCAACAGCATCACTGTGATGTTCTTTGCTAAAGAAGGCAAAGAGTGTAACTTTAATGCGACGAAGGAGGATCTGTTTCCATCCACGACAGTTAGTTTTGCAAAAGGTATGGAACAGAGATTCAAGCAGGCTTGTGGAACAGGGATTGATTTCTCAGCTTTGTCAGAGGCAGATTTGGTTGAGGCAAGCGAGACAGATGTGTATCATGTGGCAGTGAAAGCAGAGGTAGTATCAGAAGATGATCATCCTGAGTCTGAGACACTAAACAGACAGATAACTCATGTGGCTTTAGAGAAAGGTCATAAGGATGAGTACAAGGCGAGAGTGGTCAAGCAGATCCTGTGGGTGAATGGGAAAAGGTATGTTCTTCAAGAGATTTATGGGATTGGTAGTACAGTTGATGATAATGGAGAAGATGCGAACGAGAGAGGAAAAGAATGTGTCATCTGCTTATCGGAGCCACGAGACACCACTGTTCTCCCTTGCAGGCACATGGTAGCATATAAATACCCTTAGAGAGAATTTGAGAAAGAAGACAGCTTTTATTTCCTGATTGATTTGCTAACTTTCTATTTGTGTTTTTGTGATTCGTAGTGTATGTGTAGTGGTTGTGCAAAGCTTTTGAGGTTTCAGACAAACCTCTGTCCCATCTGTAGACAACCGGTGGATAGGCTTTTGGAGATAACAGTCAACACCGATGACAGGAACCAATGAGCTTTGCTACGTTGCTCTTCTCCTGTTTGTATAGAGAGTGCTTCCCAATGTTCTTGTTTGTGGTATATATGCAGGCATAATAACTCAAGTTACTAACTACATTTGCCAAATGACACTTTCATTCCGGTTTATACTTCCAAGTTTTTTTGTAAATCATCTAGACGGTCTTGGTTACTTATGAAATGAAAAACTTTTGAAGCACCTGCAGCAGCAGCACTCTTAGAGAATCTTGCTAATCGAAAAACAGACACGTTATATGAGTTGACTGGCAAACAATCCTCGTATCAACTCATCTGTTTCTGCTATTCGATTGGCAAAAGTCTCTAAAAGTGATGATGCGGGTGCTGCAAAAGTGTTTATTTCATAAGTAACCATGACCGATTTACAACTGAGCGCTCAAAGAAAACTGGGAAGGCGAATGCTGCCAGTGGCAGGATATATGTTACAATACCACCTGATCAAAGGCCAATCAAGAGTGTAACTTTAATGTGACAAAGGCGGATCCCTTTCCAGAAGGTTCGGCACAAAGATGTGTATCATGTGGCAGTGAAAACAGAGGCATCATCGGAAGATGATTCATCCAGAGTCTAAAACACCAATCTGTCAGATAACTCATACGGTTTTAGAGAAAGATCATAAGGGTAGTACAAGGCGAGAGACTTGAAGTAGATCCTGTGGGTGAATGGGAATAGGTATGTTTTTCAAGAGATTTATGGTAACATATAAACATCCTTGGAGAGAATTTGAGGGAAAAGATGGCTTTTTTTTTTTCTTCTCCTGATTGATTGCGAACTTTGTTTAGAGACAGCTCCCCAGTGTTCTTACTTGTGATATATATATGCAGGCATTGGAAACTCAACGTACTAAACTACTTATGCCAAATGACACTCTAAATCGTCAGGCTACTTTGGTACTATAAAGAGTTCAGGTCCCTGTGATTAGTTGTATAAGCAGAGTATCAAAACCAGTAGAAACACACAACATAGCAAACTTCCATTGAAGCACATACACAAAACAAAGTTCATAACGACGACAGCTTATTTAGAACCACAGAAGTGCTGGGTCGCTGGAGCAAACTTCTGCGGCTTTGCTCTATACATGAGCAAAGATTGTAGCAACAGAAAAACATAACATAACAAACTTACCAAACAACATAGTTTTAGTTTTTAAAGCTCCATTTGTTGAGCTTATTAGTCTTCCCACCACTGATGGACAAAAACGCCACTGTTTCTGAGGCTTTTAAAGATACCAGTGCAGTCTCTGTAGCCTGTGCAGTGAAGAAACAGTTCATCAACTGAGCAGATCGCTCCTGTCTTTATCAGCTCTGAGAGAAACTTCAGCTCAGTATTGCTTGTGTTCATCTTCAGAACCACAAAATCAGCGAAGCTCGCTGTTTCCTTGAACCATGCTAGAAAATCAAAGCTATCATCTTCCACAAAAGGTTCTTCTTGATCTCCAAGACTGGCTATTGTAGTTTTAGTTGCTGCGAGTCCTGGATGATAGATGAAGGTTACGCCAGGGCTTTTGACATAAGAAGTCAAGATAGATGTGTTGTGATGCACAAAGTAGCTATTAAAAGCTTTCCTGTCGATTGGGTACGATGGGAAGAACCAGTTCGACCTCGCTTTCACATGATCCGCTGCCCCAATATCAATATAAACCAGCCTCTTCCTAGAAGAGAGATCAATGAACTCAGGCAAGTAATGAATCCGTCTCTCGAAATCCGAACGTTTTTCCTCCAGAAGAGGCTCCAATAATCCAATGTATGGCTGGTTTTTGAGAACGGACGAGCAATCAGCCGGGAGGTCATGATGAGTTTGATCCAAGCGGAAACTATCTTCTCCATCTTTCTTGAACACAACCAAAACCTGTTCACCCAAGGAAGCAACATGAACCACACTCGAGTTCTTCAGCAATGAAGAAACAGGCGAAACCGATCTAACCAACCCATTTGAGTCAGACCCACTAGTAGTACCTACAAGCATAGCCCCGGTTCCACCGGGCTTAAGTATACGCTCAATCTCATAAACAAGAGAAGCAGGGACAGCAACTGTCTCAAGATCCATAGAAAACACAAAGCCAAAAGAAGCATCCTCATAATGTAGCTCACTTGTGAACTTCCTATGCTTGAAAGCGAAAACCGGTGGCATATAAGCCACACTAACATCAGAGATCCCTTGTCGATTCATCGCAAGAACAGCTGAAACCGATCTCCGACCAATGCAAAGAGCTTTCGAATCATTACTCAGTAGATTCATACCTGCAAGCTCTCTGACAACTTCAGTAGTCAAATAAATGTTTTCCTTACATTTCTCTGACTCCAAATAGTTCAAAACAGGTTTCAAGAACCTGTTGGATAATAATCCGTTGCCTGAGAAGAGGAACGGACCCAGAAACGCGAAATTCACGGCGCATTCATCAACCTTACATGGCTGAGTATTACTATTCTCTCCTTGGTAAGCTCCGCCGAGGATTCGCAAAACGGATACAACAGAGAAAGCGCAAACGATCACGAGGGCGCGTAAGATCACGCGCCGACGGAATGAGCTAGGCATCAATTTCAGTTTCAACATCTCAACGCCCATAAAGATCCAAGTACAAGATCCAAAGAGTTTGATTTTTGTAGGATTATCAAGAGAAGATTTTAAGGGAGAAGAAGAGAAGAGAGATTTAGCGAGTGCAAAACCTGGAGGAGGTATGGTTTCCACCCACGAGGAGAACTATTGAATTTTGTAAACCTAACCAGACCCTTCTTGATTCACGTCTCTGTATCATCAAAAGATCCATTTTTTTTTACCCAATTGATCGAACCATTCGTAGTTTCTTGAGATCTAGCTACATACTAAGACGACGAACTCTCTTCTTCCCAACAAAGATTGAAACTTTAAGCTGATTTGGGAATTAGGGTTTCGTAAGGTAAAGGTGGAATCTGGGGAGAGAGTTGGAAGCAGAAGGAACGAGAGATCTGTGATCTTGAGAGCTTCAAGTGAAGTAATAAAGTGACAACTGCGAAGGGACGAGGAAGAGGGAGAGTGATATGATGACGTCATCGTGCCACGTGGTTAGTTGCGAAGCCTTCGTTGAGTAATCGAAAGTTTGATATGATGATATTGATAAGATACGGTAAAGTGTTTTTGCACAAATCCCAATGGACCAATAATTTTCTAATCGAATTAATTTTCCTAATAATCATTTTTAAGACAGCAGAAAAATAAATTAAGACTAATCCTAAGAAAAAACAAATTAAAAGAATTGATGTAGTCATATAGCCATGTAGAAATTTGAACATGAAAATTATTGTTAGACTAATCCTTAGTTTAATCTGATTTATTAACCAGTCGAGAAGATGGAACGATAATAGTATGTTCACATTTATTTCCTAGTAATAATATCTAGCTATTTATTAGAATGCACATACACTCATTAAAGAGTATAGTTTAGGGTTCGGAGAGTGAATCCAATCCACCGACACTTCATGATATCGATCGACGCCACCATGCGATTCTATTTTCCTATATTGAAATAATTTTCTTAACAATTATTGTTTTTGTTCCAGCTGTCTTGAATCTCGAGTGGTACATAGACATCAATTATCAAATGCTTCAATTGGAGAGAAATAAACTCATACATATTTAACTTAAGGATGTTATTGAGAAACTAACGATTCTCGAGTGATCCTTTTAGAATCTTTTTTTTTTTTTAATTTTGCATGACCCATTGTAACCACACGACACACGTATGTGGAGAAAGAAGGTTTTTCTTACGCATCTATCTATAGTTAAGTTCTATAGTACTGACACGTTAGACTCCGACAAAATATTAGATGATGTTTTATGGTAATTTATCAAATAAGTAAAAAGTAATAGTATCATTTATGTTGTCACGTCTTAAAAAAAGTATGATTAAGAGAGGAGTGGACAAAACAATGAATATGCCCAAAAATCGGTTGGTGAAGTCTTCCCTCGATTGATCTCTTGTCGGTCGTGTCACGGTTCTTCTTTCAACATATTCGGGTGGACTCAAATATCATTTATAGAATTGAGTCGAAATTGTTGAATTAATCTCGTGTTAAGCTAGAAATAGTATAAAGTGAACCTGTCAACAAAAAATTACTAGTTTTTAGCTAAACTAAGAAGAAAATATAGTAATTACATGTTTGTGGAAATGATCTCATCAGCTTTTTAAGGCTTTGCTTCATACAACGAAACACTTCACTTTCTAACAAATTTTGCACTAAACTCTTCGTTTCTTTTGGTGTTGTCATATACATATCCTTGATGAAAAGATAAATAAATAAAATAGACAAGGAATCGTTTATTGGGAAAATAAAAAGTGTCATTCTTCTGAAGCACAAAAGTGGCATTATTGGCTGATGAGACTCTTATGTAAAACATTTTGTTTTCTTTCTTATAATTACATCCGAAAATTCTCCCATATTTTCTCTTCTATGCCCCCCACAAACTTAATTTGTCAGCCTCCAATTTACAGTCAGAATTCAGATTTTGAACCTTCTTTTAAAATATATATGAAAAAAACAAAACCCAGTCGAATTTTATTCACAGGGCTTTTCTTTAAAGGTTTTCTTTCACTTTAGAAGGAGAAACATGACTAAATAATAGCACCTGATTTTCAGACAAGTAGCATCTCTCTGTCATTGCTTGAAAGTAGAACCACCGATGATCTTGCTGCTCAGTGAGGCTTTGTTGTCTTTTGTGAAGCTTGTGCTCAAGAGGGCACTTGTAGGATTTGCTTCTGAGCTGTTGGATTGGGTTTCTGATTCACTGGGCCTTGTCCAGATCTTTATATGGCCTTCCCGGCAAGCCGTAACGACTGATTCTTGTGTGAACATCAAGCCAGAGAGGGGCTCAGTGTGCACTCTGTGAGCTATGATCGGTGAGAGCTTTGGAACATCTCGTTTGCAAGGAGCGGGTTGAAGAGTTCCCATAGGTATGACATTGTCCCAGTGAGCTGAGCTTCCTGTGCTGTAAGTTGGAGACCCCCCTGGAGCTCGCCTAAGTGGAACTACGATCTCGTCCATCTCGAGGTCCCAGAGAAGTAACTGTGTGTCCTGTGGATTCAGCAAAGGAAGCAGCATTGTGTGAGGCAAGACACTTGCAAATCATATATAATAGAATCAAGAGATTGAGATCGTAGGAGTCTATGGTTTTTAATAGCAAATTAAGTAAGAAATACGAGACTTTCAGATAACATGTTTGTGGAAATGATCTCATCAGCTTCCTAAGGCTGCTTCATACAACGAAACACTTCACTTTCTAACAAATTTTCTACCTAGCAGACCAAAGAATCTTTATCTATAATTTGATATGCTAATGAACAAAGCTGGATCAGATCCAATGAAGCTACATTACTGTGATTAATCATAAGATTTGCCCTTAGTTTCTGATCATCTTAAGAACATCGCCGAATAAGATCTTGTATTTTTCCTTTTCCTTTTCCTCAATATTGAAATGATAAGAAAATGAGAGCACAGGTTTAATGATAAAGTCAATCAAGCAATGTAGATAAGCTAATCACATCTCCCACGTATTTAAGCACATATCAGTTCTTTGCTAAATGCAAAGGAGGACCAGTAAAATGGGTGAAGGCACCACGATATACCTGACCAACTGATCCGAAACGGTACATGACATGCTCTCCTGACCCATCCGAATTTGGTGACGACCAATAGGAATCAAACGCTACTCCACTTACCTGAGAGCAACCATTCCGACATGAGTCAAGTGCTGTGTAAGTTAAACAAAAGAAATCTTATTGAAATCAAGAACCTTACCCACGAATTATGTCCCTCACCCCACGCCACAACCTTCCGATCATCCATACTCCACACTTGAACTAGGTCATCTTCACCTCCAGTCAAAATGTACTTTCCATCCATACTGTCAGTGTCAATACAATCACAATGTCAATAAACAGTATCATACAGGGATAATATGCTCACAACACTGGTATTTATTTAAGACACATTTTGTAAATTCAATATAAGAAAAGTTGCCAAAGGAAATATATCCCATCACCTCCAAGAACAGCACAGCAGAGCACCATAATAACTTTTTCCACCACATACTAGCTTCTGGGTTAAGAAGTCAAAAATGCGAAGAAAGCCTGTGAATGGTAAGAAATCTTAATGCTTAGTAAAGAAATACATAGAGAAAGAAAAAGACCACAAGACATAATAGAGGCATCTTACCATCTCTTCCAACAGTCGCCAAGTGTGCCCCATCATTTGAGAATGCAATGCTGTTAATTGAACCTTGACATATATGCCATCTCGCAACAGGATTACTCTGCACGAATACTCACATGAATGAACAATAGTACATCAAAATATGCTCAAAGATAGAAAAGAAAGTAAGTCATACAACAATTTCTTAAAACCACTAGCAAATGATGATACAAGTAGAGGATATGCATGTACCATGTGCTTCCAGAACCTATATAAGGATCTATTGAAATGGTTGCAAACTCACATACCTTGCTATATTTTGCCTTGTCAACAGAAAATTGTGTAGGATCTCTTATAGCAGGAAATGTTGACTCAGTGGCACCATCTTTGTTCTATTAAGTTAAATTAATCAGGATAAGGGATTAGACAAAATCAGGCAACTTAAAAGTCATATTCAAGAAAAAAGTTCTGATATCTGAGCTTGCCTTCTCATACACGTACAAATTGCCATCGGCATGAGCAACGACAAATGCTCCATCACCTCCAGGCACCCAAGAAATACTAGTACAACGACTGTTACAAAGCAACAAACTTTATTTTAAACTTCGAGAAGGCATGACCGCCAAAATTGATTCATGTTTCAACTTAACCTACTTAAAAACGAACTCATCCAAGGATACACACTGTTCCGTTATAATTTAACTACTCTACTGTCACTGAGAGTTTCCTAGAACCCAATCCATTACATTGACAGAAGCTGAATTATATAAATTTGTTAAACTGACATAAATACTAGCAGAAGTACAAACACGAAGAACACATAGAGATCCTTAGAGAAAGTAAATGTGAAGTATCGTGAACCAGTGGAATCAATTCTTCAAGTGTCACTAACAAATAATAGCAAAGTAAAAAGGTGGGAGGAAAAATTAAATAAGCGTTAAACTCTTGCCTGTTATTCACAGAACCGTCCTTGTTATAATGCAGAGCACCAACTAGCTTCTTAGAGACGTCCTGTAATTGCTGTCTCAGTGATACTGTGTACACTACAATAACACATCATAACAAAATAAATCCATGAGACAAGGCAGCTAGATCAGAGGTGAAAACGGTAAGCTCAAATTTCTAAATTACCATCCCCAGAATTCAGCCCAATAAGTAAGTCATGCCCATCCTTAGCATCCGGATCAAAAGCATGACACATAGGGTTTGAATTACTGAAATGGATAGACTTTACTGGATCCTACATCAAATAAGTTTCCTAAACCATTACCTCCAAAAAAAAACAGAACATTACAGCTAAATCTTTATAAGGAAAACAAAGAAAAGAAGTAATTACCTTGTCTTGCGAGTTCAAGTCACAGATAAAAATAGCATCACTCACATTGAAGACCAAGTAAGTTCCTTTCCCATCGAAATTCGTATTTGTCATCGATGTGCTAGAATTAGAAGGAGCAAAGGAGCCACTAATTCTTGAACTTGTACTCACACTTTTGCCCCCTCCATTACCTCCAACAAAACTAAGTGCACGGCTACCATTTCCAGTGCCTAGCAACCTGGCTGTTGCTGAACGAAACCCGCTACTAGCACTGTAACCCGACGAAGTACCAGTTGGAGTAGAAGGAGCAGCTCTTTCCTTAAGCTGAGCTAGAGTTACCTAAAAACGAAAATTTTCCCAATTTCATCAATGGAAAGCAATGTAATTCAAACCGATTGATCAGCTAACAACCTAATGCATCAGAATGCAAATTTCACTAACAAAAGTTTCACGATCGATATACTAATTCTCTGAAAATTCCGATTTGAATAATTAGAAATCCTAAACCCAAACGCATTTCAATCGAATCAAAGTATCAAACTCAAAATCCCAAAAATAAAAATCTTATCTTTACCTGAGTAACCGTTTTGCCATGTGCATAGTGAAGAAGACCAGAGGAATGCGTTTTCTCGTAGTGAAGCTTATACTTCCCTTCCGGCGTCTTGAAATAAGTCTTAATTCCCGGCGACTGAGGATTCGCCGCCGGTGAAGAAGATGAAGATGGCGCTGATATCATTCCATTAGAAGTGTTCATCATAGTGTTTGCTTTGCTAATCGTCGACTCAAAAAGCATATGATCACGATTCACACGACCCCTAGGGTTTGTTATCTCTCACCCAAAATCGAAACCCAGAAAAACTTTCCGCTTTTTCTTCTTCCTCTCTTGTTTGATGCAAAATCAGTAAAGTCTCGACGAAGAATCAAAAACTTCTCTTCTTCTGAGGTCTCTAATGGCTACCGAATCAAAGGGGTTATTATGATGCAACTACTTGTTTGTTTCTCACAACATATTATCAAAGCTTTGACTCGGAAGCTATTGAAAAGTCATCGTAATCAACGGTGGAGATTCTCGTAAAAAAGATTTAACGGGTGATGATCTGATGGGTCGGGTTGGTTATCTGGTTTCGGTTTTTTTTTTTGATAAGTACGCATAGATCACGTGGGTTGACGTCATAGATCAATTCAGGCCCACTTTCAAGCCCATTATCTATCAATTGATGACTACTGAAATTACGGCCTTTCAGCTTTCGGATGGTCAATTGTTTTTTTGTGAAAGCAGGCCTTAAATCCAAATATGGATTTGTTTTTTTTTTTTTGATGCATGACAAAAAGAAAATTATTACCCTTAAATTTGGTGTAGTTCAGTGAGAAGAAATTCAGTTTTGTTTGGTTCATCATATCAGTTTTTATCCACACCCCTAATTTAGAGACTCCGGTGATATGGTTTGTGTTAATGCCGTTATTGTATTACCATTCATGTTCAGATCCGTATGTTATATGGATGATTGGTTGTTCGTGAAAAAAACATAGAATCCGTCAATTATCAAAAAGGTTTAGATAGTACTTTTTTGGGGCATCTCCTTTAGCCTCAACCAACGACCACGACAAGAATAAAGAAAAGATTGATATTAGTGCTACGACCGTTACTTGTAGTTATTTATTAAACGTGAGAAAATCAGAACAACAAAAGTCACTTTGACATCAAAACAACAAAAGTCACTTTGATTGACATCAAATTAACAGAGAAAAAAACTTTCAGACAAAAAGACATATAGCCGTTGGAAAAAGCCACGTGGCGTTACATCTCTATCCACTTGTCTGACTTCATTCGTTGTCGCTTTGGATTCTCTTTTGCTCTCTCTCTTCCTCCATATTATTCCTTTGTCTCTTCCTCTGCTTTACTTTACTCCAAGCAAAGTATTGCCCCAATACACATCCCGTGACTTTCATCAAATTCTCTTTCTCAATCTCTCAAATTAAGAATCTTTCTTCTTCCTCTCCAATGGCCTTTCTCTGAAAACATCTCTTCGACTGATCATTAATGTCTCTCTTCCTCTTCTTCTTCTTCATTTCGATCTTGCTCTGTTTTTTCAATGGAGCTACGACTACACAGTTTGATTTCTCCACGTTAGCCATAAGCAACCTCAAGCTCCTTGGTGATGCTCGTTTAAGTAATGGAATCGTTGGCCTCACGCGTGACCTCTCTGTACCTAATTCCGGTGCCGGAAAAGTTTTATACTCTAACCCAATCAGATTCCGACAACCCGGAACTCACTTTCCGACAAGCTTCTCTACCTTTTTCTCCTTCTCCATCACCAATGTCAACCCTTCTTCCATCGGCGGTGGTCTCGCTTTCGTCATCTCTCCCGACGCAAACTCAATCGGCGTCGCCGGTGGTTCGCTTGGTCTCGCCGGTCCAAACGGGTCCGGTTCAAAATTCGTCGCCGTCGAGTTTGATACTTTAATGGACGTTGATTTCAAGGACATTAATAGTAACCATGTTGGATTCGACGTAAACGGCGTCGTTTCCTCTGTTTCCGGCGATCTTGGCACCATAAACATCGATCTCAAGAGCGGCAACACCATCAATTCATGGATCGAGTACGATGGATTGACTCGGGTCTTCAACGTATCAGTCTCTTACTCAAATCTGAAACCTAAAGTTCCGATTTTGTCTTTCCCTCTCGATTTAGATCGATACGTGAACGATTTCATGTTCGTCGGATTCTCCGGATCAACTCAGGGAAGTACAGAGATTCACAGTATCGAATGGTGGAGCTTCAGTTCATCATTCGGGTCGGGACCCGGATCCGGATCCGTGTCACCTCCTCCGAGGGCTAATTTGATGAATCCGAAAGCTAATTCGGTGAAATCTCCGCCGCCGTTAGCGTCACAACCGTCTTCTTCAGCGATTCCGATCTCAAGCAACACTCGATTAAAAACTTCGTCGTCGTCTTGCCACAGCCGCTTCTGCAAAGAGAACCCGGGAACAATCGCCGGAGTAGTAACCGCCGGAGCTTTCTTCTTAGCACTCTTCGCCGGAGCTTTATTCTGGGTTTACTCCAAAAAGTTCAAACGCGTCGAGAGATCTGATTCATTCGCTTCTGAAATCATCAAAGCTCCTAAAGAGTTCAGCTACAAAGAACTCAAAGCCGGCACAAAGAACTTCAACGAGAGTCGAATCATCGGACATGGAGCCTTCGGAGTCGTTTACAGAGGAATATTACCGGAGACCGGAGACATCGTCGCCGTCAAACGATGCAGTCACAGCTCACAAGACAAAAAGAACGAGTTTTTATCGGAATTATCCATAATCGGAAGCTTAAGACACAGAAACCTCGTGAGATTGCAAGGATGGTGTCACGAGAAAGGTGAGATTTTGTTAGTCTACGATCTTATGCCAAATGGGTCACTCGATAAAGCTTTGTTCGAGTCACGATTCGCGTTGCCGTGGGATCACCGGAAAAAGATCTTGCTTGGTGTTGCATCTGCTTTAGCTTATTTACACAGAGAGTGTGAGAATCAGGTGATTCACAGAGATGTTAAGAGTAGTAATATAATGTTAGATGAGAGTTTTAATGCCAAGCTTGGAGATTTCGGATTGGCGAGACAGATTGAGCATGATAAGTCGCCGGAAGCGACTGTTGCTGCCGGGACGATGGGGTATTTAGCGCCGGAGTATCTTCTGACGGGTCGTGCTTCGGAGAAGACGGATGTGTTTAGTTACGGAGCGGTGGTTTTGGAAGTGGTTAGTGGAAGAAGACCGATTGAGAAGGACTTAAATGTTCAAAGACAAAATATTGGGGCAAATCCGAATTTAGTAGAATGGGTGTGGGGTTTGTATAGAGAAGGGAAAGTTTCTGCAGCTGCTGATTCTAGGCTTGAAGGTAAGTTTGATGAAGGTGAGATGTGGCGGGTCTTGGTAGTGGGCCTGGCTTGTTCGCATCCGGATCCAGCGGCTAGGCCCACTATGAGGTCAGTGGTGCAAATGCTGATTGGTGAGGCTGATGTACCGGTTGTGCCCAAGTCTAGACCTACAATGAGTTTTAGCACTTCGCATTTGTTGCTGAGTTTGCAAGATACTCTATCTGATTGTAGTAATACCGTGGCTTTGAACTCTAGCCGATCGTCGTCATGGTCGGTGCCCGAACATAATGTTATCATTCGAAGCGACGATGACCATTTGGTATAGATGTTTTGAAGTTATAACAAACAGATGCGTTTTGTGTGTTTGATTAGATTTTGATTTGTGTTGTAATATTCAATTCATTTTTTTCTTCCTTTCTATGTATGTAAGATAAGAACACAAAATTGGTTTGCTTGGAACTTAAAAGTTAAAACCCATTAAAACATCCGGACAAACCATAAAAATTCTATTTGGCTAACCCAAACTGAACCAGAACCCAATTAAACAACCCTTTAGGTAGATACACAAGGGCCTAACTGAGTTTAACAAAAGATACGGGTTGAAATCGAGATACCTGAAAAGTAAGGGGGTCCAAAATAAGATTTGTCTGATTAGTGGAAGTGGCGATGTAGTGGATGAAACACGTGTGTTTATTATCTCTCTGTGCGTTTGTTTGTGTCTTATTAATCTCTCTCGTTCGAAAACAGATCCTCGTTTCATCCTCCTCCTCTACCATTAGCACGTAACTGGAGCTGATCTCGCATATTTTGGATCGTAATCATGGACGGCGACGATTTTGCCGGAAAGGTACCGTCAATCTTCTCTATACTTACACCTTTTGTAGAATTTTCATGAACTCCAGATGATTTTACCATATAGCTCATCTTCTGCGATCCCAGAATGTGCAATCGCATTTCTTAGGGTTAGATTCGTGATTTTTGGGGAATATGGGCTATTTTGTTAATGATCTAATGAAATTATGTGATATATTCGCATTTTAGAGTAATCAGAAAAAAAAAAAAAAATCTTTGCATGCATTGCAGGACAACTGTTTGGAAAAAAGATTACTTGTGATCCCTTCCCTTGGACACTTTGCAATAATCTCGTTCATGTTGTATAGATGTTTACTTGGTATATAAATACTTGGTCTTAGATCATTGTTATCTATGTGTGGTATGATTTATGCACACATTGGTCTGACATGCATTTCACAGGCGGCTGCTGAAGCCAAAGGATTGAACCCGGGATTAATCGTGCTGCTTGTTGTTGGAGGTCCGCTTCTTGTGTTCCTAATCGCCAACTACGTGCTTTACGTGTATGCTCAGAAGAATCTACCTCCAAGGAAGAAGAAGCCGGTTTCCAAAAAGAAGCTCAAGCGGGAGAAGCTCAAGCAAGGAGTCCCTGTCCCTGGAGAATAAATCTTCACTTGTGTCTCATTCAAAGCGGTATATCTTCGGTTACCTCTTTTACTTCTGTCTTGAGTCCTGTATGATTTCACTTGGAGAGCAAGTAGAAAACCACCCTTTTGCTTGGGTAGACCATTTTTAGTTTTTCCTTCATACACACATTTGGTTGCAACTGTAGAGTCTCTCTCATCATCTTTGCAACAACTTCTCATCTTTAATATCATTTCACTTATTTAGGTGTTTCTTGATTTCATTGTTACCATTCCGGCTTTTGCTAAACCGGATAGCTATAGAGACAATATGTTATGAACATTTGTATATATACACAAAATCAAGACACAAGGAGAGTCAACATTTGATTATTACAAACAGATCTCAATCACCCTCATTGTTGTATCTCAATCACAGATGTATAAGAGACCAAAAATTTCATCGTTTTGATTCGTTTTGCGATGAGATTTCCGGATTCTTAGTCCAGTGTTTAATCCATTTCTTGACGTATAAGAAGAAAGAAGCTCCATCTTCACTTCTAAGAGCCTCAAGGAGCCAATGCTTTGTGTTTCTGGAGCTTTTACATTTTCATACCTGGAAACTCCACAAGGATTTCAACATCAAAAGAACAGCCAATCTCAAGTAATTTGAACCAACTCATTCCCTATCATTCTCTTTAGAAACCTAAGCCATCATGATTTCACCAGTTTGATAAGATTACAGTGTAGGGGAAGCGATTCAAGACATACCCAGAAGATATCCTTCACGGCCTTCTTCAAATCATCTTAACTCAAATTTGTACTCTTCAGATAAGTTGAGATGTATCCTTCTTTAGTAGTTCATATAGCACTGAATCTGTATCCCATCCCGCTTGTGTGTTGCAATCCAATGTGGTAACCAGTTAGTTCTCCACATTTCCAAACTGAAAATAGCAAGAAAGAAAAAAACATTGAGATTCTTGAAATTTGTCATCATTTATGCAGCAATAAGTAAACTGTCCTTCACTATTACTCAATAGGTAACCAAAAACATTAAACAGAACAAGATTTTGTTACAACCAAATGAAATAATATTTGATGAAGAAAAGGAAAAGCGCAAGATATCTATCGACAGCATTTATCTAAGCAAGCAAACAAGATGAGACATGATGGCAAGAGCAAGAAGGAAGAAGATGCAACTTACAGATGAGACACAATGGCATTCTCTGTGCTTCTCTTAGAAGAGAAAAACGTCACTTAAATGTTTGTTTTTTCGGTTTCATGGATAAACTGGAATCTTTTCTTGTGTTGCGGATTACACTCATCTAGCATCTGCGACCAGATGTTGTGCAGGACTGTATATATATCGTCCCTCTCTGGATGAAGAACATCTTCAGCAAAGAATATATGAATTTTGTCCTCAACATCGATCCAGCTCTGTCCTGGAATTTTTTTAACATCATGCTTTTTCATTGAGCTCCTCAACAATGCAGCATCTTCCCAATTTCCAGAAGAAGCATGCATGCTGCAGAGCAATACATGAGCTGTAGAGTTGAAAGGATCGATCTTCAGAATATTTTCAGCAGCTTTTTGGGCAAGATCAACATTTCCTTGTGTTTTACATGCAGACAGTAGAGTCTTCCACACAACAACATCAGGTTCCAACTTCATTTCATCGATGAATCTCTCAGCTTCATTTAAATGGCCAGCACGAGCTAGCAAATCGACCACGCAAGAGCAGTGCTCTTTTGTTGGTGAAATCCCGTGTTCAGTTTGCATGATTGCATACAGTTCCAAGCCTTCTTCCACCAGCCCAACATGACTACAGGCAGTAAGAACACCGACAAACGTTACATGATTTGGCTCTATGCCCGAACTTTTCATTTCCCTGAATAATGTGAGAGCTTCCTCTCCAAATCCAGACTGTGCATATCCAACTATCAAGGTGCTCCACGAAACTACATCTCCGTTATCCATTGAATCAAAAATCCTTCTCGCTTGCCCCAGTGATCCACACTTGGCATACATATCAATAAGTCCGTTTTTTATAAATTGCTCAAGCACCAACCCGGTTTTCAAACTATAGCAATGGACTTGACTTCCCAATTTTAGAGATGAGATTTCCACACAACCCCGCAACAGATTACCCATGGTTATGTGATCTGGCTCACACTCAGACACAAGCATCAGCTTAAACAATCTCAACATCTCTACTGGCTGTTCGTGTTGCAAACATGCCGTCAGAATAGCATTCCAAGAAACCGAATCTGCGTTGTTTCTGAAGTCTTCAAATAAATTAAAACAACGATACAAGTCCGAGCAGAAGGTGTACATGGTAAGCAGAGAGTTGCAAACTGAAAGATCTGCCAGGAAACCACACTTGATAATGAAAGAGTGAATTTGCATGCCTTGACACAAAGCCATTGGTTTTGTCTGAGCACAGAGCAAAGAACGCAAGGAGATGGCATCAGGAATAAAACCAGAATTCCTCATCTGAGAGAAAACTGATACAGCCTCATCAGCGTAACCATTATTTGCAAGTCCAGCAATGATCACATTCCACGATGCTGTATCAGGTCTTTCTATTTGATTAAATACTCTCCTTGCAGAATCCAGGAAACCGCATCTAGCATACATGTCACAGAGCGAACAGCCTGCAATAGCGTTTCCAGCTAACTCCGACTTAATGCATAACCCATGTATTTGGCTACCATAATCTGGTCTAAGGAGACTGCTACAAGCTTTCAAAGAACTACCAAATATATATTCATTTGGATGGAAAACACCAAAAGACAACATTTCTTTTAGGTGGCTCAGGGCTTCAAACTCAAACCCAAGTTGCGAGAACCCTGCGATGATTGAGCTCCACGAAATTAGATCCTTCGCTGGGATACCATAGAACAATTTGCTGGCATCTGAGATTTGATTGAAGCGAACATACATAGCAATCAAAGCATTTTGAGCAATAAGATGAGAACTGGATTCCAACTTAATGACTTGCGCATGCAGTTGCTTCCCTAACCCAACATCACCAGTACTAGCACATGCTTTGATGATGCTTCCAAATGCAAACTGGTCAGGAACTAAATCTTCCTGAAGCATTTTCAAGTACAATCTGATTGCCTCGGCTTCCTGACCGTTCTGTGAATAGCCAGTAATCACAGATGTGTAAGAGACCAAATTCCTTCCAGGCATAAAATCAAAAACTTCTCTAGCATCCCTCAGCGAGCCACATTTCCCATACATACTAAGAATGTGATTATTAAGAATAGTATCATACTTGCAGTTGGAATTCAAAATGTGATCATGTATCTTTCTGCCTTGTGCTAGAGATCTAGATGAAGAGCAAGCACAAATTAAAGAGATATAGGTTCTTAACCTTATCTTGCAGCTTGAGTTCTTCTGCGCAAAATCAAACGCTTCCAGTGCTTCCCTGTAGAAATTATTTCTACAAAGGGAATTTATGTGATCATTCATTAACTCTTCGGTCTTGATGGTTGATACAACACTTGATGTTGCCGGTATCTGACTATTGCTGACGGAAAATCTAGCTCCTAATCTTAACATTTTCGCCATTTCTGTAAATCTTTCTAATCCAAACGAAGTTCAGCTAGAAAGACATGTCACTCGGCGAAGCATCCAACTAACCAAACAAAGAATACTCTATCTTCCTCGAGGATGACTGCAATAGAATCCATTGGATCAAACTTCTTCAAAACATACACAACTGAATTTTAATGTTCATGAGCTCAATACACACCAAGCACAACAGAGGAATATAGAGAACCAATGTCAAAGAATAGCTATCACAGACATTTTATCGAGCAGGTGGTGTACACAATGTAAAAAAAAAAAACAGAAACCTTTTTGACATCAGATTTTTGATTATTGTTCCAACGGTGTCTGAGTAATGAGAATGGTGGACTCTGGCTCCAATTTCAGTTATTCAAAATGAGGAATAAGGACCAAGAAGAACCGTTATGGTTTTAGTGGCGTGGGAAAATTTACGAGGTTTCAAGGATCTATCTGGTGGATACGAGTTAGTTACAGTTGGTTAAGGTTTTAAATATGGTTCAACCGACACGAATTAGATTGAACCGAAAAATCTGATATCTGGTTTCCGCCATAACCGGAAATTGGGAGGGTGATGAAATCAGCTCTTGGCCTATTTACAGCTCCCAACAAGTGAAATTTACTTCCAGCAAAACAAATCAAATAGTAATAAAATAGCATCAAGCCATCAACTTCAAAAGATTCCATAAAAATGCACGATTATTCTATGTTTTAGCAAAATATACAGATTAATTATCTTGTTTCACAAAGTCACCACCACGTATTCATGTTAGATCGACGAGTTGCTCTCCAATTCCAATTTCAACTCAAATGTTTCATTTTTAACAACGTTGCTTAGTTTCAACACTCCATTTCTAGTAACTAATATCACTTTCAAATGTTCAATGTAACACTCCACTTCAATGTTCAACATATATCACTTTCAAATGTATGTAGATAAAACACGGAACCTTAATGTGTTTTTGTGAAAATTGTTTAAACATTTGTGATTTTTGTTATGGAATTTCGCCATTTATAAAGTATATAGAGATATAGGTAAGCTAGGTTTGTGTCCTTGTGTGAGTGACTTGTGGTTGCGTGACCGTTCGTTGTTCATAAGTAGCAATATGAGGCCAAACAATAGCACGTGACTCGGGCGCGTCTACTAGGCGCGTAGCTTAAAAAACGCCCCCTCCACGTTCTTCTACTTTCGGTCCATTCTATCAATTAATTTCAAAATAGCCCCTGATATTTATTGATCCATTTCATTATCAACCCCACAAGTTTTTTTGATTATCCAAAAGAAAATATTTAATTTTGCAGAATAACCAAAAGGAAGGAATCCAACGTAGAGGATTAAATCATTGATAAAACTTTAAAAATATTGAAAATTACAGATTCTTTTTAGGAAAAAAGATGGCTGGCTACACGAAGTATCCGCGAAGACATGGCCACACATGCAAAGTTTAATAATGGATCCTAAACTACATGAACTATATGTATCGCATGCCCACATATACGAACTATATGTAGTCATGTCGCCAACATCACGAACATTTTTTTCCGGTACACTTTTCGCCGGAATCCGGCATTGACCAATTTGACCGGCGTTGACCAACATAAATATTTTTTAATATTTAGAAAATTATGTTATTGAATCATTTATAATATTGTATAATTAAAAAATATATACAATATTCAATATAAAAATATTTTGTATATATATTCAATGCATTGATTTTTAGAATTAGTTAGTTTCAATAATTTCAAAACTAAACTAAAAATAAAACAAAAACCAATTAGGTAAAATAATTATAAATAGAAAATTTTAAATACTCTCTAGTCTAAAGTTTTTTTATAATATGTTGTTAATTTTTTTTGTATTATTAAAAGAATTTTTCGTAATAATTTTAGATACAAAAATTAACAACATATTATACAAAAAACTTTAGACTAGAGAGTATAGAAAATTTCATATTTACAATTATTTTACCTAATTGGTTTTTATTTTATTTTTAGTTTAGTTTTGAAATTATTAAAACTAACTAATTATAAAAATCAATGCATTGAATATATATACAAAATATTTTTATATTGAATATTGTATATATTTTTTTAATTATATAATATTATAAATGATTCAATAACATAATTTTCTAAATATTAAAAAACTAAAAAAAAAATTTTTTTTGAATATTTATGTTGGTCAACGACAGTCAAACTGGTCAATACCGGATTCCGGCGAAAAATGTATCGGAAAAAAATGTTTGTGATGTTGGCGACATGACTACATATAGTTCGTATATGTGGGCATGCGATACATATAGTTTGTGTAGTTAGAGATACATTTTTAAACTTTGCATGTGTGGCCATGTTTTCGCGGATACTTCGTGTAGCCAGCCATCTTTTTTCCTTTCTTTTTATTAAGAAGCGAGGTGGAAACAGCCCAATCATTACTTCAGGGGTTACTTTTGATATATTTTCAGTAAGTTGAAAATAAATGTTCTTCAGTGGGAAAAAACGACTCGAGAGTCCAGTGGGAAAAAAATAACAGTCCGACGAGAAAGAGGAAAGATCAAATCATCTAAAGTTCGTGGCTTGATTCTGCAATTCTCCATTTTAAACCAACAAAAAAAGAAGCTAAATCGACGTTATCTAGGTGAATATTTCTTCATGACTTTGTCAAACACTCAAAAAATTCTCTTCCTTTTCACATGATTTATTCCTGATTTCAGTGGGATTTTTTTTCCTTTTTTCTGAGAAGTTTATCAATCTTTTTAGGTAGGTAATTACTAGTTTGTGTTTTTTTTTTTTTTTTTTCTTTTTCTACTAATTTGCTGCCGAAAGTGTTAATCTTTGGTTGGTTTAAAGGTTTAAATTTGCTTACATCTACTCAAAACTTTTATTTTGGTTGGTAGCTTAAAGATTCAGTCAAAAAACTTTTAATCTTTGTTTTCCTGCAAAAAGCAAAAGTGTTTCTGTTGTTTATGTAATAAACACTTTTTGCAGAGAATGTTAGAAGATTCTAGTTTTAGACAATATGTAAAAACGATTTCTTTTCTGGGTTTTCTGTTTTTGGATCTGTGTTTCTTTTTTGGGAAGATCCAACCAATGAAACCAAATCTCACATTACAAAATGACAAGAAATTGTCTCTTCTTCCCAATAATTCCAAAACTTTGATTTGATAAAAAAATATATAAATAAATTGGTGACTTAACAACCAAAAAGATTATGTGAAAGATATTGGTGCTTTCTTTGCTTGTAATAGGGTTTATCTTTTGGTGATTTGATGAATCACATTGACGGCAACTTTGTTTCTAAATAGAAGACTTCAAAATGTTTATATATTTCTTCCAAATAAGTTCAATATTCATTTGCTGTCTCTTTGCTTTCGTTTGGTGGCAGTAGGAGTCTCTTTGAAGCTAAATGTGTAATGTTATTCTAACTATTTTTAATTTGTTATGGTTTTTTTTTGTACACTTGATTAAGGTTTCTGTCTCTCCTGAGTTTGTTGTCTATATGCTTGTGATAAGTTTTTTTTTTCCTCTGTTGCTTCTTTCTCACACTTTTCATTGGTCTTCATGTACTATTTGTCAGATTCTTCAAAGAAGCAATCATAACGCAATTGATTATATCCAAAAAGAAAAGTTTTTCTTAACTCTTGATCTATAACAATGCAGACTCCAAAATCAAGGTGATGATCTCAACTCTAACTTTGTGTTCTTGTTGTGAATGTTGTTGGAGTTATTGATCTGTTTCAATGTGATTGTGATTGTGTGTGATAGGCCAGGATCGTTGGAGCTGCCACAGAAGAAATCTCCTTTACCAGCTCCCAAAGTTGCTCGGAGACTCAAGCCAAGCGGAGCAGAATCCGATCCAAAAACCAAGACAATATCGAAAACTCAAATCCCGAAAGTAGTAGCTGATCGTCGTTCGCCAAGAATTCCTCTTAATGAGGTACTTTTGCAGTTAAAGATTGTTGATTTTGGTGTATGCAAGTTGTATATATGATGATTCTTGATTATGTTGTGAAGTACTCAGTCGTGTGATCTAGTTTGTATATATGATTGTTGCTTTTCAAGATTCAGAAGAAGCGGACAGGAAGGGTACCGGAACTAGAATCTCAGATATCGCAGCTTCAAAAAGAGCTTAAGAAGGCAAAAGAAGAGCTAAACAGATCAGAAGCATTAAAGAGGGAAGCTCAAGAGGAAGCTGAAGATGCCAAACATCAGTTAATGGACATCAATGCCTCGGAAGATTCAAGAATTGAGGAGCTGCGTAAACTCTCGCAGGAGCGAGACAAAACATGGCAATCTGAACTTGAGGCTATGCAGAGACAACATGGAATGGATTCAGCTGCTTTGTCTTCTGCCATTAACGAAGTTCAGAAACTGAAATCAAAGCTCTTTGAGTCCGAGTCCGAGTTAGAGCAGTCCAAATTTGAGGTAAGGTCTTTAGAGAATCTTGTTAGACAGCTCGAGGAAGAAAGAGTAAACAGTAGAGACTCAACAGCATCAATGGAAGTGGAAGAGCTGAAAGAAGCAATGAATCTTGCAAGGCAAGAGATAATACAATTGAAATCTGCAGTTGAAGCAGCAGAGACAAGGTACCAAGAAGAGTATATACAGAGCACATTGCAGATAAGAAGCGCTTACGAACAAACAGAGGCGGTTAAATCAAGATATTCACAGAGAGAGGCCGAGTTAACGGAAGAATTGAAGAGAACCAAAGATGAAATCGAATGTTTGCGCAAAGAGTTAATGGATAAGAAGAACGAAGACGAATTTACGGGCGATTTAAAGAAGCTTGAATCGGATTTGATGGAAGTGAGAGGGAGTTTAATGGATAAGGAGATGGAGTTGCAGATTCTAAAGAGTGCAATGGAGAAGAAAGTGGACACCGCAAACACGGAAGCCATGGAAGCTGAGCTTAGAAGAGTGAAGGTTCAATGTGAGCAATGGAGGAAAGCTGCCGAGACAGCGGCTTCTATACTGAACAATGATGAGGAAAGAACAGATTCTATTGAGACTAGCAAAATGTTGAAGAAGTTTGGTGTGTTACTCAAGAAAAACCATAAGTAATAATAATAATACTGATTCTTTTTTACTTCATTTAATAAAATTGAAAAAATGGCATTATTGTTGTATGTAAATTTGTAAAATTTCGATTTGATTTGTCTAAATTTATAATTTTGTAAACGTTGCCACATTTGTTGATGAAATTTGTATTGTGAAGTGTTCATTTGCATTCAAGACTTGTTATAAAACTGCTAGTGACCATCTGGATTATAATGGTGCTGTTGAGTGTGAGCAGCTAACAGCAAATTTAGTTTGGTCCTGTGCATTGATTTTACATGTATAGAAGAGTGTAAAGTAAAAGTTTTGTAATAGAATTTGAAACTGTAAGAAGCCACAATGACACATGATACCTCTCAAGTCTTGGATCTTCCTCTTGACATTTTCTTCTGTCTATTTTTTTTTTGTTGCGCACTAAACGCTTTAGAGGGCCTACTAGATTGTCTTTGGTGATGGACAACCAAATCCACTTCATGAAAACATTTGACTTTTTTTTTTCGTTCTTGGCTGAGATTCTGTTTGAAAAATCGCTAGGCGCTAGTCGGGCGCTCGGCATGGGCCTACCGATTAATCGGAAAATCGGATTAAAATCGGGGATTAATCGGAAACTAGTTTTAGGGTTATTTTAATATTTTTAAAACATATTAGTCCAATATTTATTTCAAAATTGCAGTAAACACATAATAATGTATTTTTGAGACATATTTTTATAATTTTTATTAAAATTTTATGATTTTTATTTAAATTTGAACATAAGTTATTATAAAACATCACAAAGTCCCAATTCTAATGATTGAATAACAAAAATAAAAAGTTTTTTATACTTGTAATCTAAAAATAATCGGGATATGTAAAATTAGTCGGAGAGTAATCGGATTAGGCGGGAAGTAATCGGATTAGGCGGAGAGTAATCGGAGAACTGATTTCTTTATGGGATTAGTCATTAATCGAGGCGGAGAGGGTGGACCTCGCGATTAAGCAGGGAGTAATCGGGTTAGGCGGGGGTTTTTAGAACAGGGGTTGAGACTAACCCATTCTAGAGAATCGAAAATGCAATCAGTCCACCTTGCCACTAATATTTTTACAATTTTTTTAACCTAGTTTTTAGATATCAATTATTAATTAACTATACTAGGTTTTATTGCAAAACTAATACTACTTTTTTCAAAAAAAATACACTTATTAGCTTAAATGAAAGATTAAAAACTGAATTAAAATAAATATAACAAGAAAAACTGTAAAATACGCATTTAATTAAATTAGACGATTACATAAGAAATTACATGTCACTGATAAAGATCACTTATCTCTTAACAAACTATTTGGATAAATTAAATCCACTTATATAAATACAATGGTATATAAAAAAGATCATGTATTTTACTATAGTTACGTGATAGAAGAAAATTTTCTAAAATCCATGTTTTTTAATATAACAAATTAAAAAGTTCATTATCTTTAACTAACTCTTAAATATTATATTACTACTTTATTTCACCCAATTACTAAAAAAAGCAGAATAAAGAAATATTATTGTTGAGGAAAAAAAAAGAGTTTTTTGTTTGTTTGTTTTTGTCAATAAACAAAAAAAAATGAACGGTGTCGATAAAAAAATAAAAAAGCCCTAATCGTTGAATCGCAGACAAAGCTCCTCTCTTCTCCAGCGTCGGATCAGATCAGATCAATCTCTCTCTCCTTCTCCGTCTCCTCCTCCAATCATCATTTCTCTCTCCGTCTCCCGCTCTTTTTCGAATTCTTCCTCTTCAGGTAATCCAATCAATCATCACTTCTTCGCGCTTTCTGGGTTTGGTCTGAGAAAATCGGATCTCTAATTATCTGAGAATTTATAGGGTTTCTTAGATGGCCGAATCGCAAACCGGAGGTGGTGGTGGTGGAAGCCATGAGAGTGGCGGAGATCAGAGCCCGAGGTCGTTGAATGTTCGTGAGCAGGATAGGTTTCTTCCGATTGCTAACATAAGCCGTATCATGAAGAGAGGTTTACCTCTTAATGGCAAAATTGCTAAAGATGCTAAAGAGACTATGCAGGAATGTGTCTCTGAATTCATCAGCTTCGTCACCAGCGAGTAATTCCTTTCTCAAAAATGTTATCTTTTTTTTTTCTGCAAAAAAATTGATGCTTTGGTGGTTATAGCATGAAAAAGCCTCTTCTTTGTTACGTTAGATTGATGTATATTGGATTAGGATTCTGCTAGTTCACTATGTCAGTGTTGGGATGTGCTTTTTTTTTGTATGATGCAATGTGGTTTGATGATGTTGTGCATATTTTGACGAGCAGGGCTAGTGATAAGTGCCAGAGAGAGAAAAGGAAGACCATCAATGGAGATGATTTGCTTTGGGCTATGGCCACTTTAGGCTTCGAAGATTACATCGATCCCCTCAAGGTTTACCTGATGCGATATAGAGAGGTATGTTCCACTTCAGCTTATTCAGTTTACATCAAGAGAATTTCTGCTATACATTCACTGACTCTCTGTTTTTCCTTCTCATTTCATTGTATATGCTATATGGATTGGAATTTTGCAGATGGAGGTTAGTGGTTCTCCTCTTTTGTTATCTTTTTTTACAGCTTACCGTTATCTTTCTGATAGTCGAGTTTTGTACGTCGATCCTTTTCTGGGGCATATGGTGTATGATTGTAGCTAATTAGGATTGTTTGCTACCCTTTTGCCATTGTTATCCGTCTGATAGGGTGACACTAAAGGATCAGGAAAAGGCGGGGAATCGAGTGCAAAGAGGGATGGTCAACCAAACCAAGTGTCTCAGGTAATGACTCGATTGACACGGTCGTTTTACCTAAGCATTATTTTTTTCCGCTTATGAAAATGTGCGAGCTAATTTATTGTTTCCCTGTCTTTACTTTCTGAACAGTTCTCGCAGGTTCCTCAACAGGGCTCATTCTCACAGGGTCCTTATGGAAACCCTCAAGTAAGTGTTTCCGATAAAAGAAATGTTAATACTTATATATGAATTCATTCTCTACATAGAGCAGAGCCGGAGTAAAAAGGAGAGAATGTTATACAATTAAAGGATTTAAGGACTTTAATAGACTTGGTGAAACATCATATATGCATATCCACTTTTTGAAATCTAGACATAGGCCCTCATATGTCCCTGTCTCTGAGCTTCGACAATAGCATCAAGCATCTTGAAGTGTTAATGGTATTTGTAATCTATCAATGTGCATATAATTGATTAAAACTCGTTTGTGACTGTAGGGTTCGAATATGATGGTTCAAATGCCGGGCACAGAGTAGTACTAGGGCACTATTCATCACAATCTTCCGAGACTCGACTATTCCGGTTGTGTCTGAGAATCTGAGTGATCCACTGTTCATAGATATGGATTGTGGTATCTCAGTTTTGGGAGAGAGAAGATTTGTATATGATTGTGTTGTAGGGAGAAGAGTTTGGTTTGCTTAAGACAAGAATTGAAGAAGCACGTTTTTTTTTCATTTGATTGTTATGTTTCTTAGGTTTTGGTCTTAAGAAGAAGCTATTTATCATCACTTGATTGCCCTGTTGATCCTTCATGCAAGTGAGCCGTTACTTTCGTAAAACAACATCATGATTAATAATTTAGTCTCTTTGATATTTTGGTCCTAAATTCTGAGTTTGGTTTGGCATCATCAATTGATAAAAAGAAACGAACAGTTCCTAAACTTGATATTGAATCGTTGTGGTGTGGCAAAATTCATGATCTAAGCTGTATAAAAAAAGTTTGTGATAACTCGGTTTATCCATTGAGAAGGCTTTCCGTTGCTGCTAAGAATCTAACACATGGGATATGTGACATGTCATATGGAACATGTTAATGTTTTTGGGCATCCTCTTGATCAAACTAGATAGAAACTTTGAAAATTTAATAAAAACTGAATAACAAAATCTAAACGAAACAATGTAGAAAAAAACACACATAAAACACTTACAAAAACCAAAAAACTCTTAAAGACTTAAACTAAACTCAATGCTTAGTGATGAGGTCTGAAAGGGTGTGACCACCATCTGTTGAAGCGGTCAATAGGTGACAACTTCTTCTTGGGAACATTCGGGAAAGTAACAGCTTCGGTTGATGGTTGCACCGTGACTCGAAGCTTAATCCCGGCCTGACAAAGACCGGTCTTTAAGCTTACAAAATAATGCACTCCTGGTTTGGTGAGCTTAATGAGATCGTGTCCCGTTTTGTACACGGCTACGGTAGAATTCGGTTCGCAGGATTTGAAATCAAGGTCATCGGTGATTTCCCTAACGTCGTTGAGGTCCTTGTTGTATTGGAAAAAGAGAGTATCTCCAACATGAAACTGTTTTGCCTCACTCCACTTGTAATAGTAAAAACTGTTATAAACGCTCCATCCTCTGGAATCACCAACCTTGTAGATCTTACCAAAAGGAAGGACCTTGCTCGGTGGTGGTGGTGGAGGAGTAGTAATTGGACGTGAAGGTTCATGGATTTTGCTCGGTGGTGGTGGTGGAGGAGTAATCGGACGTGATGGTTCATGGATCTTGCTCGGTGGTGGTGGTGGTGGAGGAATCAGACGTGACTTGTCATGGACGACAAGAACGTCGAGTTTCAGTCCATTAACGCATTGAATATGATTTGAGCTGATGAAGTAGTGATATCCTGGTTCCTTGAGGGTTACGACATCGTGTCCGGTGTTGTAAACGGCTTTAGGAGAAGAAGAATCGCATGACACGTACTCTAAAGCGCTAGAGACTTGAGTGACGTCGCTGATGTTCTGATCGTATTCGAAGATCAGAGAATCTCCGACTTGGAATTCTTTATGCTCAGCCCAAGAGTAATTTTTCGCATTCCATCCATTAGAACCTCCAACTTTGTAGATTTTCCCCGAGCAGCAACCCAAGAGAACCGTGATTGCGAGCACAAAGCCAAAGATCTTCTTTGTGATCATGATTTGATCGTATAAGAAGAAGAAGAAAGATGATGAAATATATAAACTCGTTGGATCAGAGCGAGTATTTGAACTAGTGTTTATGAATGTGTTTGTGAAAAAGAAGTCTTGTATCTCCCTCTACTTATATAGATTTACCCATCCCAAATCATAATCCTAGTCTTTTTAGGATTTTGTTTAATTTATTTTATTTTTCTTTATATACGGATAAATTCAAAACGGTTTTCCAGTTAATCCTTTCTACAATCCATTGCTGATTAGTTTTTTTTTTTTATAGTATATTTAGTGTAATGGAAAATTTTATCTTATTTTATACAATCTACATATACATTTTTACAGGGGATTTTTGCATAAATTCTTTTGGATCCGGGTTTTACCCGGTTTTAGTCTATTCGGATCTTGGATAAGCAATTTAAGGGATGTTGTAATAAAAACAATATTTTCGGAGCAACTTAAAAGTAACTACTCGGGTTTGAGCAATCCTAATCATTCACTATTTTTGGTATCTAAATTAAGGCATATTCGATCATATATCCGCTAATTCCTAAACTAATGATATTGTAATATTCACTTAGATCTAATCCTAACTATAAAAGACTCTACAATATCCTTATTCGTCCAAAATTAGTGAATCATTCATTCATATACCAAATACGAATATATGTTGTTGACGCAATCTTTTATTTTATAGTTTCTCTCCAAGATTTTAGGCTTGATCTCCAAGATTTTCTCTAATCTGACTAAGCCATAAACCTAGACCTCTAACATCTCTATAAATATATAGCTTCGTGAGACCACTTTCTAACTCATCAAGCACTTCCTTCATTCCTTACTAAATTAAGGTTCATTCAAAAATTTCTCTACAATGTCTCAAACAGTCGTTCATACCTACCTGCAAAACATACACAATAAAATTTGGTGAGATTTACTTATATTTTTAATAACCATCTCAGTTTATGAATGCCAGAAATATACTTTGAATGTATGCAGGTTACCAAACGATGGTTTTGCTCCAATCTTTGAGAGCAAGCCAAAGCCGGATCTGCAAGTGTTTGTAGCAGGAGATTTGTTCTCCAATTCCCTAAAAAGACCATCAAAATATCTTTTGAGATGTTCAAGGTAATATAATTTTCTTCGGTTTCAGAAATTAAATATGCAATGGTACTAAATTTTAATATCCTTTTTGTAGTACCTATTGACTTTTCTCTTGCCAATACAAAGAACATTCTCCATTTGTTTCTTACACCATTCAGTGCAGGTGAAATCTGTGACACCTAAAGCTTAATTTCTCCTTTATCGATCATGTGACCTGTGCAAACCACAAGAGAGAGAACTAGAGAGATAAGAGAATCTGACCCTAAAGAGATGAGGAGGTCGAGATTCCAACATTACCATCTGAGCCAATAATGCATACCTTCTCAGTTGGAGGTGGAGGCACATGTACAGTCTCAGCTTCTTCCACATTGAAGGGCTCATCAATTTTGTTAGAGTCTGTCGAGAGATATATACCTCCCGCCACCAGAGGCAGAAACAAACCTAATGCAACATAATCCAAAAACTAATAGATCTATATCTCTTACCTGTAATCGAAAGTGGTTATCTATTGATCCTTGGTTAAATATCTGCAAATTCAGATGGAAAAAAAAACATAAACTAAATCAAATACTAAATGGTAATCGGAAATAGAAATCGATATAAACATAATAACATAAAACAATTGGAGTAACCATCTAGAACTGAATTCAAAAATTGAAATTGACATCACTTCAAATCATTACAGACGGATTGAAAACCCAGGAGATGTAATTTAAACGAAAATCAAAATGAGGATAGAAGCTTGAAGCTTACCTTAAAAAGCTGAACGAAATTGGAGGTAAACCCATAAGTGGAGTGATGGTCGTGTTCGTTGTTCGGCTGAGAAGACAGTTGTGTTTGGTGAAGGATTATGTTTGTTCTGATGTTGGGTATTATTACTGGGCTAAACCCTAACTTGATTAGGGTTTATCAAAGAAGAACAAAAAGGAGATGAGAAGTAGAAGAAAGAGATGAGAAATCAGAAGAAATTGAGGAAGAAGATGATTGTTTTTAATTTTGTTGATCTTTCGATAAAATGTTTTCCCAGGACAAAGGAAACCTAAATAGTAAATACAATGTAAGAGACAATGGCATAAAACGTAAATAAGCTAAATAAGAGGACTTGGGCTTCTAGACTTCTTCTTCAATCGTCAGGCCCAATAAGGATCCACTCCAGGATCGTATCACCCACTAGCCATCATTAATAATATATACAAACTAATAGCGTACACTACATTAATATCAATTATAAAAAATTACATGTATTTTTTGAAAGATACAATATAAAATTTCAAATAAATATCTACGCTAGCAGTGTACCGCGGTTTCAATTTTTGGGTTAAGTCCGATCCTTTTTATTTTTTATAACATATTAATAATACACATATACAACACTATATAGCATTTTTATATATTAAACATAAATTTATAAACAAGAAAATATAAAAAAATATTTGAACCCGCGGTGTACCGCGGGTCAATGTCTAGTTAATTACAAAATCTTAACATCGTATTTTCGATGGGCTAATATATCTGGGCATTAGGTTTTATGCATTAAGGCCCATATGAGATCATATTTTTCTAAAAGGGAAAAACATGAAATATAAATAAAAATGGACGGGGAACAAATCCAACGGTCGAGAATCGATCAAAGCCATTACTCGATTAAGAAGTGAACACAACCGCGCTCACTAACTCAAAAAACCCTCGATTTCTCAAAGAGAGTGGGAACAAATCGAATCTATCTTCAATTCAAATTTCATCTTCTTCCTCAATCTCTGAGGTTCTTTGAGCAAACTCAGCATTTTCGATCTCTGTTCAATGGAAGATAACGAGACCAAGAAAAGCGAGGTTGAAGTTGATGGCCTTGGTTTGATTGATGTCGCTTCTGAAGACGATAGCCTTCTCTTCTCCTCCTTTCCCGACCCAACCAGCTACGAGTTTTCCGGTGAACTTCAATACCTCTTCTTATTCTCCTTTAATTTTGGATTTATGTATTCTGGGGTTTTGTTAATATCTCCGAATCTGCTTGATTACCTAGAGATCCATTTCTATAGTATACTTAGGCGATTGTTACTACTGTAGCGAGTTGGCATTGGATTTGAATTTAAAGTTGTGAATTTTGTGTTTTACATTTCAGAGACAGATAAGGATGAGAAATGTTTGAAGGATGACAAAGATCTAAATTTCATGAGGGATACACAGTATTGTGATGATGAGATACTGGTTTCTTCAATTGAAGAGAAGGAAGAGGTGCTTCAACCTCACGAGTCGCCTGAGCCTGAGAAGGTGATGAAGAAAGGAAAGTATAATTTGCGCAAAAGTCTTGCTTGGGACAATGAGTTCTTCACTAGCGCTGGTAAGTTCACCTAGATTTGTAGTAGTTTGTATGTCATTATGTGTTACTTACTTTTGCTGAGATTTAATGTTAAAAAATCAGGTGTTTTGGAACCCGAGGAACTGTCAAGTATGATGGAAAACAATCATAAGAGTGGGAAGAAAACTTTACCGACCATTCTAGAGGATATTAATAGATCTACGGAATCCATTTCTACATTTCAAAGTGACTGCACTGTGGAGAACAGTCAGGAGTTTGTTTTGTTTGAGGATGTAAGAGCGTCTATTCAAAGGTCTGCTAAAACATCTGATGCTGCAACACCCGGGAAAAATAATGAATTGAGAGCAACAGAAGTAGCAATGACCCCAAGTGAGTCTTCTTTATTCTTTCAATCGCGTAGAGGGAGTGGAACTAGATTTGCCTGTTTAAGCAGTTATATGCCTTTCCCACGCAGTTATCTATGAATGTAATCTGTTTCTATGGTCTAGCTCGAGCTTTCCTCAGTTAATGGCTCTCTAACAAGGAAAAGAATCTGCCTTATTAGTTTTGTGTTTGTGCTTGACTTCACCATTTGGATCTTTTAAAGTAATGAAGCTGTTCCTGTCCGTTTCTCTCTTTATGGCTTCACAAAGAAAGAACTAGTATCTAATGTGAGCTAATCTTAGATGCCAAGTATTCCATCATATTTCGTTAAGAGTGTCCTGCTACTGTGTTTTAATTTTGTGGCATTAGATGAACTGTTTTAATCTGTTGACACTAGACCATACGCATTTGCAGCAATAGTTAATTCTTGTGATTTCTATGCGAAGCTGAGCATCTTATGCATTATTTCTCTGAAATTCCAGCTTCAAGTACAGTGGACATCATTGCCTCTCAAGAAAAGGTAAATCTGCTAACAACTGCACCCTGTGGATTTCTCGTTTTATTCCCTCCTCAGCTAACTTTCCCTTTAATTTATTTATTTCTCAGACTAAACCCAAAGCCAGTCCTAAAAGTCGGAGTATTAGAGCACAAGGACTCGGGAAGGCAACAAAACAGGTATATCATCTTTATTCGGTTTCTCAAATGCATATTAACTAAAGGATTTATTTCTTCGTCTTAAATTTCATTTCATGGCTCGAGAACAATTGGTTTCTCCTAGGTTTCCAGTGGTAATGAGCTGGACTAATAAACTTGATATGGCTCTGTTGAATGGAATCTATGAATCAGAAGCGTGTCATCAATATTTGTTATAGCTTACTCTGTACTTCTGTAGTGAACCACAAAATGAATATACTGGATATTGTAATAAATGTTACATTTTCTGCAGCCTGTTGCCTCAAGAGGTTTCAGTACATCCATTTCTAAGCCACCCAACGGACTCAGCAAAGTCAGGCCCTTGTCAACAACATCAACGAACAGGGCGTCATTTGATATAAGCAAAACCAAACAAGAAAATAATTCCAAATTCCCTGCGGGTTAGTCAGAACTTGTTCTTTATAAGGTTTACACTTTCCTTTTTCACATTTAATGACCTTGGATAATACAGGTAAAGAGCTACAGAGTCCCAGAATATCCATTTCGCGACGTGCTAAACCTGTCTTGCCAAAACCTGGTTTGCCTTTGAAATCTTCTTTACGTTCTTCAGTTGCCTCAAAAAATGAAATGACCTCTTCATGCTCTTCACTAGAGAGCTGTGCCAGTGCTTCATCTAGCGCTTCTCAAAAACCTTCTATAGACTCGATAAAGAAGAAGAATGATTCAAGTTCCAGATTAGCTTCCCAGCCATTGGCAAATCGATCTACATCTAGAGGTATTATGGGCCAGCCAAGAATCCCACCCCAACCAACCAATAAGACATCCAAGCCCAAGCTTTCCTCTAGTGTACCAACTGCTGGTTCTATCAGTGACTGTTCATCAGAGTCATCACGAGCTTCTGAAACTAGTAAAATGGCTAACGGTAACCAGAAAACGGTCTCTCGTGAAAAGGGTCCTGCAAATGCTAATACAGTACAAACTGCGAAACCTCTCAAGAACTCCAAAGATGCATCTGTTGTTCAAGCTGATGCTAAGGAAGGCACGAAACGAGCTTCAGCTATGAACGGTGGTTTGGCTCCTTCAGCTTCCACAAAACCATCAGGTCTCCGTGTGCCATCACCAAAAATCGGCTTCTTTGATGGAGTAAGACCCCAACATTCACGAAAAAATACAAAGACCAATTTTGCAGTTGTTTGTTCCTTGAGTAAGTAATTGATGTCTCTCGTTGTTTATCTCTTTGTTAAACAGGCAAGACATGGATCATCTTCATCTGCCAGTAAGAAGTCTGGAAAGTCTCAACCCGCGAGGTCTCCAATACAAGAGTCGTCGAATTCAAAAACTAAGGCAAGTTCAAAGCTTGACTCTGTCTCGTCTCCAAAACTGGCAAACAAATTGTATTCCAAAATCAATGCAGAAGATCAACTCGAGGGATGATGATGAGAATGAGATGCCTGAAGTTATCAATAGTTAATGGAGCTCCTCTGTTTCGTTTTTAAATAGGAATATCCTTGTATGTTAGATTCATATGTATCCCATCATCCCAAAAAAAGCACATTATGAAATTGTGCGTAAAGAAACTTAATCTAACGAGTTCTAATATTATGGAACTTACGAATTAATCTGGTTTATAAGATGCTCTTTAACATAACCAAAATCATGCCTTACCACATTGTCTTATTTTACTACATAAGTGAAAAAGATCAGAAAAATGTAGCTATTTTGGTTAATTGTATTTGTCAAAAAATAAGGAAAATATTATTTTTCTTAAAAAGAAAATGAAATATGAAGGTAAAAAAATTATGAAAACTGGAAAAAATAAACAGAGAAAAGGACATGGAAATAGTCTCTGATGCGTATGTACGGATCGAAAGCAAGTTTCAGAAGTCGAACACGAATTAGAATTCAGCTTCTGTTTTCTTTTTGACTGTACTTTATTACAAGTTATGGGTCAAAGTGCGAAAAAATAAAATCTTTGAGATAGTACTCTGTTTTTTTTCAAGAACGCAGAGGTGTTCTTTGACTCATTTCTCTCTCTCTTTTTCCTTCAAACTCTCTCTCTCTCGCTTCTCCACACAAAATCTCTCTCAGATCTCTCTGAACCTTCAACGTTTTCTCCCTCTCACTTGCTAAGAAACCCATTTCGAGTCTCTCTCTCTCGCTTCCAACCTCATTCCATGGCTGACAATAGCGATTTGTTTCCACGTTTCTTCAAAGTTTTCCTCTCTGAAACGGCTTCTGAATCGTTGGTAAGAACCTCTCTCTCTTTCTTTCTTCTCTTGTTTCTGTACTAGGAAAAGTCTCAGACTTTGAATTTCAAGTATTAGTATGAAATTTTTAGTTTTATGAGAAAGATAGAATCTTTAGCTAGTTTAGCAGTTAGGGTTTGTGTTTTCAATCTGTCTTTTGCAATCTAGTCGGAAATGAGAAACGAGCTGTGAAAATGGAATTGATGAAAAACTCTGGATCTGTTTCTTTGTATCTCGTTCACTAAAGCATAGGTCAAAACTGTTGCTGTTTAACTTGAAACAGAGAGACTCAAGGACTTTGATGACATTTTACTTGTGAATTTGTGTTGAGTTTTGTTTTTTAAGTTGTAACAAGTAATTCTGATGTTTGACATTTGTGTTTGGTTTGGTTCATCAGGTGATTCCATTGTCTTTCAACGAATTTCTTGCTGATCCATTGCCAAAGACAGTGAAGCTCCAAGGTATTGGAGGAAAGATTTGGACTGTGAGCTTGGAGAAGATAAGCGGGGCTGTGTATTTTACTACCGGATGGTCAAAATTCGCAAAGGACCACGAGCTGAAGAACGGAGAGTTCATGACATTTGTGTATGATGGTCATCGTACCTTTGAAGTGAGTGTCTTTGAGCGTTTTGGGTTCAAAGAGACCAGAGCTGAAATACAAGCCATACAACTTTCTGATTCTCATTCTGATTCTGTTGTGGAAGACGAAGAAGATTCATCTGATGTTGATGTTGATGATGATGATGATGGTAGCTTTGGTGAAGATGAAGAAATCAGCCAGAGTCTTTATCCAATTGACGATGAAGAGACCAAAACCGATGCTGCAGGTTTGGTAGTCTTTTCAATGTGTTTAAACATTGTTGATTCAAAAACACAAACTAATGTAAGAAAGATTGTTTTGTTTCAGTTTTTGAAGGGAACTTAGACATTCAAGCTTTAACTAATCCACACTTTCCGACCAGGCTCAAGAACAGGATTTATGAACTGGTAAAATTGACAAAAGAGACTTTAGATTTAGTTCCTATCTCTCTTTACTTTCAATATGGGTTTAACATGTTGCGGTAATTCTGTTTTGTGTGTAGTTGATCCCAGCCAATGTCGTGAATGATAATAAGCTTAAGTTTGGTGATTCCGTCAAGTACATTGATGGAGAAGGGACATTAATAGGGCTAAAAGGAAAATGGGCTGATAAGAGGATTTGCTTCAAAGGATGGGACAGGATTTGCAGAAGGAACAGGCTTAAAAAACATCAAGATACTGTCGAATGCGAGCTTCTTCATGATGACCAGAGGATGGTTCATTCCATCAGAGTCCATGTCTTGCGCAGAACTGATTGATCCTCTTACCAACCACCATCATCACTATCACTATCACCATTATCATCACTATCAGCATTATCATTATCATCAGTACTTTGAGACATGACTTCTTATTATGGCTTTTGTTTCTTTAGGAGTCTTCTTATGTTTCTTCTTAGGCTTTATCTTAGTAGTACCTTCTTCATCCCCAAGAAAACTTATGAACTTATTGCTGTTTCTTGTTATATTTGAACTGCAAGTTATTAAATGCATCTATGGCTTTTATAATTTATAGAGTATGCTTTCAATGGTGATTTGAGCCAACCAAAACGCTTGTGGAAGAAAAAATCAAACAGAACAAAGAAAAAGGAAATTATCACCAACCAAATCGATCTATCATCAGTGAAAATTTTGAAAGACAGAAACATTATAATTAACGTAAGTTTTATTGAGGATAGAAACATTATAAAACATAACAACACAAGCCAACTAAGATAAACGTAAGGAAAAACACAATAAAAACCAAACCGATTACAATTGAGGCAAACATACAAATCTTGTTCTTATTTCTTATCACATTAATTTGTTCACGAGTGATGATGGAAGAGTTGGTACGAGCTCAAGGGTTTTGTTTAAAGCTCCGTTTTCCTCCATGTCAATGTCTTCAATGGTCATTCCATTAGGCAAACTCCAATCAAAGAAGTAAAGGATGTTAAGAAGGCCTAGCTCAAGAATGGTGATTCCCAAGTTCATACCGGGACAGCTTCTACGGCCTGCTCCAAAGGGCAAGAGCTCGTAATCCTGACCTTTGTAGTTGATTGAGGTATTCGAAAACCTCTCAGGATTGAATTCGTCAGGGTTAGTCCAACATTTGGGATCACGTCCTATCGTGTAAGTGTTGATCCTGATAAGGGCGTTCTTGGGAATGTGGTAGCCTTCAATCTCGATATCGGACATTGTTTCTCTTGGTAGCAAGAGAGGAGATGGTGGATGTAATCTGAATGTTTCTTTGATCACAAGATTCAAGTACTCGACTTTCTGTAGATCTTCTTCTGTAATTCTCTCTTTGTTGGATCCAAGTGTTGCTCGAATCTCTTCTTGGAGTTTTTTCATCACCCTTGGATGTCTGATTAGTTCTGTCATTATCCATACCATCGTGATTGTTCCCGCGTTCACTCCCGCCAAAACCACATCCTGATCAAATAACATACGTAATAGTTTAGGATTTTGATTTTCAGAGAGAATAACGAAAATAAATTTTCAAAAAGAAATGTTTGCCTATATCGCGAGTTAACTTGCTCTTCAAGCTATAAGTCTATAACCTAGCTTCTTAAGCTACCTCCAACATAAAATTTTAAAGATTGATACTAATTTAGAGGTTATTCAACACTCACCGACATCATTGCTATGAGATGGTTGGAAGTGATATTGAAAGAACTGAATTTAGAGGGTCTATTGATCATATCCAACATGGCACTGACGAGGTTGGAATGATCTTGGAGTTGTCCAATCTTTAATTGCTCATCGATCACATGTTGAAATAAATTGGTGAGTTTTGAAAAGGCTTTGTTCATCCTCGAATGTCGACCAGATATCCGGTCTGCAAGCCAACCAAGACCCGTGGGTAAGAAGTCAGTGAGTGCCAAGATGCAAACGTTGGTTTCCGCCTCTAGCACCAGCTCTTCAAGTCTGCCCATATCGATGAAATCACACTCGTGGAAGTTCTGTCCAAAGGCTAGTCTAAAGATGGTACCAGCGGTGAAGGAGAAAGAGGCTTTTCTCAAATCTATTAGGGTTTGTGTTTGAGCGGATTTTGATATTTTCTTGACAAGCAAGTCGCCTTCTTCTTCTCTGATATACCTGAAAGACTTTTGCTTTTTCGGACTAAAGAGCTCGAGCCCCACCAGTTTTTTCATCTCTCGCCAGTCTTCACCGTACTGAGTGAAACCAATGTCTTTGAAGTTGCGAGAAAACAACCCATTCGCCACCAGCTTAGGTCGGGTGCAAGTCTCTAGGTCATGAGTTTTGAGAACTTCTTTAGCTGTTTCTTTGGAAGAGAAGACGACCACAGGGACAACTCCGAAATGGAGAAGCATCACTGGTCCATGTTCTAAAGAGAGCTTGTGAAAAACACTGTGAAGTGATCTTCCAAGATGGTGCAAGTTTCCTATGATCGGGAGACCTCTAGGTCCCGGAGGAAGCTTCCTTTTCGAAGGTAAAAGCTTTTTAAAGAGGATCAAAAAGAGAGGGAAAAGGAAGAGGAAACCTAGGAAGATAGACATTATTGTTTTCTTTTTGTTATGGCTAACTCGTTTTGTTTTTCTTTGAATTTGGAGTGAAGAGCGTTTTGTTCTCGAGAGACTATATATAGGCAATGCATGTCGCAATGCATGTGGTTAGGCTTTTGTAGTAAATGGTTTGCTTTTGCCCATTAAGGTGTTTAATGGATAGATAAGGAGAAGGCCCAAAAAACACAGATTAGATTTAGTGGTCTCTCTAAACCAAATCGACAACATAATTTGGTAATATACAAATCTAAACATTTTTTTGTGGAACTGATTTGTGTAACCATAACTAATTTGGTAATCTACAAATCTAAACATTTTTTGTGGAACTAATGTCATTTAACAAAAATAGAAAGAAAAAAGGCATAAATAATTTGGTATGATGAAATTTTAATATATATAATTTTTAAAACGGATCAAAAACCTTAAGAAAAGAATCCATCAAAAAACTGTTAACTCAGGTATGAACGAACTTGTTGATCTCAATTCAATTAAAATTTTTAAATTTATTATATATTATCTTCTTCACATTTTCATTTTTTTAGAAATTCAACCAAAAAAATAGAAAACAAACATTTTCAATTCTATGATTAAATAGTACCAATTTTTTTATTTTTTTCAAAAAAAGATGAACTAACAAAATTATATAATCAGACATCTTTATCAGAAAAAACAATATAATCACATATCTTGCTAAATTCTAAATAAAAACAAATCCATCAATCCATTCTTCTTCTAAAGACTTTTTGTCCAACTGTCTTGAGAGAGATTAATTTGAGCCATCCAAACTCCAAAGTGATTGTGGAAGGAAAATAGAACAGAAGAAACAAATTAATATGTTTTTATAATAAAAATTTGTAATTTTTTGGGGTCGTGTAACAAAAGTTTATTTCTTCCTTGTGAAGAGTTTTGCTTTTGATCCAGTCTCAAGTATATTACGTACTACTACTTCGAGATTTCATCCATCAGATCATAGTGACTATACAAAACGCTGCCGTTTTCTTCGATAAAGAGTAAAGACCACTTCAATGAAAATTTGAAAGAGAAAATTTTGAAATTTTAATTAACATAAAGTTTTTATTGAAGATAGAAACATTATAAATCATGGATATATACTAAGATATACAAGCCAACCAGGATAAACATAAGACAAGAAAAAACCAAATGTATGATAGAGGCAAACATACAAATCTTGATCTTATTTAATACTTTTTGTTCACGAATGATGATGGAAGAGTTGGTACGAGCTCAAGAGGAATTTTCTTGGCGATGTTTAAAGCTCCAGCTTCTTCCATGTCAATGTCTGCAATGGTCATTCCATCGGGCAAACTCCAATTGAAGAAATAAAGAAGGTTAAGAAGGCCTAGCTCAAGAATGGTGATTCCTAAGGCCATCCCGGGACAGCTCCTACGACCAGCTCCAAAGGGCAAGAGCTCGAAATGCTGACCCTTGTAGTTTATAGAGGTATTGAAAAATCTTTCAGGAATGAATTCGTCAGGGTTAGTCCAACATTTGGGATCACGTCCTATCGTGTAAATGTTGATCTCAATCATGGTGTTTTTGGGAATGTTGTAGCCTTGAATCGTGATGTCGGACATTGTTAATCTTGGGAGCAAGATTGGAGCAGGTGGGTGTAATCTGAATGTTTCCTCGATCACCATCTTTAGGTACTCAACTTTCTGTAGATCTTCTTCTGTAATTCTCTCTTTGTTGGACCCGAGTGTTGCTCGAATCTCTTCTTGAAGTTTCTTCATCACTCTTGGATGTCTAATTAGCTCTGTCATTGTCCATATCATCGTGATTACCCCGGCGTTAACTCCCGCCAAAAACACATCCTGAATAAATAACATACGTAAGAATTCATGATTTTGGTACTAGTTAATTTGCTCCCCAAGCTATATATATATAACATCGCTTTCAGATTATACTTTTAAAGTTTTAATATAAACATTTAAGATTGGTACTAGTTAAGAAATCCTTCACACTCACCGACATGACTCCTTTGAGATGATCGGAAGTGATCTTGAAAGAGCCTATATTTGTAGGTTTATTGATCATATCCAACATGGCACTGATGAGGTCTGAGTGATCTCGGTGTTGTTCAGTCTTTAAATGATCATCAATCACATGTTGAAATAAATTGGTGAGTTTGGAAAAGACTTTGTTCATCCTCGAACGCTGACCAGAGAGCCGGTCTATAAGCCATCCGAGACCCGTGGGGAAGAAGTCAGTGAATGCCAAGGTGCCTACGTTGGTCTCTGTCTCTGTCACCAGCTCTTCGACTCTCTCCATATCGATAAAATCACACTCGCGGAAGTTTTGTCCAAAGGCAAGTCTAAATAAAATACCGGCGGTGAAGGAGAAAAGGGCTTTTCCCAAATCCACTTGGGTTTGTGTTTGAGCAGATTTTGAAATTTTCTTGACCAGCAAGTCACTCTCTTCCTCTCTGATGTACCTAAAAGACTTTTGTTTTTTGGGACTAAAGAGCTCGAGCCCCACGAGCTTTTTCATCTCTCGCCAGTCCTCGCCATATTGAGTGAAACCAATGTCTTTGAAGTTGTAAGAAAACAAACCGGTTGTGACCATCTTAGGTCGGGTGCAAGTCTCTAGGTCATGAGTCTTGAGAACTTCTTTAGCTGCTTCCTTGGAGGAGATTACGACTACAGGGACGACCCCGAAACGGAGAAGCATCACTGGTCCATGTTCTAAAGAGAGCTTGTGAAGAGAACTGTGAAGCAATCTTCCAAACTGGTGCAAATTTCCTATAATCGGAAGACCCGTAGGTCCCGGAGGAAGCTTCATTTTCGAAGGTGAAATCTTTTTAAATATAATCAAAAAGAGAGGGAAGAGGAATAGAAAACATAGGAAGATAGACATTATTCTTATCTTTTGTTTTGGCTAAGTAACTCTTTTTTCTTCTTCTTTGTATTTGGAGTGAAGAACATTTTGTTGTCAAAGAGGCATTATATGGGGCAATGCATGTGGTTAGGTTTTTGAACTAAATCAAAGTTTTTGTACTCTCACGACTCACGAGGCATATCAATGATCTTATTTTTAATGGGTGGTGAAGGAGAAGACTTCAAAAACTTAGGTACAAAGCTCTCTCCCTCTAACCAAACCGACAACAATAAGGTGGCAATCAACATATATCTAAACTTTTGTTTTTGTGGAACTGGTTCGTGTAATCCACCGTTCACCAAACTAATTAGGTTTGATAATTGTATTTTGCAATAATAGAAAATGCAGGGTTTCACTAACTCAAATCCTGAAAGAACTGGAACAAAATCAAGCTAAAAACAGAGTAAAAAAGTAAAGGGTTAGTGACGTCGTTCATCTTCAACTAGGTCTGTTTTTTTAAAATTAAGTTATCAACAAAATTCCAGGTTTTATTTATTTATAGTATATATCTCCAAGTTCTCAAATAATAATTATCAAAAAAATGAAATCTCAAATAAAAAAGTTATGATATTGGAGTAATGAAGAAAACTATTAAAAATATCATAACTTTTAAATTACTTTCAAAGCTAACGAAAGGATTAGCATTAACATTGTTCTTCTGTTTGTTTGTTTTTTTTTAACAAAACGGGAGTTAACTGACAAAAAAGGGAAATTCAATTTTTAAAGTTTGCTAGTATTATATTTTTTCAATAAAAATGGGTCCATCTAATTAACTAATTAATAACTCGATTCAATCATTGAAAAGCATTAGAGCAGTTTTGACTTCATATATAGTAACTGAAAGTAGACTTCATACTTTTGAAAACCAATTCTTTATCATACATAAACCCTGAATCTTGTGGAATCAAATACTTTAATGTAAAGTCAACTTTTTTTTTTCTTTGTCAACTTAAAAACAGGATTTTAAAAGACCATTTCAACAAAAATTGAAAGATACGATGTTTAGATACAGTAATGAAAACATTATTATATAAACATGAAACATGCTGATTACAGGACAAAATAAACGTAAAAGTAAAACAAAGAACAAACCAAATCCAAACCAGTAGTACTAAAGTAGACATAAATATAGAAATCTTGTTACTATTTAACATAGTTACATTCTTCACCAGCGATGAAGAGTTGGTACGAGCTCAAGAGAGACTTTCTTGGCGATGACAAAAGCTCCGTCTTCTTCCATGTCAATATCATTAGTGGTCATTCCATTAGGCAAACTCCAATCGAAGAAGTAAAGAAGGTTAAGAAGGCCGAGCTCGACGATGGTGATCCCCGTGGCCATCCCGGGACAGATCCTACGTCCGGCTCCAAATGGCAATAGCTCAAAGTGCTGACCCTTGTATTCGATAGGGTTATCGACAAACCTCTCGGGGATGAACTCGTCGGGTTCTGTCCAGGTTTTGGGATCACGTCCAATCGTGTAAGTGTTGACTTGGATCATGGTGTTTTTGGGAATGTTGTAGCCTTGAATCATGATGTCGGACATTGTTAGTCTTGGGAGCAAGAGAGGAGCCGGTGGGTGTAATCTGAATGCTTCCTCGATCACGAGCTTCAAGTACTCAACTTTCTCTAGGTCTTCTTCTGTGATTTTCTCTTTGTTGGGTCCGAGCGTTGCTCGAATCTCTTCTTGAAGTTTTTTCATCACTCTCGGATGTCTGCTTAGCTCTGTCATCGTCCATATCATCGTGATGGATCCCGCGTTCACTCCGGCCAAAAATACATCCTGATCAATATTAGGGAGCATTATGAACCAATTCAAAAACAAAATTGACCTATGAACAAACCGTGATATTTGGCCATATCATTAGTTAACTTTCTTCCCAAGCTATAATATTGTTCCTCAAGTTACCTCTAATGTAAAACTTTGAAGATTTTACTAATAGATAATTTGTACTCACCGACATAACTCCTTTGAGATGGTCATCGGTGACTTTATAAGAACCGACTTCAGTGGGTTTATTGATCATATCCAACATGACACTGATGATGTCTGAGTGATCTTGGATTTTTCCGCTCTTCAAATGATCATCAATCACAAGTTCAAAGAAATTGGTGAGTTTGGCAAAGGCTTTGTTCACCGTGGAATGCTGACCGGAGATCCGATCTATGATCCACCCTGCAGGTAAGAAGTCAGCAAAAGCCAAGGAGCCGAGGTTGGACTCCGACTCAAGCACCAACTCTTCCACTGTCTCCATATCGACAAAATCGCAGAAATTTTGTCCAAAAGCAAGTCTACAAATGATGCTTGCTGCAAAGGTGAAAATAACTTTCCTCAAATTAACTGATGAAGTTGGTGTCTCACGAGCAGAACTTGATACCCGCTTGACCAAAAATTCGCTCTCTTCCTCTCTGATATACCTGAAAGACTTGAGCTTTTTCGGGCTAAAGAGCTCGAGCACCGCGATTTTCCTCATCTCTCGCCAGTTCTCACCATACGGGGCAAAACCAATATCTTTAAAGTTGTAAGTAAACAACCCGCTCCCCACCGTCTTAGGTCGGCTACAAGTCTCAAGATCATGAGTCTTGAGAACTTCCTCAGCTCCTTCTTTGGAAGAGACAATGATCACAGGGACTACCCCAAAATGGAGAAGCATCACCGGTCCATATTCTTGAGAGATTTTGTGAAGAGATTTGTGAAGAAATCTTCCAAGCTGGTGCAAGTTTCCGATGATCGGAAGACCCTTAGGTCCCGGAGGAAGCTTCCCTTTTGACGGTAAAAGCTTTTTTAAGAAGATTATAGAGAGAGGCAAGAGTAAGAGGAAACAAAGGAAGATAGACATTTTCTTGTTTGTTTTTGGCTAAACTTTCTTCTTGTCTTTGATTGAAATGAAGTGTAATTAATGAGTTCTCAAAGACGCATATATATAATTATATATACATATATAGAGCCATAGAGGCAATGCATGCATGTGGTTGGCTTTTGACTAAATCAAAGTTTTCCTACCCAAGTTTCTATTTATTTTACTCTCTTGTTTTTCACCAACAAAGTCTCACTCTATTATTATTGAAAGTTTCCATATATATGTTAATATTAGAGATAATTCCTAAGAGGGGTATAATAAGTTGTCATTATCTAAAGCCTTTTAGCCGACTCTAAATATTCTTCTGTTTGTTTTAAAAACTTTCAATAAAGTTAACTCGTTCCCTCTATATCTATAATATTTATATTGTGTTTGATTAAAGTCAAGTCTCTCGAGGCACACAGAAGCCTCCCTTGATGGTGTTGTGAGAAGTGAGAACACAAATGTTTTTTTTTTTTTCAAATATACTCCCTCCGTTCTTTTATAAGTGATGTTTTAGGAGAATGCACATCGATTAAGAAATCATTTAAATTTTGTTTATTTCTAAACTAAAACATCATTTATTATCTAATCAACCAATAAAAAAATTATATACATAATATAATTCGTCAAAACCAATAAAAAAGTAATTAATTTTGCATTAAAAACTGAAAACATCATCTATTTAAGAACAAAATTAGAAGCTTAAAACATCACTTATTAAAGAACGGAGGGAGTATTTTGTAATCGGTAAAAGTCTTGAATTTCAATCTTCAACATTTCTCAACCCAATAAAATGCAGCACCATTTTATCCTGTTGGAATAATTCTTGCGGGACGACTAAAATCGAGATACCAACCTACAAAGCATTTTACATTCTATTTGTTGACGGTTGCGTAGCTTTTCATTTGATATTTGGATAGTTATTTATGTTGTATACTTGTTGTATGGGTCGAGAAATTGAATATTCTATGATTTCTATCGTTATCAGGAATTGAAGGATGAGAGAGTTATCATTCTATTATTGCTATCTATCTATTTATTACCCTATTAAGGAAGCTCAACCACCAGACGCGACTACTTTGATAGTCCTCTTTAATTCCCAATTGATCCAAATTTATCAACTTTTGTATACTACGGTTCATTTTTTCAATACGATTAATTTATTAAACGTTTTAAAAAGGTGATGCGTTTGTACGGAAATATGAGGTTTACCGTGTCGTTGGTCAAACAACGTCGCAAAAAACTTGTTCGTGACGAGAGCTTGTGGGTTATAAAAAAATATGAATTCAATTGTTTCTTTACGAGGAGATATGAGATTTCAGAATTACTTCAATTCAACAAGTTCATATTGACTTTATTATCAGAAAGTCGCAAGTTCTTTGCAACGTGTACAAGTTCAGAGCTATAACTCGCAACGTGTAGTTGTCTTAAAAGCTTACTCCATCATATTTTTGTATATATATCTTCTGTTAACTCGTTTTTGAATCTTTGGGATGAAAATTGATAAGATATTGGACAAGAATTTGACCTTGTTATATATAGTTTTAATACAATTTGTTTCTTTCATACATAGATGTTGAATGTATTCCGAAGAATATAGGATATAGATGAATGAAAAACACAAACGAAAATATCTTGTGTTCTATACGAAGACTATACAACTTATATGTCATTTAAATGCTACAAACAAAAATGTTGTAGAACAAATCCATCTGTAAAAAGTAGACAAAAATGTCTTGAGAATGATTTTCAGAAATCGTATATATGATAAGATTGTAAAATAGCTCTTCAATATTTCGATTATTTAAATAATACTATGAATGAAATATTATATTTAACCAAAATAAATTGAAATTACCGTAATAACTGAAAAAACCAATACTTAATACATAGTAACCAAACCAACCAAGATTCTAAAAGTCCGAACCGAATGCTAATTTCGGTATTCATTAGCAATCCCGAACTGAACCAACTTGATACAACCCATACCGAACCGGAATTATTATGGTTTAAAGGATTGATAATTAAAAAAAAAAACATAAAAATATAACAAAAGATGGGCTTTATAATATTGGGCCGAGCCCATGTGTTGAAGGGTGTTTCATAATGAAATTTCCCGACTGATGATGTATGTTAAATTCTTCTTCAATCTCTTCTTCTTCGATTTCTTCTTCTTTGATCTCTTCTCTGAAGCCATAACAGAGCAAGTCGTGAGCAACAGCAAGTAGGCATCGATCTCTCTCTCTCTATAGATTGATAGATTCTCTTTTTTACGAATCTGATTCTGAATTGATTCATATGATTGGGGTTTATCGGTGTGTTTCAGCTCGAAGAAATCTGGGAAAGGAAAGAGACCTGGAAACCGTTTCTGGAAGAACATTGGTTTAGGTTTCAAGACTCCTCGTCGTGAAGCCATTGAAGGTTTGTTTTTCTTTTACTTGTGATTATCATTCAAGCAAAACTTTAAAAGCTTGTATAATGTCAAAGGATTGATCTGAAATAGATGATGTAGTGTAACTAGTTAGGTGATTAACAGTATAATTTTAAGGTTTCTATTTAGAAATCTGCATTTATTGAGGAAATCTGGAAAAGTATGGATTTTGCTTGTTTTAGGCATCGTTTATTCCTTTTTGCAATGATTTTAGGCATAGATTTGTAATTTCAGACAAGATTTGTGTAGGTTTTAGGTTTTAGACACATGTACTTGATTGTTTGTCTCCTTTGTTCCACTTCTGTCCTAGTATTACGATCTGTAACTCATGTTCTTGATTGTGTCCCCGTGTAGTGAACTTAGTGATGAATAAAGTAGCTAATAAACTTGGTGATTGTGTCATCGATTGTTGTTAGGTATAGAGAAGTCTTCTTATTTGTTTTGTTTTGATTTGAATCCAGAAGCGTAACCAGATTAAAAAACTTGTTTGAGTTTTGGTGAGTTATGTAAATGCTTAGCTGATTTTGGATTTGTAATATGATATGAATGGGTTTTTTTCTTTTTATATGTCAGTGATGTTCTAGTGTTTCCATTTGATAATTAAATAATAGTGTTATTAACTCAGAAAATTTTTATGAACATCTTTATAGAGAGCGAAAATTCAAAGCTTTTGGTTGTGGTGGGGATGCTTTGGTTTCAATCTGGTGTTAGGTTTTGAGATATATCTGTATATTAGGGATGAAAGTCTGAAACTTTTAGCTAATTTTTAATTGCATTGTCCTTTTGATTGAATTTGATGGGGTTTATTTTCCGTCGTAGCTTCTAATTCATGTAGAAGCTCCGATAGGAAGTTTTTGATCAAAGGAGAGAAATAGTAGTGATTTTGGGGTTTTGCATAATCAAAGTTAGGATTTGAGTTTGAGGGGAACAAGATGTGTACTTACAGATTTCTCTGTGCGTTTTGGTATTTCATGATCCGAGACTTACTGTTATATATTTGCTCGTCGAAATCGTGCTACAATACTATCTTAGAGAGAATCTCATTCTTTGATAGATAAGACTACAAAATAGTTAGGTCAGGTTGAATTTATAAAGAAACCATCTGTTGTAACTTATGTGAGTAGCTTACTTATCTAAGGGGTGTGACAAAACAGTTTAAAAATGTAGCGGAGAAATTATGAATAGAAACAATCTTTAGGCCAATTCTTTCTGTTCTTGGTACTTAATCTTTGTGTTTCTCCAATTCTCATAACTGTTTCATTGTGTATGGCAGGGATGAATCTTTCTCCGTTCAAGAGAGATATCGATGAGCTCATAGACGAGTTTGTGGAGGTATTTTTATTCTTTTTCTCAAAGAAATCTTTGTTATAGCTGAAGGAAAATTTTGAATTTCACTTCTTTTCCATCTTCCAATTTGTTGAATCTCTTCTGGTTTTAATTTTCAGGGTGATTTGACAACGTATGCTGATATGAAGAGCGTGTGGCTATCCCGAAATTTTTCTTATATATATGATGCTAGTCCTAACAGCAACTTAGCCTTTTTCATGCAGTCACTATATGTTCATACCATCGGTACGTTGAGGTCTAATTCCTGGTTTGTTGGAATAATCAAAATTGATTTGTCGTTGCTGTTTGCATTCACTTTGTACTTGGTTCCTAGCTAAACACACAAGCCAACCTTATGTTCTACAGGTAACATGGTTAGTATTGATTCCTTTTCACGGAGACTTGGAGGTCTCTACTGTCTCTATTGCCTTCATGAGATCCAACCCTTTAAACCCAAGTTCAGAATTTATATCTCACTTCGTAAGTGTTTACCCCTTTTGTCGTTTTTGTTGTGAGCTTTTATAATGTGTACACAACAATATAATATGATCTAACTATCGTTTTTCACTAGTTTCTCTCTTCAAGCCCAAAACGTGAAAGCTGCTGTGATGTGGTTCATTCATTGGGTTTTAGCTTTTCTTTTTTGCAATTCTTTCGAAGCTCTCTTTATCGTTAGAATCATACTAAACTTATACGGCTCTCATCTTGTAGAAGAGCTCGGGAAATTTAGGGACCTTGTAGTTGAGGCAAAAGATAAAGGTGTAGAGATAGCTGCTGCTGTGGCAAAACAAATGCTTGATAAGAACATGTTTATCTTTGGAGCTGTAGAGGAAGCTTCTGCAACCAGGAAAGTTAATCAATTAACAGAGCTACAGAACGCACGTGTGCGGTTTGCCTATGATAGGTATGTGATTTTGACCTTGATTTTTTCGGAGGACTAACAAATCGTAATTTTGAAATAACCTTGTTAGTGATATGATTTTCATCTTGACTTGCCAGGTTAATCTCTGACACTAGTATTGAGCAATTTATTCATTTGGATATGGTGAGTACGAGATATTTAAGTATTTACATTCCCGTGATTTGCATAATTGTATATCTCTAGTGCTTTTATCCCAAGATAGAAGACCAAAGGATATATATGTCCAACAGTTTTGATTTTATTCTTTACTAAAGTGTCTTATATTGCACCATTTTTGCGTCTTTTGTGCTTATCAGGGTAAGGAAGTTAATCTGAATTCCCTAGATAAAATGTCTATAGAATATGCAGAGGCCAAGAAGCGTGCAATTGAAGGTATGCTACTTTCATATGAACTGTTTCTGCTCTTTTTTTTTTTTTTTTTAATTTCTCTAAGTTTTATTATAGATGCTGTTTCCCTCCCATCCCATCTCTGAAAGAGCAAAATTGTCAAGTTTATATGATTTTGAGCTCTGTGAGATTTTAAGCATACGTGTAGTAATGTTTTGTGTTGTACCATCATGATTCATTATGTTTATATCCCTTGTTTTTTTTTAATCTTTAAGGTGCAGGACAAATAATGGAGATTGAGGACATAAAGCACATATCAGAAGAGAAAGAGTTGATGGGAGAGAGAATGGAGAAACTGAAAGAGGAATGGGATTCACAAAGACTTTCATTTTATGAACAAACCAAGCTTGATGGTCTTACTACGACACCGGAACTGTTGAAAGATGTGGAACATGATGAAGATGATGGGTTTGATGAGCTTGATCGCTTACTTTCTCAAAGCTAGTTTTGCCATTGCAATCGCCATTCAAGGTTGATGGATGCCCGCGGCGCGGATGAAAAACTCTCTGTAGTTATGGCATTTACAAGTAAGGTTTTGCGTCAGTCAAACTCTGTATCAAATGTTTATTTTTCTGGCTCTGACGATGAATTTTTGATTAGGTAAAATATCAGAGTCAGGTTGTTGAAGAGAGCTACACACAAATCTCATTAAATCAAGAGAGCAACATGTTTGATTAGGAGAATATATTGGTTAGTAAATTCTGTATCTAACAAGGGGATTAAGAAACCTTAGTTCCGGTGTTTCTTACTATTGGAAAATATGTAGTTTGTCATATTCTCGAGTATAGGTGTTTAGAAATATGTAAATCCATCAAGAGATATCATATAACCCAAAGAATAATCATTGATTATAATTGTTGACACACAAAAGATGATAAATTAGCAGAACATCTAATTTATCAAGGACTTGATCTTGTTTTCATATACGTCATAAAGCTGTCTGAGGTATACATTTATCTACTAGTACTATATTATAAATAAAAAGAAAAAAGTTTGTGGCTGATTTGGACAAATGACTTTTTGATGATTGTATAATTTGAGATAATGTGGGACATGTAAATGGATACTAAAGGGGGTTGGTGAGACGAGTGGTGTCCGATGGATCTTTGCCACTGTGGTTGGTGGTCCTCTCGCTAATTTTTCAGGGCTCACGTAAGTTCATTTATATTTGAGTTTTTTTTTTTTTTGTGTGCTTAGTCAGCATTTTAGAGAGTGGATAATTATATTGAAAAATTGTTGGTAAGTTCGGAACATCTAGTTGGTAAGTTTGTTGTCACCAAGTAAAAAACAGGGTTCAAATTTTGTTTTGAAAAGGTTTTGGTTCCACCGGAAAGATGTATGAGATTCGGTCCATAACTCATCAATGAACAAAAAAAAAATTGTTGAATTGAATTTTAAGGTTTATATGTTGACAAAAATATGTAAGAGTAAAAACAAGTTATTATATTCAACCGTATTTTGTATAAAAAAAATTGAAAGTTGAAGAGAATATAAAACTTAAATGGTGTAGGAAGAAAAAACCAGTTGATTAATGGTTAAATAATCTGTCTGTCTCATGATACATGGTGTTAAAATGGTGTCTTAGTCTTCACATTTGTTTAAAATAGTCCCGGAAATGGGGTCCTGTAAAAAATATATAATACCTTTCCTTTAAACAAAAGAGAAATTTTGACCCCAAAAAAAAAAAAAACAAAAGAGAAACAGTTGTTACCGACAAGTCAAAATATCTGCGGACAAAAAGAAAATGCTAGTTAGAAATAGAAGATGTGGTAAAGAGCATACACACATGCAAGTATTTCAATGAACCCATCTTACCAACCCACTACTTCTTTCAGCCATAATTGTTTGGTTTATGTATTGATGATTTGTCTTCAAATATGTAAGATATTGTTTTCGGCTACCTATTAGCAGCAATCAAGTTAAAAGAGTGGTTCGATATCACCATCGAACTCTCCATTAGATCTTTTCCTAAATAAAACAAAAATTGGTCCGATCATCTGATAAGTTCTTCGACGATTTCACGTGATGATGTTACAACCTACATCAAAATAGATTGTAATTAAGGGGAAATAATAGCTTACAAAGTAAATAATTCAGATTTGTTTGTCTAATTTTCCTTTTTTCAAAGATCTAATTTTATTTTTCCTGTTTTGATTTGTTTTCCATTTGAAAGTAAAAGATCATTCAATATAAACACCAAATTCATGTTCCCTGCAATTAGTTGATCGTTTTAAAAAATAGTTTTATAGGTGTGTCAATTTAGACCATTTAATTATGTTCTTAAATATTGCGTACATGCCATTTCCTTTGTCATGCAGACGGTGTGTGTTTCTTTACTTACTGTCCGCCAAAAATTTATAATCTTCATTAAATTATAATTTCATAATTTTTTTAATTAGCTCAAGGTCTCAAGCATTATTTTACCACAATAAAAACACACATTCTATTGGAAATAAATTAATCATTTACCCCTAAACGATTACTTGAATATCTATAACTATAATCCATTATCAGTAGAAATGATTATATCTATAACTGTAACCCATTAAAAGACCATCGAAAGTTTTAAGTTTATGATCGACTAAATTGGGGCATATTGTCATACTGTTCAATAAATATTATTTCATGTCAAACGAATCGGCAAAATAAACCTGGTCGCATTCTTTTCATGAATAGAAACCGGCAATAAACAACTTTAAAACATTAAATTTCCATTCTATAATCAAAAGATGGTATCTATTATAAGCAAAACAAAAACGTTATATTTCTTTAGATCTTCATCCATGTTATTCAATGTATACCCTTGTTCTTTTCTTTTTCTTCTATAAATTTTATTTTCTTAAATTTATGAAGTACTAAATTATGAAGAAAACCCACTTACACTTACGGACTTTCCCATATCACTAGACAGATAATCATATATTTAAACGTATAAAATCTCTTTAATTGGAGTCAAATGTTCCGCCTTGTACAAATCTAGTAATATCATTAACCAAATAGCAAACTAATTAAATATTTGTTTTAAGATCAAATGTTCGGTTTAGTGTTGAAACTGACAAAATCTATTGGTTAAGAAATTGCAATATATATAAAAAGGATCGATAAGTATGGAATAGATAGTCTAACCCATAAAGAAAGAAATAATAACAAAAACAAATGCATGCTGGTTTGGTTCGATTTCAACTAGTTATATAAGAATATTTGTTTTTGATACATATAAACAAATATGTATAATGAGACCAAACTACAAATAGCAACTATAATAATTATTGAGAACGAAATTAGTGGGGACGACTTTGAATTGACTGAACTACGTTCTTACGTACGTTCCACACCCACTCCCATTTCATTCCCAAACCATAATCACTCACTCGTAATAATAAAAAATTGTCTCCAAATGTCTCACCAACCGTAAAACGCTTATTATCCTCTCGATTCCTCAGCCACCAGCCACCAGCCACGACCACCTTTTCGACGCTCGAGGTTGATATTGACGGAACACACAAATTTAACCAAACCAAACCAAACCAAACGCGTTATAAAAGTGAAAAATAATTGACAAACTCTTTTTGCGACTCAAACCAAATTCACGTTTTCCATTCTTCACCATTAGATCATCAATCTTCATCCAACGGTCATCATTAAACTCTCACCCACCCCTCATTCTCCATTCTTTTTTTTTTCTCCAAAAAATCAAAACTTGTGTTCTCTTCTCTTATGCTTACCTAACAACAACACTAACATTGTCCTTCTTATTTAAACGTCTCTTCTCTCTTCTTCTTCCTCAGAAAACCAAAACCCACCAACAATTCAAAATCTCTCTCTCCTTCACCAAACTATACAAAGAGAGATCTCAATATCTGATCCTATTCACTAAACACAATCAATGGATCAAATCGAAGCAATGTTGTGCGGCGGAGGAGAGAAGACAAAAGTGGCGGTTACTACGAAGACGGTGGCAGATCCGTTGAACTGGGGTTTAGCGGCGGATCAAATGAAAGGAAGTCATTTAGATGAAGTGAAGAAGATGGTTGAAGAGTATCGGAGACCAGTTGTGAATCTCGGCGGAGAAACACTGACGATCGGACAAGTTGCGGCGATCTCCACCGTAGGCGGCAGCGTTAAGGTTGAGTTAGCGGAGTCTTCAAGAGCCGGTGTGAAAGCTAGCAGTGATTGGGTTATGGAGAGTATGAACAAAGGCACTGACAGTTACGGTGTCACCACCGGCTTTGGTGCTACTTCTCACCGGAGAACCAAAAACGGCACCGCATTACAAACAGAACTCATTAGGTAATTAATTAAATACTAGTATACCATATATTATAACTAATTAATAATTAAAGAACTCATTAGGAATGTGATCAGAGAATAATAAATTAGTGGCTTAAGTGGATAACTGACAGAGAATTATTTGTTGTGGTATAGTTTGTCACTGAATGTATTCACGAGTATACAATTTGCATGGGAAATATACCGGGTCTGTGATTTCGGGTCGGGTCGGGTCTAATTTAATTAATTAAATATTGTTTATTTCCGTTTTCAGATTTTTGAACGCCGGAATATTCGGAAACACGAAGGAGACATGTCACACGCTGCCGCAATCCGCCACAAGAGCCGCTATGCTCGTCAGAGTCAACACTCTTCTCCAAGGATACTCCGGTATTCGATTCGAGATTCTCGAAGCGATTACAAGCCTCCTCAATCACAACATCTCTCCTTCACTTCCTCTCCGTGGAACCATAACCGCCTCCGGCGATCTTGTTCCTCTCTCCTACATCGCTGGACTTCTCACCGGCCGTCCTAATTCCAAAGCCACCGGTCCCGACGGTGAATCACTAACCGCGAAAGAAGCTTTCGAGAAAGCCGGAATCAGTTCCGGATTCTTCGATCTGCAGCCTAAGGAAGGATTAGCGCTCGTTAACGGCACGGCGGTTGGATCTGGCATGGCGTCGATGGTTTTGTTTGAAGCGAATGTTCAAGCGGTGTTAGCGGAGGTTTTATCAGCGATATTCGCGGAGGTTATGAGCGGGAAACCTGAATTCACCGATCATCTGACTCATCGTTTGAAGCATCATCCCGGACAAATCGAAGCGGCGGCGATAATGGAGCATATCCTCGACGGAAGCTCATACATGAAATTAGCTCAAAAGCTTCACGAGATGGATCCATTGCAGAAACCGAAACAAGATCGTTACGCTCTCCGTACATCTCCTCAATGGCTAGGTCCTCAAATTGAAGTAATCCGTCAAGCTACGAAATCGATTGAGCGTGAAATCAACTCCGTTAACGATAATCCGTTGATCGATGTTTCGAGGAACAAGGCGATTCACGGTGGTAACTTCCAAGGAACACCAATCGGAGTTTCTATGGATAACACGAGATTGGCGATTGCTGCGATTGGGAAGCTTATGTTTGCTCAATTCTCTGAGCTTGTTAATGATTTCTACAACAATGGACTTCCTTCGAATCTAACAGCTTCGAGTAATCCAAGTTTGGATTATGGTTTCAAAGGAGCTGAGATTGCTATGGCTTCTTATTGCTCTGAGCTTCAATACTTGGCTAATCCAGTCACAAGCCATGTTCAATCAGCTGAGCAACATAATCAAGATGTGAATTCTCTTGGATTGATCTCGTCTCGTAAAACCTCTGAAGCTGTCGACATTCTTAAGCTAATGTCAACAACGTTCCTTGTGGGGATATGTCAAGCTGTGGATTTGAGGCATTTGGAGGAGAATCTGAGACAGACTGTGAAGAACACAGTTTCTCAAGTGGCTAAGAAAGTGCTAACCACTGGAATCAACGGTGAGCTACATCCGTCACGGTTCTGCGAGAAAGACTTGCTTAAGGTTGTTGATCGTGAACAAGTGTTCACGTATGTCGATGATCCGTGTAGCGCTACGTACCCATTGATGCAGAGACTGAGACAAGTTATTGTTGATCACGCTTTGTCCAACGCTGAGACTGAGAAGAATGCAGTGACTTCGATTTTTCAAAAGATTGGAGCTTTTGAAGAGGAGCTTAAGGCTGTGCTTCCAAAGGAAGTGGAAGCGGCTAGAGCAGCTTATGGTAATGGAAGTGCGGCGATTCCTAACCGGATTAAGGAATGTAGGTCGTATCCGTTGTATAGGTTCGTGAGGGAAGAGCTCGGAACAAAGTTGTTGACCGGAGAAAAGGTTGTGTCTCCGGGAGAGGAGTTTGATAAGGTCTTCACTGCAATGTGTGAAGGTAAAATTATTGATCCGTTGATGGATTGTCTCAAGGAATGGAACGGAGCTCCGATTCCGATTTGCTAAGAGAGCATTCCTCTGTTTCTGTTCTGTTTCAATTTTTAATTTTGCTGTTTTTGTTGTTTTTATGTTTGAATTGAGTTTTGATTGTAATGTGAATGGTGTCACACTTTGTATGATATGATATAAAATTTACGTGTAAAACTCGTTGTTAAATGTTAACTTGTTACTTTTATGCTGCCATTTGTGGATTCGACACCGTTGACAAAAGAGATAGATCAGACTTAAGATTTATTTGTGTTTGGCTTCAAAGTTCAAATGATGGTAGAATAATACAGAAGCAATTTATAGAAACTGGAAGTTGTTTCTATTCCTGACAATATCTGCATCAGAAAAGAGTTCAAGTCTGCTCTATGACATACACAGTTTTACTTAATTTCTGGCCGTTTTTGTCTAACCATTGTGAATCCTTTTACGTGAATTTCTCCTTTTTGTTGCTGTGCTGAATTATTGTCTATGCATTCTTTGGAAAAAATAGAGGCAGCATGGAATATTTTGTTCAAAACTTTATCTCATGGCCAATTTTAGAAGGCCTGAGCTTCCACCACCGTATTAGTTTATTCAGTTATGTCTCTGTCATAATCTCATTGTCAGCTCACAGCTGTTTAGTTTGGTTCTGCTAACACTTGTTATTACTTCTTGGCGTTGATAATAAGACAATTGCTAGAAAGTAAAATTTTATTGATTCTCTGGCAATATCTGCATCAGAGAGAGTTCAAGTCTTTTTCTATGACACACAACAGAGGCATGATCAGGTAATGTTAGAAGTTTTGCTATTTGTCTTGAGATCTTTGTCAGAGTCTTAATGTTTCAGTTTATTTGGAAACATTTGAAAATGTAACATGTTTAGTGAACACTCACTTTTAATACGTACGATACATGATTACTTGTATTACGAGAACTCTTACTTAATTAGTGTACAACATTATCTAAATTAATAATCGACATTAATTCGCTCTGGAGAAGATGAATCAAAATCAAATGAATATGTCTTTTGAATCCTCCCTTCTTAACATTACATGCCAATGCAGTTTCTCTGATGCTGAGGAGCGCCACTGCAACGAACAACGTCAAGGAAAGTGTTCTCATCACATGGAATCCATAGTCTTGATGAGTTATAAGCATCTTGAGCTTGATCAAGCAATGCTTTAAAGATTGGATGTGTAAGCAAACTCATCTTTATCACAAACCTCTTGTAATCATCACCAACATACACTACCAAATGTCCTCTTGGAACATCTTTAGGTATGACTTCATTTTCCTTCTTGAACCCCCAAGAAACCTTGTCGCAGCAACTCTCGCATGAAGATGTACAACAAGGTAGGACTATGGATTTGCTCTTTATGATTTTGAATTTGTTTTCGCACGATTTTATGAACTTGTTCTTCATTTTTGAGTATGAAGGAGAAGTTTCGAATAAGAAAGATGAATATAGAGAGAGATAGAGATGGTTTGGTGATGAGAAGTACAATGGTGAAGTACATGTATATATATAGATGATTGATTTACAGAGCTTAGATAGAAAAAAATCTTAGGTCCATAGTGATATTAAATGTAATGTTTTTGAATAGGAGATGGGCAAGATTTTTTATGTAATTGATAAGATACATCACGAGGGCTTTGAATTATGATAATTGTTTGCCATTTTGTTTCACTCGTGCGGTTCCGTTATTTTCCCTCATAAAACTGAAACTGTACGAACATGCATTGCATTATTACAATTGCAAATAAGAAATGTTTTTTTTCATCTTCTATATTGTAACTGAATTCATGGGTGCTAAGACTTGTAAGACCCCACAAAAGAAAGAATTGAGAAAGAGAAGATAAGAGAAATGAAGAAGAGTGATGGGTTTAAATCTTCTTGGACAAAGTGTGATCTCGATTTATGATTCATGGATTGTATGATTCTAATATTTACTCTTTGTTTTTGGTGATTTCTTGAAGACCAAGGCTCTAGTTGAAGTGACTTCTTGATTAGATATAATCTCAGCATGTGGAGAAGAGTGATTATGATCAGTCTTATCTAATGGTTCTATGAATGGATGTGTCATACATTGATAGTAATCTATCTATATTGGTGTTTTTCTCTCTCTCTAGGGATTGGCTAAAACGGTTATTATGCATGGATTGCAAGTGTAGACTGATAAAGAACTGTCAGCTTTTGCAGGGTCCAATATGATTGGGAAGCAGAACAGAACCGAGCAGAGCAACTATTCATTAGGATTCAGATTCATCCCCCCAAATAGCTGAGTATGAGAAGAGCAATCATTCTTTCTTACACACATCACTTATGCAGATGAGCCTATGGTATGTTCTTATTAGTTTATGCCAATAGGTGTCAACTAGGACCTAATCTTTTAACCCAAAAAAACAAAACTAGGACCTAATCTAAAATTAAGCTTCATGTTGTGTGCTTATTTTGTTTCAGTCATTCAGATTTATTCTCTAGGTTTTCTTACCAAAATATTATTTGTTTGTTTATAATCATTATCTAATGTTTTTATCATGATTTTGAAAATATTTCAATAGTTGAGCCAGACAAACTAAACATATATCATCATCAACTAATTAAGTATCAATTTTTTCATAAATCTTTTTTTTTTTTTTTTTTTTTTTTTTTTTTTAAAAAAAAAAATCTTTTTTTTTCATAATTCTTTTCTATACTTTTCAAAATATTTAAAAATTCGAATCTGTTGAAACGAGTCATTGGACCAGACAGAACTGATGTATCATCAGAGACCCGGGACGGTTCAAGCTGGTTTGAGATAAGGAGGAGGGCCATTCTAAAAGTAGGCTGGCTTCGTCTGCATGAAATTTATTGTGGGAACGTGAGGCTTTTATGATGTTTGTCTTTTGAGTCTCATAATTCTTACAAATAAACTCGTTCGATAACCAGGATTAATGATTTAAACCTTAACGAAATTACCATACTGGGATCATCAAGTACTATCTGTCGATCGATTAGCGACTCTTCAAAGCTGGTTATAAGAAAAGAAAAAAAACTCTTAAACTATAGTTATTCTTTTTGAGGATCAAACTCATTTTGACTTTTATTCTTTTGGAAGAAATTCTTTTTTTTTAAGGGCCTAGATGAGGTAGCCATACCCTTATTACACCCACAATTATTTGATTTGACTTTGCCATGTGTCTTGCCACAGTTACTAGCTGTCATTCTTTTTCCATTATTATATGATCAGTATTGAGTACCAAAAAAAAAAAAATTGGAAGCTCATTTTTGTATAAGAAATTAAGATACTATGATTTAAACTATAAACCGTGAAACATTTAGGTTTGAATTCGATAAGGATAACAAGACATTTTGCAATAGATAATCATTGGACTAAATGGTCTAGAGGATCGGTGATTTCGGCCAAATTCAAGAAAATACTTAGATAGTTAGATAGATACAACAAAAACAATAATGATCTTTCCTTCAAATTATAATACTACACTATAAACTAAGTTGTTCAAAGATGAATATCAGACTAGTTTTGTTCAAAGGATATGAATATCAGACAACGTAATTACTCGCTGACTTTTAAATCATTGCAAACATACCACAAAAAAGAGTTTAGAAAAGTTTCAAGGGTGCAGGGTACTTCTCAAAAGTTTAAGAACCTTCCTGATAAAATTATTTGTGGTATTTTACGAAAAAAATAAAAAATAATAGGAATTTACGATATCCCTCTTAAAAAATATTTTAAAATAAAATAGTTTTTTTTTTTGGACATCAAATAAAACAGATATAATTTAAAATGATACAACATTCCATTGTCCAACTAACTCTAGTTAAGTCTCGCCCATGCTTCATTTTGGGAGGCAGTAGTCACATTCTTCTTCTCATGGTTCTAATAATTATTTATTTTTGTGTAGCGGTGAACTCGCTGTGGTCGGATTATACATCGAGTTTGCGAAATTTAAGAGGACTCATAGAAACCAAATATTTGTGTTGATTCGAAACAATTAGATAAACATTCGTGTTTGAATTACTATTAAAGATTCTTGTAGAGTAGTAATATATGACTTCTCAGGATCAAAGATCATCTTTGAAAGTTTTTTTGGTGATGGAGAAATTTGACAATAAGATTAGAAAATTCATCAAATATTTGCAAGATTCAACAATTACTTTTTGTTTCATCCTCCACGTCCGTGAACCCTCTCTAGATAACTCCCAGTACATCTTTTACGCGGTCGATGAAAGTATCAACAAGGCGGAACCATGCTCGGCGCCATGGAGAATCAAAGCAGAGGAACACCAGAAACCCCATCAAAACCGTTACATAGGTCGCCCCGAGGCTCCACCACAAAACCACAATATCGACTAATCCGCTTTCATCGTCATCTTCATCTTCTTTTTTTGAGCTGATTGTGGTACCGCCACAGCTTCTGTTGGTGGGTGATCCACAGAGAAGAACATTACCTAAGTAACTCTTCTCACCAAAGGTGTTGAACTGTTTTCCTTGCGGAATCACACCTGAGAGATCGTTGTAAGACACGTTAAAGACGACAAGAGATTGCAACATTGTGAGTTGTGAGGGAATGGTTCCATGCAACTTGTTGAAAGAAAGATCCAAACTTTCTATGCTTCTTAGATTGGAGAAGCTTCCAGGTATAGACCCCGATAATGAATTCCGTGAGAGATTCAGTGAGCGTACTCTCTTAAGATCTCCTAGCTCTTCTGGGATATTACCACTTAACTCGTTGCTCGACAGATCCAGGCCAAACATCTGGTTAAGAGTTCCTCTCATGTACAAGTCATATCTCTGTTTCACCGCAAATTCAACTTGGACATTAAAATCTACAGAGTAGTCTAGAGAAAACCGATCTGACACGATTAGGGACTTGTAATATACTTCAGTGTACAGCTCCATAAAGTTAGAGAGCATGCTTGCCGGATACCAATCTGAATCAGCATAACTATGTCCTCCTGAGCCAAATGATAGATTGGTGAGACACGAAGGTATGGACTCATTCAATCTGTTGTGAGCAAAATCCAACATCCTTACGTTCCTTAAACCGCACAGCTCAACAGGAATCTTTCCTGTCAAGTTATTACCCCTCAAAAGAACAACACTGATGCTCGGGGTGCTCCTGAACAGTGGTATGTTTCCAGACAGTTTGTTGTTTCTCAGATCAAGCAACCGGAGCCCGTCCCACAACGTGTCTGGAATAGATCCAGTGAGATTGTTGTTGTGCAAGTCCAATATATAACCGAAATCCGAGCTGGACCGTGGGGGTAAGCTACCCGATAAGAAGTTTCCAGAAAGGTCCAAGAGCCAGAGGTATGGAATGATGAACAAAGAAGGTGGTATTGTACCTTGTAAACGGTTGTTTGAGATCCTCAGAACTTCCAAAAAGAATTTGCCTAACCATCTTGGAATTGTACCTGTGAGGAAATTGTTTGATAAGTCGATCACGCTCAACATCCTTAAGTTGAGTAGAGTGCGAGGGATCTTCCCTGTAAACATGTTATTGTCCATGATCAGCGTAATCAAAGAGGTCTCATCACTCGATTTCCGAATAATCGGGCCACGGAATCTGTTGTGCGAGAGCTTAAGCCAACTCAATGAATAGCAACCTGTGAAAAGATTTCTTGGCAATTTCCCTGAGAAGTTGTTGTAAGATAGGTCCATAAATTCAATATTTTCCATCCTGGCCATAGAGGAGGGCATGTTCCCTTGAAACTCATTGTTTGAGAGATTCAAATGTCTCAAGCTCGTAAGTATCAAACCGACATCCTTAGGGAGTTGATTGTTGAAATTGTTCGCCGAAAGATCCAAAAACTGTAACTTGCGCATTGTTCTTGGAAGTGTAAGTGTTTTGTATGAGTTGTTCTGTAACAACAGGGCCTGAAGCTCTGTGTTATTTTCCAGCAGCCAAGTGGGGAACACTCCGGATAACATATTGTTGGAGAGATCGATGACCCGCAATTCCTTCTGATGCCAAAGAAAACCAGGGATTTTTCCAAGGTTGCAGTGTGGCATTGAGATACTACTTAGCTGCGATTGCAGGCCACTGGAAATGTTAGTCTCTTCTACTTGCAGCATACCAGACCTGGAAGAGAGTTTAAAAACCTTGAGCTCTGCTAATTTGGTGATCAAACCCAACGAGAACAAGCCTTCAAATTCATTATCGAGTAGTGATAAATATTCCATGGATTTGAAGTCACTGATGAAATATGGAATCTTCCCACTTAAGTGATTTGATGATAGATCAAGAACTTGGAGTTTGGAGAACCTCGAAAAACAGAGTGGGATTTCACCCACAAATCTGTTTCGACTAAGACGAAGCTCTTGCAACTGCTCTAATCTACAAATTCCTGCAGTGATGGATGCACAGAGAAACATCAAGAGATATACAATCGAAGCTGAGGCGAGTTCCGCTACTTAAAAAGGAGTATTAGTCATATCTTGCCTTGTTTTTGCAATGAACCAGAGAATTGATTATTGCTTAGATCCAAAGCTCTGAGGTTTCGCAGATTGTTAAGCTCTGCCACAAGGAAAAAGATGCAACATGGCTTATAAATAAATGAACACTCGACATATTACGTATCAAGATTGACGTAGAGACACTCAAATTGCAACAATAAAATTATAGATTATGTTACAACATCGCATCGATATTATCACAGTGTTACCTTGTGTTGGTAACTGGCCACTGAATTCGTTGAATTTTAGATCTAGTACTTCCAAACTTATTAGATTTGTTAGTCCTGTGCCAAGAGTAAAAAAATCAGAAACATAGTGAAAAAGACTTCCAATGTCAATGACATCTATTGTATTGATTTGTTCTGGAGTACCTACCTTGAACAGGAAAGCCACCCTTAAATAAGTTTTCACGGAGAATCAAAGTCTTGAGAGACACAGCCTCGTTCAAGTATGGCAAGACACTGGTATCGTAAAAGTTGATACCGAGATCCAGAATCTCAAGATTTCTGAAACTTCCCAGGCCCTTACCACCTATATAAGCAGTAAAGTATTTTACATTGCTAGGGGACTTGGATACAAGAACAAAAATGAAAACGAATATACAGACCTTTTCTTTCGTCGAACCAGCCTTTGAAGTATCCCGACGACAAGTTGAGACTCTGAAGCTCCTCAAAGGGATAGAACAAAGTTAAATTCAGTAGAGGAAGAGGATCAGGGGGATGTATGGATTCTAAGGATAAGGAGATTCCGATCACGCGTTTGCTGGTGATGTCGCACTTGATTCTTCTCCAGTGGCAACAAGAACGATCACTACTCATCCATCCTCGACGAATGTCTAAATGTGGATCAGTAATGACCGAGATCATATAGGCCTTGAGCTCTAACAAACCCTGCCTTTCACTTTCAATGCAGCTTCTACATCCCTGCAACAACATCATCATCATTATCATCCATGTTAGGCCAAAGACCATTGACTTCGAGGAAGACATTATAAGTGCAAAGATCAAATGAGGAAACATAGAGAATGTAAAAATGACTCAAAGTCATTATATATGGTTTAGACATCAAGCCATGTGATGCAATGTTCTAAGAAGAAGATGAAGTCAAAAGAGTGTCACAGCAGTTGATAACTATTGATTAATTAGATGACTTGTAATTAATCAATAGTTATCAATTTAAATATAAACCTAAACATAAAAAAACTCTGCAAACTATGCATAAAAAGTATTGAGATAGAAGAAGAAACTCACATGGTTATCCACAAATTAAGGAGTTGAACAATACATTTCATTCCATTTAAAATTTCCTCATGGAGCTTAACTAAGCCGTTACCAAAATTAAAGCCCCATGAGCAATTAACAGAGCTTCATTATGAGCTTTAAGCAGCCCAACAAAGACCCAATGCGTTGATGATTACTTTCACTAAATGATTTGGCTCTCTAACAAATCATTTAGCCAAAGCAAATCCAGATGGTAGCTTTGTGGCTGTAGATAATTCTGTGGGAGAGACACTTGTCATCAACTTGTTTGGCCATCAACGCATGCTATTAGAAAGAACAATGAAATCATTGAATGAAAATTACGTAAATTGCTTGAAATTTTACTTTATGTAAGTTGTTACCATCCCATTGACTTTTAATTACACAAACAAATATAAAATGTTATTATTTAAAGAAAGGTGATCCACTAGAAATGGTGGAAATTTCCTATTCAGGCAACTAACCAATTCTTCTCATTGATTCTTATGTCGTCTTCACCACTTTAAACGGTGGAACTTTCCTATTTGGACGAGTGATTATTATTCTTTTGATTTTTGTATCATCGTCACAAGTCATAACAATAACAAACCAACACAGCAATTAAAGGCTAATCAATCAATCTTTTGTTTTGTCTTTTCCTAGTGGAAAGCACAGAAAACAGTTGCAAGATTTCCCATTCCTAAACCTTACTTCTCAATTCTATAAAAAGGACAAGACATTGCAAGAAGCAAAACAAAACAAAAATGCAAATTCAGACTAGGCATGTCTTGGTGGTGGTGGTGGTAATAATGGTGGTTATGAGCTCTTTCACTGTGGAGGGAGGGAGAGGGATATACACAAAAGATCAGAGGCTTCACCATGTTCAGAAGGACAGATCCGTCATTCCATCAGCAAGAGGAGTAGACAACCACCATAACATTCCAAGACAAAACTTTGACAATTGGGGTGGCAACGGAGGAGGAGGCAGTGGTGGAGGTGGTGGTGGTGGAGACGATGGAACAGGTTAGAATCAGCAACACGAAAGACAAGATATGACTCGAGACAAAGGAGCTCCTAAAACGTGTACTTGTGTGTATATGTAAAGACTGATGTGATGTGATGAATTGGTTATTGGCCTATGTTTTGTGCTTTTTGTGATGTATCCTAAGTATATATATATGCTTTTGATAAGACTTGTGGTATGCATCATGTGATGAATGAATGGTATGTATTTTTTAACACTCATAAGAAGTGAGTTCATAAACAGAAAGTCTCGAAATTAGGTGTAGTTAAAATTAGTACCTTTACAGCTAGTTTTCGCCAAATTCAGGTGGAGTGGCTGCTTTGGATTATCAGTAAAGCTTCATCTGCTTCTTCCTTTAAGTGCTTCAGGTTCTAAAAGAATTATAAGTAACACAGCGAGGATTTTTTTATCCAATTGATAAAAGCATCAACCATGCTCGGCACCACGGAGAATCAAAGCACAAAAACAGAAAACCCTCCCCATCAAAACAGTTGCATAGGTCGCAACTAGGCTCCACCACAAGACACCATATTGATACTTCGCCTGCATCATCATCTTCATCTGCTTATTCTTCTTCTTTTTCTGCTTCTTCTCCTTCTCGTAATGTGATAGTATTCCCACAGTTTATGTTGGTTGGTGGTGAACCACAAAGAAGTGAATTACCTAAGTAATCCATCTCACAAGGAGAGAGCTCTGTTTCACATGGATCATCTCTTGTCTAGTTTTCTCTTCGTTGCTTTATAGTTTAAGGAAGCAAGACTGATTAAGTGGAATTCGAGTTCTCTCACCAGAAAGGTATCAGTTTATAAGCAGTCCCATAAAAAGAAGCTGGGAGATCACAAATCTGAGATGCGTTTCACTTTTCCAGTCACAATGCTACCTTCCATTACAAAACCTAAGTTCATGCCATAAAATTTGATTATTCAAGTGAAGTAACCCACAAATGTAGACAAGAAACGTTTTTGAATTAAAGCAAGTTAATATTTTCCCCAACATTAAAAAAACACCGATCTTTTCCTTAGTTTTCTCAAGAATCTCTACCATTAACATAACGTTGGCCAAAACTACAATAGCTACCTCAACATACTAAGCAAGCAATTCCTTTTAGAAGAAAGAAACATTCTTTTACCAATTTTCTTCTAAGCAAGTGAGTCAAAAAGGTAAAGTAAGTGTACAAGTAACCAATTCTCCAAGAAATATCAGGCAACAATTTATTATGCAATAAGGACTTTTTTCATTACCGGGAATAGCTTGAATGATTCTCATCGCGGAAGCAACCTCCGTAGACGCAGTATGTATCTTCTCTCTATCAGGCCCACCGAAGGAGAAGACGGTGGAGGAACCCAATGTTGTCACATCCAGAAGATTCTGTGTTTCGATGAGACTGGAAGAGAATCGATGAGATGAGACAATGTATTCGAGATTGATGAATCTGACCGAAATTAATCTAAACCGGGTCGTCTTCTTTTTTTACATCAATTAAACCGGGTCCTTTCATACCAACAAGGCAACAAATGAAAAAAAAAATAAGAAAACGTTAGAAATGTTTTTTAATTTCTTTGTAATTTAGTTTCACAACAAGTTAACAAAATAAATTTAAAAAAATATAATACAATCCTCCAAACATATAAATTTTGTCGCATAAATTTATTCATGACATTCAAATGTATCTTACATTCCTTCCACACACTAAAATTACATTAATTTCATTTTAGGTCTTACTCTTTTCTCGAAATTGCTAATACTTTCATCCATTTGTTTTTTTTGTTCTAATAGAATCAATCAATCAAGTGTATAGTTGCCAAGTCGACCCTATATAAAGGCTAACGTTGATTACTTATTACGAAGATGAACATGTCGTTTAGTAGGAGTTCTCTGCAAAACTACCACATGTTTTTTTTTTGATAACTCAGGTGATTCTATAAAGCTTTCTAGGCCCAAAGACTAATCCTGGAGTCTGGAAAAACCATGTTAAAATTCGAACCCCGGTGGCCAATGCTACTCGAACCAAGGTGGCGGAAACTTTTTTCTCCTTTACCACTGGACCAAGACGACTTGGTTCACATGTTTTACTACTCAGAAACCAAAAGAATCTAAAGCAAAGCAATTTAGTTCGTCGACATCCTTCGTTCACTTATGAAGATCAAGCCCACACAATAACTTCCCGGCAGCAACACACCGACCACAAAAATAAATTTTATTTCACGTGTGTGTGTGATATCAATCTTTAATTTGTCTCCTTTATATTAGTCACTCAAATTATTTATACACAACACATTTAAACAGCAGAATTATAAATGTTTGATCTGCTCATTCATTTCAACAAACTAGCGATCAAGACAACTTTTTTGACCAAATGGAACATTTCGATTCAGACGTGGTCACGTGGGATTACAGTTTAAAAAATAACAAGACAAAGAAAAAGATGGAACAAGAATTCTAAGTCTTGTTACTTCAATAGGGTCATGTATGAAGGAAGAGTACAATCAATTTTGATACGTAAACTTCAAAAAAGTGTGGTTTACGTTGTACGAACCTAATGAGCTGCCACGACGACCGGAAATTACCGTATGTGGGGTTCTGTCTGCGTAGACCGACCATTCACATTTCAGATGTTCACCAAAGATCTACCAATAAGTACATGAAAATTAAATTAAATGTTTGACTAAGAAAAAAGATAAACATTTATAATAGAGAACATCGGGTCCTAGTCCACTCTGTATTTGTGGTCACATCTCTTAAAAATTACACACATGTGCAAGTTTGTAGTATGCTTCGAATTGATTATGCTATATTTATGTTTACAGCTCAAAACTTTGTTATGGTTTCCAGATATTTATTTCTTAAAGTTATAACGATATAGTCAGAAATGTTAGCCTTATCCAATTTACATGTTTACATAAAGAAAATCAAAACTATAGTATTTGTTATTAATGCAGATCGTTATATGCAATGTGCGGTTAGCTATTTGTTGTTGTACAATAGCGAATTATAAATGTTTGATTTGCTTAGTTTTGATTTATACACAACATGTATAACTATAGTTTTGATTCAATGATTAGTTCGCTATTTTGTGAACTTTTTAAGATTCATCAGTTCGTTATATATGTATTTCAACATACACATAATCATAATTCAAGTCAAAATTTTAATAATATACTAAACTTATATTTTATTTTAGATTAAGCGTCTGAACTTTATAAATCTTAAGATTTTTTTTTCAATTTAAATAATAAAACCTTACTGAAGTAGCCAAATATGTAGGTGATCAAGTTCTTAAACGTACTAGCTAGATAGCAAAAAAAACACACAATTTTATTTTCACTTAATCTACAAGATCTTTTGAAAAAACATAAAACACTTAACCCAAAACAAAACCTCAGAACATATATCACATTAATATTCTTCTAGAATACGTAATATTACATATATATAAATAATAGTGTTATCTACTCATAGAAAACAAGAAAATATGTCACATATCAATCATTTATTGTTCCAAAGCAAGTGACCCTGTTTCTAATTCATAGGCTTATCTCTCTCCATATATTGTCTAAACTCTCCCTCTTTCTCCATCTTCTCACATTTCTACTACAATATTTCAGAAGCAGGAACCACAACAAAGCTCTCCACTTTTCGACGAAGTATACAAAATTTTGTCCTTGTAGTGTTGGAACCATCAAGTAATGGGAGAAGAGAATAGCACGAGCGGGACATGCAAGCCGTCCAAGACGTTCAAGGCGAAGTGTAGCCACATGGTGAAGAAACAGCGAGCCAAGTTTTACATCCTTGGCCGTTGTATCGCCATGTTAGTCTGCGGGCGTGGCCGTGACCGCGAGCGCGACCGTATTTTGATTTAGATCTTTACCTTATGTTTTGTTTTCTCTAAATATTTTTCCAACTTTTTTGGGTTGGGTTGCCGTTTTCATTTTTCCCTCTAGTATCAAACATTTGAACTAGGGTTGATATTTAAGTTATGTACACATGAATATATATGAAATTGATGTGAATGCATTCTTGAAATGCTAAGTTAATTTGAGATTTATCTCTCTCTTTTGAAAGTTTAGAATGGTATTTTCTTAATAAGTTTTAGTTGTTCACGTACTAACCTCTTCTTTTTGTAAACCATTGGCCCTGGAAAGATCTTCAATTTTACTTGGAATATATAGGTTATACAAAACTTTATTGTAAATTTCAGAAATACTCAGACATGCATTGAGCCTTCAAATGCTCGTTATCGTTAATCATATGAATAATATTACAGCAAAACATCTCATTGGCCCATAAAGATTTAAAGAATAATCACAAAAACTTTGAAAACTAACTCTGGTGATGAATAATAATTTGTTTGCCAGTTCTTTTATTTGGCAGCATCTGTTTACCAGTTACATTCATTAAATTAGTGTAACAATACCAGCGAAAAGATGAGAGAAAAAGGTGGAGAAGATAGAATGTAATTATGACAAAAGTCTACGGCCTGAGAGTCCATGCATGTGAGTATGTGACTCGAGTCCAATTCATACTAATGCAAATCGAAACTATGCACTATTTTCATTACTAGCTATTTTGTCGGTTTAGAGAGGGCGATATGTTTGATTGTATAGTAGTTATGTAAAATTTTGAATATGAAGACGAGAACCAACATCGTTTTCCATTCGATTCATAAAATATTTAAATCCATATATTAAAAAGAAAAGGAAAAGAATAATAGACTGTGTAATTCAAGATCCGTACCATGAAGAAAACAAGTGAAAATATATAATAGTAATCCTAGACTAACGTGCCCATTGTAAAAGCTTTTTCTTATTCATATTAAATATTATTTTAGTTCATGAGAAATATATATATCATGAATAACTTGCCCTAATTTTTTACATCATGTAATATGCGGATTTAAATTGAAATGGTGACACGATAACGGCAATAACACAAACTATTAAGCATATATTCTATTTGATATATAATAGCGGCTTTCTTTTTCTTCCATTAGACCATCTTTATCAATGGGTTCTTAAGAAATCTTAAGATGATCTTAGTAAATTTTTAGTATTATTACTAAGGGCATGATTATCAAGGGTTTCTTAACAATGGCTCTTAGTAAATTTTTGGTATTAAAATCTTAAGATTTACCTCTTACAAACATGTTTTGGCTCTTAGCTAAGACATCTTTCTTACCAATCTTACCATTTGCCATTTAATTAAATACTTTTTAATACTTAAGATTTACCTAAGAACCTACCAATAATCATGGTCTAATAAGAACCAAAGTTAAGATTTACCTCTTTTTGGCTCTTAGGTAAGCAACTCCCTCAACTCATCTTAACTTTGCTTCTTAGTAATAATACTAAAATATTATTAAGATCATCTTAAGATTTTCTTAAGAACCCATTGATAAAGATGGTCTTAGGTACTTATAAAGTTGAACATGATCATAAGTCGTCAAGTCTCTTGATAATTTACTATTAAATGTAGATTATTGAAATTGTGATGGCCTAAAGGGTACAGTATATTATATTAATGTAATACATATAATAGGGCCTTTTATTTATTACGTAGAAATTTTTTTAACAACTATGTTTTCACCAGTACTGAATGCATGCAGTCAGTGTTACCACTACTTTATTGGATTCTTAATTTTTATAAAATACGACCCAACAACACTATTAAACTATGTGAAAAGAATCCGAAGCCAAAAAAACTAACAAACTAAAACGTCCAACATCACGTGCATGCTCTTGCTCCAAGTCTCGAACATTTCCGACACGCCGCAACCGCTGATTAAGAAGACGATTAAATCATTAGAATAAAATTATAGATACTTGTCTGATACTCGTAGGAAATTGAAAACATATTTGATTGTTCGTCTTTGAGCGTTATAGTGAACCTTAATATCTAGGTCCGATTTGAATAATTGAATATATATAGTACATATGTTGAAACCAAATGTAGGTGAAAAACTATGAGCCGACAATGGGAATCGTCGAGGCGAAAAAGGTGTGCAGATGCACTCGTGCGGTCCCTCCCGTTACTATTATTCATCGCTTTCCCACTACTGTTTGATTTATTACGTATACAGAACTCATCAGAACATTATTTTCTCAAGTAAAAAGTTCAATTTTTGTTTCTATATAATATTTATATATGATGATGGGATAAATGAGAAACGTGAATTTCAACCTTTATTCATAAAGGAAACTTGATTTGTTTAAGTAAAAGTCAGCATCATTGACGAAAGAGATGGGGAAAAACATGGTTGGTCTCATAATTATTTTCCCGATAAGATTTTAAGGAATTCTTCTTATTGTGTTGTATTCCACTAACTGTGAATAGGTGGAGAGTTTTGTTGTTTTGCTTCTTATTCCTTTGGACGTTACTATTATATATACACGACAGAGTTTTAGTGTTTTGCAATTCATATCACATTCTTACAGTTTCATGCTTTTTATTCTATAATTAATGTTACATACAAAATAAACACAAAGTAATAATTTTCGGTTCTATTTTCTTTCTAATAAGTAAGACATTGCCACTTAGGTCACATGGGTAATGTTTGGGATTAATTTTAGAATTCTAGCCTTAACAAATTTTAAAATAATAAAAGAGAAGATCATTTAGATTGCAAAAGCCGATTGGACACAAAAAGAAAAAAAGCTAAGAAAAGGGTTTTGGGACCCGTTGGGGTTGGAAAGGAAGAGAGAACACGTGCATCTCTCTGACACACGAAACACTTGCCTCCATTTTCTTCTTTCCAATTTTTGTTTTTGTAATCTCACGACTATATTTCCATCAATTTATCATTTTCAACACAGTATAATGCCAATATCTTCACTAGTTATACACCGTGTTCAAAAAATCGCTAGGCGCTAGTCGGACGGTGAAGGTGCGCCTAGCGCCTAGCAAGAAAATCGGAGATTACACGGGGATTAATCGGGGATTAGTTTTAGGGCTATTTAATGTTTTTAAAACATATTAATCCATTATAAATAAGAAATTTATATAATCTTGTTTTTAAAATTGCATTAAACACATGAAAACAAGAATTTAAGGTCAAACTTATGATTTTTATACAAATTATGAATATAAGTGGGACGTTTTGAATTTTAGATCCAAAAAAAAAAAAAATGTAAAAAAAAAAAAAAAATTGGGCTAGACGCCGTCTAGGCGGGCTAGGCGGACGCCTAGACGGTCTAGGCGGACAAAAATCGGATCACCGATTTTTTTTACTGATTTGGACAAAATCGCCGCGGTCCCCACCCGATCAGCGCCTAGGCGGCTAGGCGGCCGATTTTTAGAACAAGGGTTATACATTCATTGTTGTATAGTATATTGTATTCCATTAATTAAGCTATGTATAATATGTATCTGTTAGTGTTACTTATCCAATTAGATGACATAATTAGGATTTCTAACAATATATATCCAAAAAACAATAGTAATAAACATAAAGGTTTTGTGCTCGCGTGTGATCAGTTTATGAGCTAGACCCCCCCACGAGGTGATGTCTTTTTGTAGCAGTCTTTGTAGACTTCCCACGTGCGGCTTTGTGTTGATTTTCTCCAAGAGAGCGGGCCAAGTCCAACCCCCCAGGACCGTCCTCTTTCGTGTGACACATGCATATTTTTCTCTATAAAATTTTCACAATGAATAAAAAATTATTTGAAAAAAATTCTGCCATGTTTCTTTCTCCAGTCAAACCCAATATGTCAATATCGGAACATGCAAGCTGACTTGATTTTGTACATAGACTCTATGATATATTAGTTTTAAATTTGAATAGAAAAAACTTGAATAGAAAACAAGATTTGGGATTACCGTGACGTGGTGATTTGAGCGCGCGTTAAGAACAATCGGTATAGATGATGAAATGATCGTGCATTTTTTTTACCTAAAGGTAATTTACTGCGTCGATTTTAGGCCTAGTTATAGTTTCGTACTATATACTAATATAGGACATATTAGACGCTAGCTATGATCGATGGTCCTTCTGACAAGGATCGTGATTGTGCGATCATCTCACTAATAAGTTTGTTTCTTGTGTAGTGGTGTGGTGCATATATACTTTACTGTGATGGTGACTTATCTTGCGGTAGAGAATCTACATGCACGAGTCACATGCATGGTTAATTAGAAAATTCCAAAACATCAAACTTTATAACAAAGAAAGAAAGTATTTATATATGTATTTAGGGACATGTATTTATGTATATAATCTTATAATTTCAAAACTGTTATGTGTGAATTGTGATTCAATCTTTTCTCTCAGTACTTTCCACAATTTGTTCTATCTGTATATAAAATTCATAATATTTTATCATGAAGACTTAAAATTAATATTTGAAATAATCAAAAGAGTCCAAATCTCATTAAATCATGGAAGAAAAATGAGATGTGTTTGAGAGATGAGCACAACAAACTCGTGATGTCGTCTGCTAAAATGGACCAACCTGACAAAAACCTGCCGAGACGATAAGGCCTGCTCGTTCTCACTTACTAATTTAGTAAATTACCCACTACGTTACAAAACCAAAAAAAAAAAACAAAGTTTTTAACTTTTTTCATTTTTGTGGAAAAGGACTTTAATCTACAAATTACAAAATGCAAAAAGCTTTATACATAACATATACAAAATCTCTCCTTCATAAATTTTTTTTACTATTTTTCTTAAAATCTTGATACATAACAGATACAGGCCTCGAGTCCATATAAGCCCAACTAAATTTATACAGCCATGATTATACTCCCAAATCACGGTTATATAGTGCAGAATTTTTACGAGTGTCAACGAAAATTAGAGATTTGCAGCTTTGTTTGTACTTGAAAATCTCATTTCTCTAGATTTATTTCATCATGACACAATTGTACTACATTTATTTCAGCATGACACAACGATTATGTACAAAAGACATAAATAAAACACAACAAAGACCATCGAAAGTTTTTCAAGCAGAACAAAGTAAAAAGACTAAAGAGAGTAGTCACAAGGTCTGATCAGATCTTTCAACTGTAGAGATCATCATCGTCGGCTGCTCCTCCGGATGTGGCAAACGGGTCGACTCCCCCAACTGTGGCAGCAGCTCCAGTCCCTGTCGGCGCATCTGGAAACCTGAACTCGCTTCCAAACCCACGTGATTGCTGGAGAGTCTGAGCAAAAGCCTGATACTTGCGAATGTCTGCATCACTCACTGATCTCCTAGCATATTTCATGGATTCCTCAAAGTGACCAGCTTTAATCTCTGCAATCTCCTCTTCGTCCTCTTCCATTGCTTCTGGCGACTCTGCTCTCTTCCTCTCCTTCTCAATATCCTAACAAAACATGAAATCAAAAGAGCTTAAGAGTCAATAACATATAGAAAACAAAGGAACTGTGATTCTAGTTTCAGATTCATATACCTTCTCGATGTTTTCTCTGATCGCATACTTGCAAGAACGCTGGCAAATCTCTGTGATGTCTGCACCGCTGAAGCCTTGGGTGTACTTCGCAAGAGCCCTCAGGTCAACATCTTTAGCTACAGGCGATTTCCTCAAGCAAGACTTGAAGATCTGGTAACGAGACTCCTCATCAGGAAGAGGAATGTAGATGAGCTGATCGAGACGACCAGGACGCAGAAGTGCAGGGTCGATGATGTCTGGTCTGTTTGTAGCTCCGATGATGAAGACCGTCTTCTTAGCATTCATTCCATCCATCTCCGTAAGAAGCTGGTTCAATACTCTATCTGCTGCACCACCAGCATCTCCAACACTGTTCCCTCTCTGTTATTAGTTATTACAAGAGATGTTCATTAATTTTTCTGAGATAAAGGTAAGCTGCCTAAGTAGAGAGATCAAGAAACTAAGTACAATACCTGAGTGGCAATGGAGTCAAGCTCATCAAAGAAAAGAACACAAGGAGCAGACTGGCGTGCCTTGTCGAATATCTCTCTCACATTGGCTTCACTCTCTCCAAACCACATTGTGAGGAGCTCAGGACCTTTGATACTAATGAAGTTGGCTTGACACTCGTTCGCAATAGCCTTAGCCAAGAGAGTCTTTCCACAACCAGGGGGACCATAGAATAGGACTCCTTTAGACGGTGACATCCCAAACTTCTCGAATTTCTCAGGATGCTCCACTGGATATTGAACAGTCTAAACAACACAATAATAACAGATTAGTTCATATTCATGGGTCAATAATTGAAAAAAATGTCAAATTGTTGAAATCTTAATTTACCTCTTGGAGCTCCCTCTTGACATTCTCAAGACCACCAATGTCCTCCCAAGAAACATTAGGCACCTCAACGACCTGGTTAAAAGAGAAAATAACAGTTTAATAAAGAATGGTACCAAATAGAATTAGAAACTGCAAACAAAAAAATTGATCTCTTGAACTCACCGTCTCACGTAGAGCTGAAGGATTGCTGTTACCAAGGGCAGTCTGGAAATGATCATTAGTCACAGCCATAGAATTGAGAATTTCAGCATCTATCTCCTCGTCATCTAGGTCAATCACGTCCATCTTCTCCCTGATGCATTGGAGAGCAGCTTCAGTGCATAATGCTGCAAGATCAGCACCAACATAACCATGGGTGTCTTTGGATACTCTTTCCAAATCAACCTGAATAAGAGAAAATCATGTCAGATCTGACAAATAGAGAAAGGCAAAAGAAAAGAAGAAAATAATTACAGTATATGCAACGGAACATTACATCTTCCGCAAGCTTCATGTTCTTGGTGTGAATCCTGAGAACTTCAAGACGACCAATCTCATCAGGAACACCAATATCAATCTCTCTGTCAAATCGTCCAAACCTTCTCAAAGCGGGGTCAATGCTGTTGGGACGGTTGGTTGCTCCCATAACAATGACATGGGCTCTGGATTTAAGCCCATCCATAAGTGTCAAGAGCTGTGATACAATACGTCTTTCAACTTCCCCGTGTGTCTTTTCTCTTTTTGGAGCAATCGAATCGAGCTCATCAATAAAGATGATTGAGGGGGCATTCTTCTCAGCTTCCTCAAACGCTTTCCTGAGATTGCTTTCACTCTCACCAGCTAGCTTCGACATGATCTCGGGACCATTGATACAGAAGAAAAATGCACCAGTCTCATTAGCAACAGCACGGGCAATCAGTGTCTTTCCAGAACCAGGGGGACCATATAGCAAGATTCCTTTGGGAGGTTTCACACCAATGGACTTGAAGAGTTGTGGATGCCTCAATGGGAGCTCAACAAGTTCCCGAATCTGAGCCATTTGTTTCCTGACACCACCAACATCATCATACCCAACGTCATCCAACCTCTCCTCATCCTCTCTCTTTATCGGTTCACCCTCACAGAAAATTTCTGTATCTGGTGCAACCACACAGTACTCAGCAGGATCGGTCTCAATAACCTTAAACTCAATACTTCTCATCCCTCCTCTAACCAAGAAAAGATCACCCTTCCTCACCGGACGGTATGCCTCCAAGAAATAAGCTGGCAAGATACAAAACCAACAGACATTAAACTGCTGTGATATGATAATACAGAACACATCAAGAAGTACATAAGCAGATCACAACTAAGATTAACAGATCATGTAAAGATAAAAACAGGGCAGAGAAAAGGCTTACGTTTAAGGTAAGCATCAAATATATTGCCACTAACTCCTTCAATGGTATCATCTATAGGCAAGATGTGAACACGCTTCCCATACTTGACATCAGGACATTGATGAACAGAGATAACATCTCCAAGCCTAACCCTGAGGTTAGACCTAACAACCTTGTTCATCCTAATTTTTGGTTCATCACAAGTATCATCAGCTAAAGCAATACACACAGTATCCTTCCTCTTCTTTCCCTGCAACCACAATTTCCCAAAAATAGGAGAGAAAACAAACATGTCAACTACACACAACTCAAAGAAACATGAAATTGAAAGACCCAATTAAATAAAAAAAACAAGCTTTCTGATAAACCCTAGCATCCCCGTAAAACCCAGAAGCAGCCAAAACACTGAACAATCAAAAACCCTTATAAACCCTGAATTACGCTAATTCATCAAAGGAAACAAGAGAAGAAGAGCCAAAATTGTCAAAATCAGACCTTAATCAAAACGGTATCACCACGAAAAAGCTGTAGCTTCTCCATGGTTTCAGGGTGAAGAGAAACGACGGAGTTATCATCGTTAATCGCCTCATCCACAACCAAACGATTCGCCGCCTTCTTTCTCTCCAGAATCGCGGTGCTAAAATCCCTCTTCGTCCCCTTCCTGAGATATTCAGAGAAAATCTTAAAGAGTTATAGATAAAAACTCAGTAATCAACAAGTACTTACGAGTCGGATGATTCAGCTTGATTCGCCATGTTTGATATCGAGCATAGAGAAGAAGATTCGAGAAGTGTAATCGTTTCGGTTTTTCTATGAGAAAATAAAGAGCCAGGTGTCTCTTTATATAACAAGACAAATCTTGTTATCAAAGAAAAGTTATTTTGTTGTAAGATATTTCGAGGCTAAGATATTTAGCTTACTCAAAAATTTGATTTCAATCTTATCTTTCAACCTTTTATCAATTTTCCGTTGTATTTTGTGGTAAAAACGTTATTTTTTTTTTGAATATAATTTAACATTAAATTCAAAAAAAAAAGTTATTTTGTTTTTCCATTTTTTCTAATTTCCTTTTCTTTCTTGTTGGCGTTATTTCCTTTTCTTAGTTGGGTTATTTTTTTTTTTTTTTTTTAATACATCTTCCAATTTAATAAGATTAAGCTTCTATGTATGAATAAATATTGGAATAATTTCATAGGAGAAGAAAAATATAACAAATTCAACAAAGGTGTACGTTTTTAACTTTTTTTTTTTTAATAAACAAAATTACAAAAAGAAGGTCGGTCTTAATGGGCTTCAATAAATTCTTAATGGTTGGTATTTTTGTGTGGTTGAAGAGTATGGACCGTCCGATCTCAAACCTGGCCCAAATTAGACAATTACATTAACCCAATTCATCATCGCTGGAATTGATGGAAAACAAACCGGATTTGGGATGTGAGCTTTTTTGGACATCCTTCAACAAACCGATGTGTGCTTTTGAAATTGCCAAAGAGTGTGATTAAAAGGATGGTAGACTTCAATACTATGTTTCTCAAGGTCATCATACCTGGTTAAACTGATCGTTTGAGAGGGAAAGAGCCGCCGCGAAGAGCTCCTAGTCCTCGGTGTTCATATTTATTTGTCAAGAGTTGTATCATGTATGTTAGCTCCATCCTCTTGTTAAGTTTATAACATTAATCTACCAAAGTTCAAAATTATTCAGAGGATTTGAAGTGTACACAAAAGGAATGCAGATTTCATTATTTGATTTTTATGAAGATAGTTAAGAAGAGTGAAGCCAAAGACGATCATGGAGTCTCTCTTCACCAGCTCCAAACATCTCATCGACTTTTTCGCCGTCTCTGTAAAACTGAAACGTGGGTGTGTAACGGATGTGGCGAGTGGTTTCAGGGCACTCGTCGATATCTGCATAAACAAACTTGAGCTTCGAGAAACTGTTGCTGAGCTTTTGGAATGCAGGTAGAATCTGGCTACAAACTCCACACCTGAAAGTTTCAAAATTTAAAATCTCAGTCAAAATTGACAAAAGGGAGAACAAAAAACAGAACCGTTCTCATTGAGGCATTTCATCAAACACTTTGCAAGCATAAAATGTTTTGTTCGCAAATATAGAAACCAAGACGTACCATGAAGCTCCGTAGTTAATAACAGCCTGAAAATCACAAAAAAATAACAAGAAGAACAGTCAGATTACGAAAGAACCCAGCTTGGGTCTGAAAACGTATACAAGTAAAGAGTTGTCGTTTGTAATAACCGGAGATTTGGAAGATTTGATGTCATCAAGAATTGTGAGGAAACTTTGGTCGTTTGGTGCAATTTTCACGTTACCATTGTGATTTGATTTGGATTCGAAATCTTGATTCGCTCCCTCCGATTCTTGCTTTCTCATTTTTGGTTTTTTTTTGCTTTAGGAATTGCCAATTTTGATCCCTTCGTAGATTATCATAACCTAAACCGAACCACAAGTCTACTCACCACTACGGCACTAAACCCAAACCAATTCATTTGAGTCTAAACCGATTTAACCAAAGCTAATTTCAACATAGACGATTTCGTTAACCGGGTCAATTATGATTTTGATTGAGAAAGAAAACTAGGAACGACCTTTTAATGACTCTTTTATCTTCAAAAAATAAAAATATAAATAGCATCTAACAAAATTTAGGAAGAAATTAATGGTTTTTTAAGAGAAGATCTTGGTTTATTATTATGGTAGTCTTCTTCATCACCAGATTCAGATGCTGCTGAAGAAATCATGTGTTGTTGTTGGCAAAGAGCTTCATTCTCCCAACTCTTTCCCATCACAACCAAGTATAGTCCACTCATGATTAGTATTGCACCAATCAATCTGACAAAAACAAACACACAAATCTGTAAGAAAACACTTAATTATTAGAAATGAAAACCAAATACATAATGAGTAAAACCTAGATATATACATACCCGCCAAGGTAAAAGTGTTCACCAAGAGCAAAAGTGGCTAAAATAGCAGCAATTAAAGTTTGAAGAGGCAAATACGCTGATACAAACAGAGGTCCTCCTCTCTCCACTACATATATTTGTATTGCAAACACCATTGCTGAACCAATTAAACCCTGAAAATATTCAAACTCACACGGTCACACCAATATTAAACAGAACATTCCAAAGAGTCTTAATCTATAAAGATAAACAAAACACTTACCGTGTATAGTAACGCGTATAATTCGCCTCCTGATATTATCTTCCATCTCTCTTGATCTCTCTCGAAATAAGCAGAGATTCCAAAGAACTGTAACACGGCGAAAAAGCAAGCGTAGGAGACGAAGGAGAAGCGAGCTGGGTACTTCTTAAGCAATGGTGACTGCAACACAATCCAACTTGACCAGCATAAACAGTGACCCATCAAACATAGACATCCCAACGTCCAGTTCTTGTTTTGTTCCTCTGCTTCTTCAGCTTTGATAGGTTGGTTCACTAAACGCAGACTCGGTTGGTAAATAGTTGGTCCTTTATAGAGTGTTATAACCAAAGAGCCTGAGACTGATACAATTGTGCCCACCACTTTAGCTATACCATCTTTCCTCTTCCATTCCACCTTCTCTATTCTACAATAGTTGGTGTGTCAAGTAATAATGAGATATGAGTGAAGTGAGAGATTCCATAAATATTAACATCTTGCTTCCCACTTTGACGGTCAGCACTAAGCAGTAATTGGTCCGCATGATACACATCTTCTTTTCCAAGTTATCTACAATAAAGAATCAAGAACATACCCGAGCAACGCTGCCATGAGGAATGAAACCGGGAACAGCATTTTCTGTTGCTGATGCGAATGTTGGTGAGGTATTGTCCAATCCAAAGATGTAAAATCCTTGGTTTAATGTTATTCTATAACCAAAAATGAGTACTGGGATTAAAAGTCTTGTGTCTATGATCAAGACTCCAAGGTTTAAAGACAAGATCGTACCCAACAAGTCCAAGAAGGAAGAATTGAAGGAGAAAACTGGTCTTCATTGCCGGTCTTTCTTTTCTATTAGAATATACAAATAATCAAGATTATTAAAAACAAGATATCAAGAATTAAAGATTTAGTTTCATTTTATAGAAGTGTTTTATACTTTTCAAGGAAGTAAGCAGAGGGAGCAAGAACAGAGAAAGCGACGATGGTGCGGTAAAGTGGGAAGACGAGCTTGCTTACTCCTAAGTTTAGAGCGTATCTCACGATCACGTGATTCCCTGCGTATCCTGTCTGAAACACCACCATAGCTACGTGAAGCTTTGCCCTTTCCGGTATCGGAGACATCTTTCTCCGCCGGAAGAAACCAAAGACGGCAGGAGAGATCTGTTTTGCTTTTTTTTTACTTCGAATGATCTCTTGTGGCGACTTTCTTGAAAACGACAAAAACAGAGATAAGACTGTCATGTGCAGGTTGTCTCACGTGAAAATGTGAATAGTCTAAACCGAGTTTAACCAAAGCCAATTTCAACATTGACAGGTTTCATTAACCGGCTCAATTAGATGCGTCGAGTTTTGAACTCTCTTTGTTGCAAAAGTATGAGATTAGGCTTAACACAGGGATTACTTACTTAACTAATCAAACTTAAGAGTGTGCTTCGTTGGCTTACACTTTTGAATGAGTGGAAAAAAGATGCAGAAAGATCTAATTTCATCTCTTTTTTATCACAACCCTATTAAAATACGGGAAAAATGTCGAAAAATGCGCCAACTTTCAAATTTGGGACGATTAAAGCATGAACTCTCGAAATGTCTCTTTAATCACAAAGTTTCCGTTGACCTGTCTAAAAATAGCTAAGTTTTCGTTGACCTGGCCAAATTAGGCATCGCGTTAAGTCTCCGTTAGAATGACGCTGACGCTGTTAACAATCCGTTAGATTCTCCGTTCGATCAAAACGACGTCGTTTCACCAGAAAATAAGAAGGAAAAATGGCATCTCCAAAGAATCGAACTGCTGACCTGTTACACTAATAAGAGACACTCAACCATTGGGCTACGCGAACATTTTAATGTTAGTACAAACAGAACGTGTATATATACTAAAATTTGGTAACATAAATTAGGTAAAAATATATGCAACTAATTTAAAATAACAAAATTAAAAACAAATTAATAACCAAACATATACACATATTAAATATACTTACCTTAAATATATATTTCAAAATTTTAAACATTTAATTATATATATAGAGATTTTATTCTATTTTGGAAAATTATTATTTCCTAAATTATAAAAACCTAAACTTTGTACAAATGTTCAATGTGGTTGGTGCATGTATCATTGGTGCATATAACGCATAATTATATGATTAATTTTATGTCATATATTTAAAAATTTTATATTTGAAGGAATTTCGGAAGGAATAATTTTCCAAATATGGAAGAAATCTTTATTTATAAAATAATATTTGAGATTTTGATACATATACTATGATAAGTATATTTAATATTTGTATTTTTGGTTATTATTCTTTTTTAGTTTTGTTATTTTTTATTAATTGCATATATTTTTACCTAATTTATGTTACCAGTTTTTAGTATATATACACGTTCTGTTTGTACTAACATTAAAATGTTTGTGTAGCCCAATGGTTGAGTGTCTCTTATTAGTGTAACAGGTCAGCAGTTCGATTCTTTGGAGATGCCATTTTTCCTTCTTATTTTCTGGTGAAACGACGTCGTTTGAAAACTTCAAAACGACGTCGTTTTGATCGAACGGAGAATCTAACGGATTGTTAACAGCGTCAGCGTCATTCTAACGGAGACTTAACGCGATGCCTAATTTGGCCAGGTCAACGAAAACTTAGCTATTTTTAGACAGGTCAACGGAAACTTTGTGATTAAAGAGACATTTCGAGAGTTCATGCTTTAATCGTCCCAAATTTGAAAGTTGGCGCATTTTTCGACATTTTTCCCATTAAAATACTTCATCTTCTTTTTTTAAGTCCCTAAGATATTGAAATTCTCAAAACCAACCCCGATTGGATACTTTAATTAAGTAATTGTATTTTTAAGATGATGAAAGCCATAATCCCTGAAGACAATGATATTAAAAATAACAAGTTGATGATGATTCAAAAGGAAAAATACTTGGAACCTAATCCAAATCTATAATCTATAACTTAAAAGATGACCTAGAAGGAAAAACAAGAACCTAACTGATGCATGATGTTATTATCCACAAAACTATTTGAGTTCGTCAGCTTTTTGGACATTTTCCCAATTTGGGTAAACTCATGACTTTACTATTTAAGTAAAGCCAAAGCACGCTTACAAGTTCAAAGCACAAATTTATAAAGGATTCAATTAAGTAATAACACAAATAAACAGAGAAGAAGAAAGAAAGAAAAAAATGGATTGTAAGAAGGAAGAAACACTTCGTAGAGGGCCATGGCTTGAAGAAGAAGACGAACGGCTAGTGAAGTTCATAACCCTTTTGGGAGAACGTCGTTGGGATTCTTTAGCAATAGTTTCCGGTACACTTTTAAATCTTGTCACTTTCCAAATATAGAAATTTCCATGTCTGAAATATAGTTTTGTTTGTTGTCTTCATACTTTTAGGTTTGAAGAGGAGTGGTAAGAGTTGCAGGCTAAGGTGGATGAACTATCTGAATCCGAGTCTGAAGCGTGGACCGATGAGTCAAGAAGAAGATAGAATCATATTTCAGCTCCATGCTCTCTGGGGTAACAAGTGAGAGACCAAAAAACGCTTGAATCTTTTACTTACATGATTGTTTTTTCCGGTTTGAATTAAATACTGTAAATCAATATAGGTGGTCGAAGATTGCGAGAAGATTACCCGGTAGGACTGATAACGAGATTAAGAACTATTGGAGAACTCATTCTAGAAAGAAAGAGGAAGCTCAAAACTATGGTAGATATTAGATATACTTTCATTGTTGCATATGTTAATTTTAGATCAGCATTCAATAAAAGAAAATGATGTGTTTTGCTGCAGATAAGGTCATTGAGTGGAGAGGAAATACAGGAGAAGAATTGTTGCACAAGTATAAGGAAACAGAGATCACTAGGGCAAGGAACACGTCTCAAGGACATGGATTTGATGAAGTTGTGAAAGAATTTAACCAGAGAAGTATGGAAAGTGGTAAAGAAACCAATTGTGGTATTTGTGGAAGAGAAAGCTACGGTTTTATGAATTCTCCGTATGAAAATCGGATTTCGGATTGGATATCAGAGATTTCGCCAGACCAGAGTGAAGCAAATCTTTCAGAAGACCACAGCAGCAGTAGCAGTGAGAACAATATTAACATTGGTACTTGGTGGTTTCAAGAGACTAGGGACTTTGAGGAGTTTTCATGTTCTCTATGGTCATAATTCTAAAGCTTGTTTATTTACTTTTTAACTCTTGGATAATTGAATTCGAAAGTGCTATATTGAAACAAGTATTCCAATATTCAAGCTCACTATGAATCAACTATGTACAATTTGAACTCAAATTTGAATCGGTTATCAACATGAAATTTGAATCGCGAGTTAAGTCAAAGTCAAAGATAAGTTTGTTAATTAATCTTCAAAACAATAAAAAATTTCGTTAAACAAATTTTAAAATAAAGGTATATACATATCCATAGTAACAAATTAAGTAAAAATATTGATGTGTATAGTCTTGTTATATACAACAGCAAAAACATGAGAAGTCCATGCTCCAATGATAAAATTTATTAGTTTTTTTTTGTTAACATTATTGGTTGATGGGCTTTATCTTTAATATGAATTAATTTTAATTGTTTTAGTGTACTTTTGTGCCAAATGATTTGTTAAAAGTGTTTATATTTTAGGGGAAAAGTATTTAATGTTCAATATAGTAAATTACAATATCCTAAAGTAATATATTGATATGATATGAATGAAGTGTAGATGCATGTATGGAATGCCCTCTTGTATATTAGAAAGGACAAAGAAGAGGATAATATAAACGATAAAGATTATTGTATAATCTCTATTAGACTATTAGTTATGTAATTAATTATAGATAGGATAGGACTATTACAACGTCACGATTGCATATACGTATAGTATGACACACACGTGGTATTATTGTAAAGAACTAATTCATTTTGTAAAACTATAAATTATGATGTCCATTAAATTAACATAAGATCATATAGAAGAAAAGAATGCACAAGAATGAGTTTGGAAACTTTTTGCTTGTTCCTTGATAAAATATAAGTAAATTCAATTCATGTTACAACATAAACATTTGGGTTGAAGAAGTGAACATGATCACCAAATATGATATCGAACTAAGCATGAATGCTAAACCAAGAACTGAAAAAGATAACCGGTTAGTTGAACCGGTACCAGACATTTCATCGGTATAGTCGTTGTAAGAATCTAAACCGCTATTACCTTCCGATCCAGTAGTAGTCCACATCCCCAGATTGTTATTCCTATACCAATCAAACACCCTCAATTAGCTCCATTTTGACTTTATGAGGTTAATGGGAGATAATTATGAAAAGAGTGGGGTAAAAAGAAGTTAGACAAAAGAAAAAGAATAAAGTTAAAGGCAAAAGTAGAAGAAAACAAAAGAGCATGTAGAGACATACCATTTTGATATGGTTTGTGTAGGTAAAATAAAAGATTCAAAGTGTCGATTTGTTAAAAATGACAAGTTCTTTTTCAAAACGAAAAATTTGGTAAAGAGTGGATGATTTGTATGATAGAAATGTAGAATCCAAACCTGCCGCCGACGCCAAGAACACCTGAGTGAAATGTGATTTGTGTGATGAATGAGGCGGACTTAGGCTCGACGCTATATGCCTTCTCATACCTCATTTCTGCACCTTCACCGGATGCCACAAAGAACGCTCCATTCACCAAAATGTCCCCCTCCGATCTCCAATTCCACCCTTTCCAATCCCCATCCGGTGTTTCCACTCTCTTAGTCACCTACACAATAATACTCTCCATTTTCTTAAAATGAATGTTTTAAACATGTTAAAGATAATATTAAGAAATACCATATAAATTTGTATAGCACAAAATTCCTACTTCCATGAAATCAAAAGCAAAGTCTTAAAACATATGTCTTCTTAAAAAGTAAGAAGAATGGTATTATTTTTTGTATCGTTCTATTTTTATCAATTTTTTGTATCGTTCTAATTTTATCATATGCCTAAAAATAAACTAACCAACACTAATGAAATCATGTTATAGGGTTGCTAGTTACCTCTTTGGCGAATGGATTGGTTGGGGCGGTGTAACGATTGCCCTGACTGTTAATAGTCGGGTTACCGCTACCGCCAATCGCATACATTTCCCATTGAGTAAAATCATTATTAACAACATGGATATATCCACGTCGACACCTCGGCATCCTTTGTATCAATTTCTCTCCAAAGTGATTAAACGCAATTGTTACCTAAAACATCACACAAACATTACAAACACTACTCTCATTTAAAAACAAATAGTCATTAGAAGTAAAAGGATTAGTATGAACTAGTTTGTGTGTGTGACCTGCATGCCACTGTCTGGTTCATAGTGATCGCTGTGACCAAGAAGCATGACTTCATTATGGTGAGAGAAGAAGTTGTTCGATATAGTAATTCCTGTGGAACCCATCACCGCATCTATCAGACCGTCCTTGCATCTCGATAGAGAACAATGGTCTATCCAAATGTCCTTTGATCCGAATATAGAGATACCATCACCGTCCGATTTCGTTCTGAACCCATAGTGCGTTGGACTTGACCGCACGTTAGTATTCCCTAGAAAGCGTGGACAAACATATTTTCAGAATTGCTTTTATGAATAACCAAATCAATGCTATTTCAGGAAGGACGAAAGATTTAATTTTTACTTTGTTGTTTTTCTTGTTTACAATGTTTTTATGAATAAATCAATAAATGCTAATAAATTCAAACAAAACATCTTTTCTTTGTTTGCGTGTGAAAACACCAATGAATGTAGAAGGAAAATATGTACACCAACAAAGGGGACCTACTAAATTATTAGGGTAAGAAAAATATAAAGGTTAAAAGTTGAAAAAAACTAACAATTATTGGCCGTAATAAAAAAACAAGAGATTATTTTGTTTTGAACCAAAGATTGGATTATAAGAATATAGAAAAGAACAAATGTGAAAAAAAAATTACCGGATTGGTAACAATGGTGGATATGAATGTTGTGAATGATGATATTGGAGACATATTGAAGAGTGATGCAGCCACCACCAACAATGTGGACATTAGCTCCTCTTCCATCAAGTGTCTTGTAACTATTGAATATTAACTCTTGCTTTAGTTTAATCATCATGTTGCTTGGGAACACTATCCACAATGGCTCTTCTTGTATCACTCCATATCTGTCACCAAAATTTTAAGAGGTTCTTGTTAATTTATCTTTTTTTTTTTTGAACAAAGTTAATTTATCTTCTAGGTCGTTCAAATAAATGTTCACATTGTAAACCCGCTTCCTTTGACATTGATAAAGATTCCCCAAATTATTCGAGGTCCCATGTCCCAAGAGACTGATGCACTTGTTTTATTATAATTGTCTATTCTCTAGATTTATTATATGATTCACTTCTAAGGGACAGTGTTAAAATTATAATGTAGGGACACCAAATTATAAACATCGTAAACATTACATTTCTATGTTTAAAAACGGATTTAGTTGCTTGATCAAAATTATAGAGTTTTTCTAAACGTTTTAAAAGGATTTTGAAGAATTTAAAAAATCAGGGCTGTTGGGAAATTTTCCACAAAATGAAGGATTTATTTAGAAATATAAAACAAGTGGTATTGAAAAAGTCGTACGTAATAGATTGGTGTAGGACATGTGAATATGAGATGACAAAAGAGAGAGAAAAAAAAAAAGTAATTGTGGATTAGATAAACGTAGCTTAGACAGAATCTTATTTTCTTATAGGATTTAAATTGTGAAAGTGTATAGGTAGGGTTTAAGGCTAAAACAATAATGACATGTAATGTTCAAGTAAAGTATATAGTATTAGTGTTATTAACTAACGACTTAAAAAAATCTAACTACGGTCAAGAAACGATAATTAAAGATCATATATTTGTCTTGAACTAATAAAAGACAACACATATTTGTCTACTTGTTAAGATATACACAAGACTTTCTTATAGGAAATCCGGTTTAGTCGGTTAACAGAAAGGTACCTGAGAGTGCCCGGTTTAGGATCGACGGCATCATCGTCGGAAGAATCAGTAACGAAGTAAAACTGACCACCTTTGCCTCCCAATGCGTACTGTCCGAACCCGATACCACAATCTGCTAGCCCTTGTCGGTTATTAGGCCAGTTTGGGTCACATTTCCAACAGTCATCAATTGGGTTACCGGTGAAGCACGGGTTTGAACCGGCCTGGTCCGTCGTGTCTAGAGCTTGACGTCTTGTTATAGATGCATTTACTTTCCTGTGAAACAGATAAAAACCGGATTATTAAAGTCTGTCCGGTTTAAAAGAACCGGACAAAACAGAGGAAAACAGAGAACTACAGAAACAGAGCAACCTCAGATTCACAAGAAGACATGAGTAAAAGTTTGTCAAATGTAAAAACCAGATGAAAAAATTACATTAAAGAATCTGAAAAAGAGAGTAAATGTAGATCCAGAAGAGGCAATGTAGTATGTGTACCACTGAACTTCATAAGCGACTAGTTCCGGGTCAGGGTGTGGTATGAGAAGTACAGTTCTGTTGAGCATGGAGAAACCCATTTGTGGAACGAACAGAAAAAGAGAGAAGAGAAGTACAATGCAGCTTCTTTGAAGCATCATTGGTGAAGAAACTTATGAATTTAGGGTTTTTGGTTAGTTAAAAGGAGGGAGAAGAAGAGAGTAGTTAAGAGTTAAGACATGACTTGTTCTTCTTCTTCTCTCTCTGGTTACTGACCAGTGTTCGTGAGTGGCTTTTTTACAGTGTGTTATTGCTTTTGTAATAATGGCTTTCTTGGCTTTTGTTTTTTTTGTTTTTCTTTTGTTCTTTTTGAAGAGAGAGAGTGAAGTTGTTTTCCACTGACAACTCTCGAGGATTGAGAATCTGCTTGTCTCGAGGAAACGGTCTCCAATTTTTTTAAGCTCCTTTTTTTTATTGTACTACTAATATCTAATTTACCTAATTATAATCACATGATATAAGATAAAGATATTCATAAGCCTCAACAGATTTAACAAACGATAGGCTTTGATATTTGAATCTCTTGTCAGGTTTTTTACCTTTTGTTATAAAAGTGATGTGACGTTATAATAAAATTTCCCCACGAGCTATACAATTTGAATGCAAGTATTAATTGGTTTTTGGACCAGAAAAAGAGTTTTCGGTTTAAAACCGGTGTTTTCAAGCTTGTTTAGAGATTTACTACTCGATACATGAGATTCAATAACGTTTATTAGTGTAGATGATTTTGAGTGGAGCAAAATCAATTGGAATATGAATACATCGAAGTTCCACTAGACCAAAATCAATAATTAGGAATATTCAAATTCACGGTCTAACCACCTGAAACTGTTGCAAGTTGCAACCCGATCTATCCAACCAAGGAAAGAAACCCACGTTGTCCATATACACATGCGCACAAACAATCATATACATGAGTATGTTTTCTTAAATTCGCATTAAACCTTGTGACAAATTAGGATTTGGTTAAATAAGGCGTGATTGTTGGATTATTATTAAAGTTGTTTATAGATTACTAATGTAAGCTAAATGTAGGGTTAAATAACGTAATGTTAGGCGACATCTTTGGAGAACAAAGAAAAAAAACATTATAGATATAAAGATATACACTTTGCCTCCTCACATGTCCAATAAGATAATTGTAACCAATCATAGTGTCCATAAAAGTCATTGCTTTGCTTGTGTTATTATTTTCCACGAACGATGAAATTAAGTTCTTCATTAAAACGCCTACATTACGTAAAGTAATCTTCTTTTATCAACTTTTGTAATAGTATGCATCTTTTATCATCAATTTGTCATTATATATCCAGAATGATAATTTAGATTTAGCACCACTTCTTCATTACATTGTCATAGTATCCAAAGTAATAACTATGAAGGTGGTTTTAGCTGAGTCCTAAAACAGAAGACATATATCTTTGACCGGAGCGTGATGAAATAATGCCCCATCTCTCTCTCTCTCTCAGAGGAGTATAAGTGGAAATAGTCAAAGGCTCTTGCTCTTTATTCTTTAGCTCGTATTATTAAAGTATTCGAATCTTTGTATTATACGGTGGGGCTAACTTAGAGCATATGCAAGGGGGAACATTTGGTGTGTTCTTAAGGGTTTTAAAATAATAAAAATGTTGAATAGTGGATACAACTGTTCTTAAAATTATAAAAACTGTTCTTCAGGAAGAACAGTTTGCAGGATAAGTTAGAACTGTTCTACCACTGTTCACCTTATTTTCTATTTTTAAATCCTAAGAACACACTCAAAAGTTCCTCCTTTGCATATGGTCTTAGAGCTTCATTTTTTTTGTTTGTCAATAAAGTTACTGATTTTACTGTAAATCCTTTATTGCCTCTTGTCAAAGCATCATGGACCCTTGGTCCTTTCAATGCTTTTTTTTTAATAAGAAAATATTAAATTATTATATTAATAAACCACCCAAACCAGGTACAAAATGCCGGTTAATTATTACAAAATTGAACCAGGTACAAAATGCCGTTAATTAACCGGACGCAAACCAACAAAAAACAAAACAAAACTGATGATGTATAAAAGCAGTTTCACGTTGTGATTGGGATCAATTGTAAATTTGTAATACATTGAGTATTTTTTATCCTTGTATTTTCATTTTTTCGATCCAAAATTAACAGCAAAATCAATTTAATGTTGTTTATAAAAAATAAATCAATTGAATGTTGAATGTTAACAAATTGATTACGTTGGTTTTGATTTAGAGTACATTTCTGTCTTTCTTAGACCGGATTTGAACGTTTTGACCCATATATCTATCATTCGTACATTTGACTTGCCTATATTTTACATTTACTAAATAAAACAACCAGCAGTTGCCATTACGTACATGCATGCGACAACAAGAATCGTTTCCAAGGACCTTGCATTGACTTTTGTTGTTGTAAAAAGTTAGATTTTTCGTATAAATCTTAGTTATAATTTTCTTGAACATATAAACCTGTAATGTTTTAGCTGATCAGTATGCAAAGCTAGAGAAGCAAGAAAAGCTCATTATGTTGATTGTTGTACGAACCTTCATACGAACAATTAATTTGTCTAGCTAGTGTGAATGAATCATGAAGTTTGTAAAAAATAAATTTGGACTTATTAATAAGTTCTCTTCCCCAGTCAGATACAGCTCACATGGAGATGGATTTTGTTCGTCCACTTGTTTGAGCATAATAATCGTACCATATGAACCTAATCCTTACTTTAATTTCTATGCTTATCGTTGATATTTAATTTTAAGCAAATTAAACAATATGTAGCATAACTTAATAAAACTCATGATACCAAAAATAAAACTTAATTAAATTTTAAACTAATTTGAAAAAAAAATTAAATAAATAATATGACAAGATTTACCAGAAGAATGTCATACTAACTTTTTTTTTCATAACATATGCTTTAGTTTGCAGATTAAATAGGATTTATAAATGTTTAAAGCTTTATTTTCCTCGGCTAGTCAAAGAAATGAATAAGAAAGATTTGAAAAAAAGATCAGGCTAGATAACAATAGCCGGACTAAGAACATGGAAAGAACAATGGTTAAAAGGGTATATGCTCTTAATACTACAATCATTTTTTTTCCATAGTATTAGTAGTCAATACATAGACGAATGTAAATGATTAAGAACTATTAATATAAAAAAAAAAAAACAGTATATTCTTGAGGCTTTTAAAAGCATGGAAAGAAAAAGTAAGAAATACTTCAGCATGAGCATGCGTCTCGAAATATGAAATTTAGTTTATTAATTTTCTGATCCACATCTTTATGTCACGTTTGCGGTTTGCATCCAACTAAAAATAGTGTAACCAACATCCCAAGTATTTTGCAAATACGACCCTTCATGTGACACAAAGTCCACAATAAAACCAAATGATCTAACAATCATCATCCAAATGCTCAAAAGGATTAGTATCTGTGAATGAGTTGCTTATATGAATCTGGATTCTTCGAATAATACTCCACCTCAGACTGTTACAAAAATTTTGAAAAAAACAAAAACAATGAATTAGTGCTAATGTACTTTGGTACTGAGAAAGTGAGAATGGGAAACTAAAAGACTGTAGTGTTACCTTACGGACTCCTTTTATGGCAACTAAAAGCTTTTGTCCAAGCAAATCGTGGAGAACTTTGTCTTTGTCCAGAGCTTCAACAGCTTCTGAGAGCGTTTCAGGAAGTCTGTTCAATGTAGCAGCCACATCTGCCGGATTTATATCTGTTCCATCCGAACAAGTCAAGATCAAGCTTCATCTTAACACTATATATATGAGAATGAATAGCAGATGACTTTAGTTACCTATTGGAGTAGGAAGTTGGAGATGTCGACGGAGACCATCAATACCAGCAGCCATTATAACGGCCAAACCAAGGTGAGGATTTGCAGAGCCATCAAAAGACTTAATCTCAAAGTTAGTAACTAAACCATCAGGAGTTCCTGGTGGAGAAGCTGCTCTTAACGCCGCTTCGCGGTTTTCTTTGCCCCAGCATTGGAATGCTCCACTCCATGTATTAGGTTGGATTCGGTCGTAGCTGAAATTTTAAGTAAAACATGCAATATTTAGTAACGGTTGAGGAAATTACTCGAAAAGATGCGGTTTTAGAGTTACCTGTTTGGGAGTGGAGCTATAATTGCTAAGATTGATGGAAGGTGAAATAAAACTCCGGCCATGAACTCTTCCCCAACGGAAGAGATTCCGTGAGCAGATGAGTTATTAGATGCCGGGAAGACATTTTCGCCGTTTTTCCAAAGACTTAGATGCACATGTGATCCAGAACCTATGTCACAAAAATCATACCTGTAGAAAACAGACACACAAATGCATTCTTTTAAAATTTGCAGTTACAACGTATTATTTGGTGGGAAAGACTGACATACTTTGGAACAAAGGTCGCGAGCAGTCCATGTTTTCTTGCAACCGATCTTATAACTTCACGTGTGTAAACCAAGTTGTCGGCAGCATGGGATGCAACGGTGTGACCGAGAGATACTTCAAACTGACCTTTCCCGGATTCAGCATGAAACTATGACAAATTTTTACATGTCAACAAGCATGTTGCAGACTGATCATTATGAAGGATTTTTGAAATTATTTGTAACCTGTTCAACTTCAATGTTCAAGGACTCGAGCGCGGGTACAATTTCGTGGAAAATCGGAGATGCAACATCGAATGAGGATGTGGAACAGTAAGGACCAAACTCAAACGGCACATACACTTCTTTCCCTTCCCTTAAAAAAAATGGGTAGAACAAGTGTTAAGATTGTGAAAATGATTGGATTGAACAAAGAAACCGAGATTCAAGAAATATAAAGTCGCATACCACACAACATTCTTGAGGAGATAAAACTCATTCTCAAAACCAGCGTTCATTACCTAAAAGCCAAGGAAGCTTTGAGCTTAAGTGACCAAAAAGCCAATAAAAGTTTTTCATAGAATTGGCTATATGGAGATTTCTTCTTACCAAGTCAAATTCATCTTTGAGAACTTTTGCGACCCTTCTTAAGGTCTCTCTTGGACAGTACTCCCATGCTTCACCAGGCTTCAATTGCATGTCAGCTAAAACCATGCTCTCTTGCTTCGTCCTAACGATAAATATGATAGGGGAACAATTAAGAAAGAAACATCTGTAAAGTTAACTGCAAAGAGAACGAACACGAGTAACGTACCACGGTATTGTCTGCTTGGTTGATAGATCTGGAACCAGCCTAATCTCACCCACACCTGTTAATTTAGACTCTTCTGCTGGTCCATCAGTAAATGAAGTCATCCCCATTGATGCAAAAGTCAGACCAACACCGTTCTTCTTCACACTTCTGTTATAACGCTGCGCTTGAACAGCCTAAAACAATACATAAAACAGAATTCTTGTCAAGATTTTGTGCTTATAAGGAAAAAAACGTGAAGGTGAGAAACAGAGGTTTTTTCTACAGAAGAAACAAAAAAAACTCACACGGCATCTTTGTTGTCCAGATGTATCAACCCAAATAATGCGTACAAAAGAACTACTATCTTCTTGAACATCAGGCTCCTTTATCTCTAATTTGGGAGATATTCTAATTTGTGGAACAGAAGAATCTGTGTCCACATTAAGCTTATAAAATCCTATCGAATTTCGTGAAAAAATGTCTTTAGCTGCATCTACAGCTTCCATGAGTGACAGATCACCACTGGCACAAGCATCACTCAGAACTAAGAAGATGACTTCACGTGCTTTCTTTGCACCTGCGAAAAACAGCGAGCTATGTTCAAGACTGAAGCGAGGAGATTTCAAGTTTCAAAACTTAGAAACATATAAGTTCGTTACAAGCTATACAAAAGTGGTAGCAACTTGAGCTAACCTAAGTAGTAGGTCTCAGGAGATGCATACCCATCAGTGCTGAACATAACCTGCAAAATATCTTATGATTACTCATGAAGTAGAACAAAGATAATGCAAGTAAAAGAACTTTTACCTTCTTTATTGAGGCTAAGTCAAGGAGCTCTTTAACTGAAGAAACCATACCATGGACACTAAGCTTTGGAACCGCCAATCCGAAATCAAGGTAAACCTTAAGGAACAAAAAGATTGATAGAAACATAAGTTAACGACTAGGCATACTTTTACAGATAATTGAAATGGGATGAAAAACGACCTGAGGATAAACTGAAGACAGAAAGGATGCTTCTTTTGAGAATGGATAAGATGCATGAAGAAGAACTATACGACATTTTGCAAATCTTTTGTCTTCAAGAAGGGTTCTAAGGTGAAGAGGATTTGACAACCTCAAATCCAGATCCCTGTCACCAAAACTGGCTCAAACAACAAAGGTAAAAGAGATTTTTCATTACTACAAACCTCTGAGCATGAGCTTCTGATTCTATGTATGGCACAGAACAATTCTCGGAAACTCAGAGCTAAGAAACATTGGAGAAAAAAGCATATTGCACACTTAAACCATATTAAAAGATTCAGGTTTGTTTGATAAAAAGATCAGACTTTACTAACATCAATCATATAGTTGATCAAATCTTGCATACCCGGTGTGAATCTGCAAGGGCAAGTCACAACGCACAGCGACCTCCAAACTGATGGTAACGATGTAATCAATCAAGCCTTTGTTTCCTATACGGACAGGGCTTCCAGCTGCAGTAATAAAAGGGTTTAAAGTGATCAGAGAACAGCTATGTTACTTCTTGATAGACCAAGCACAACCGTCTTACCTCGCAAGACTTCAACGAGGCCATTCTCAGCAACTTCTTTACTCACAAAAGTATCAATATCCAAACCGCTACGATAAGCAGCAATAGTTTTCAAAGCAACAATCTCTGGAACAAGCGTGATCGAAGTAGTCAAGGTTAACCAACACTAGTGAGAAGTCACATTCATTAAGAGTTGTATTAAAAAAGCAAAGATAAAGGATATGAATTTAATCTTTCAACAAAGGTTTTAGTGAAAGAATCCAATTTCCAAGAAGATGCATCATGACTATCCTCGTCAAGGATTTGCTCGGCAAGAGTTTCGATACGCAAGACTCGACCGACAAATGGAACAAAGTTTCTATGCCATTCAATGTCATGTTTCTTGTCTAGCTTCAATCCATCATCAATGAGAAGAGCAGAGATTCGAGCTTCTTTAAAACACTTGGAAGTAAAAGAATCCAAACCCGAGGTTTTACGATGTTCCTCAATCGCTTCTAAAGATACTTCAGTGCCATAAAGTTGAGCAATCTCCCTCAAGTTCCTCTGTTTCATTCATACAACCAAAAACATCATTACCAACAAAACAATCAGACTATTTTGGTATAGTCGGAACAAGTCAACATCTTGTGACAAAATCGGAACTTTAATTAACTAATTCTATAGAGACTTATTAGGAAATTTTAAGATAATGTTCCGTTTATAGAATCTGATTAAAACGAAAACGACGGTGTTTTAAGGAGACTTTATCAAATTAGAGCCAGAACTGAGATTGGTTGATAACAGAGACATGGTATCGTCGTGTACCTTGAAAGAGAGAGAATGAGGAGCGAAGGTTAAAGCTTCGCCGGAAGCCTCAGAGAAAGTTCCGATGAACGGAAAAGACGAATCAAGAGAGACAATGTTGTGTGCGTGAGCATCAACGAGCTCTATCTTCTCTATTGCTTCTTTTAACTCCTTAAACTCCATCTCCATCTCTGTGTGTCTAAAGTCAACAGTTCGACAGTATCTGATTCGTGTTGTTGATCTTCTTGCAACCATTCACAGTTAACTACAAGACCGTTTTTAATAGCATAAGTGAAGAAGATCCAATAAAATCGTTGACTTTTCGTTGTCTGATTTGGTCGGTGGCCGATGTTAACTCCACGACGGCGTTTAGAGGAGAGTGATGAGCACGTGTCCACGTGACCAACAAGTAGCCTCCACGTGTCCTTGTTATTGTGGATAACTTTCAACAGTTTTCTTGGTTTTTCATTTTCCAATTCCGGTTCACGTTCATTTTTCCAAATTCCGGTTCCTTGCCAAAGAAGTACAGTATGTCCAATCTCGTTTAACAAATTCGAATTTAAAAATTAATTGAAAAAGCTCCATTTAAACCGGAAAATAAAAACTGATTAAAGCTAAATTTTTGAAACTTCTGTAAATTCAAAGCTAAACTTTTGAAACTTTTTGATTAAAGCTAAAACCACATCAAACCAATTCTTTATATTCTACAAACCGAATTTTATTTCTGGAAACCGAACAATCGAAATCAACACCAAACCGGAGAAGAAGAACAGACAACTGCGTCGTCGTCTTCTAGCTCCGTTTCTTTTCTACACAGAAAATTTTGCAGCTTCTTCTTCTCCATCTTATCTCTCTATCATTTTTCTTCGATGGAATTGATACAAAATCGTGTTCAAGGGACTACTTTCGTGTACGCCAATGAAATCACACAACTCCGTTTTTCTCGGTAACATTCTCATATTTTTCATGCTGTTTTAGTTTTACGTTTCTTTAATTCTTCAGTTGGGTTTACTTAAATCTGCCTTCTTTCTGTTTCTCATTCTTTCAGCAGTGTGGTTCAGCAACATATATCTTCCCCTGATTATTTTCGTTGTGTACCAACTATTTCAATAACGCCCACAATGTGTTCGACAAAAGTCCCCAACGAACGTACTGGGAAAATGAACTCTGGTCTCATCTCAACAAGACACCAAGTAGATCCTAAGAAAGAATTGTCTCGGATTCTGAGAACAGATGCTGCTGTGAAGGGCATTGAGAGGAAAGCCAACTCTGAAAAGTACTTAACTTTATGGCCAAAAGCTGTTCTTGAAGCTCTTGATGAAGCTATCAAAGAGAATCGATGGCAGTCTGCTCTCAAGGTACATTCTTTTTGCCTTCTTCATCTTTACGAATACTTGGCCATAGAATTCATTTTCCTGTTTCTCTACTTTATAGATTTTCCATCTTCTTAGGAAGCAGCATTGGTATGAACCAAGATGCAAAACATACACAAAGCTGTTTAAAGTGCTTGGGAATTGCAAACAGCCTGATCAAGCCAGCTTGCTTTTCGAAGTTATGTTGTTTGAAGGATTAAAGCCCACCATTGATGTGTATACCTCTCTTATCGCTGTTTATGGCAAAAGCGAGCTTCTAGACAAGGCGTTTTCTACGCTTGAGTATATGAAATCGGTTAGTGATTGCAAGCCAGATGTGTTCACCTTTACTGTTCTCATCAGTTGTTGCTGCAAACTGGGTCGGTTTGATCTGGTTAAAAGTATCGTCCTTGAGATGTCGTATCTTGGAGTTGGATGCAGCACGGTTACTTACAATACTATTATTGATGGGTATGGAAAGGCTGGCATGTTTGAGGAAATGGAAAATGTTCTGGCTGATATGATCGAGGATGGAGATTCTCTTCCGGATGTTTTCACGCTTAACTCGATCATTGGGTCATACGGAAATGGTGGCAACACGAGGAAGATGGAGAGCTGGTATAGTCGGTTCCAGCTGATGGGAGTGCAGCCAGACATCACTACATTTAACATACTGATCCTGTCATTTGGAAAAGCTGGAATGTATAAGAAGATGAGCTCCGTTATGGATTTCATGGAGAAAAGGTTCTTCTCCCTGACGACTGTCACTTACAATATAGTGATCGAGACGTTTGGAAAAGCTGGAAGAATCGATAAAATGGATGATATATTCAGGAAAATGAAGTATCAAGGAGTGAAACCAAACTCAATTACTTATTGTTCGCTTGTTAACGCGTATAGCAAAGCTGGTCTTGTCGGTAAGATAGATTCGATTTTGAGACAAATTGTGAATTCAGATGTGGCACTAGATACTCCGTTCTTCAATTGCATAATCAATGCATATGGTCAGGCTGGTGATTTGGCTACGATGAAAGAATTATACATACAAATGGAAGAGAGAAAATGTAAGCCTGATAAAATCACTTTTGCTACTATGATCAAAACCTATACTGCTCATGGGATATTCGATGCAGTCCAGGAACTCGAGAAACAAATGATTTCCACTGGTGAGAATTTAGATATCCTTGTAGAAAAATAATAGTTGAGATAAGAGATATATCTTGAGTATTGCAGCTCTATTTGGTGGTTGAATTTGTTTCTAAAATATGTTTCTTTTACTGGGTTTTAAGATATAGGCAAGAAGAGGCTTATGGGGTGATGCTTAGTTTGTTAATGAGCAAATCTAATGCAGAAGGAATTTGGAAGTTGTGAATTGTTCACACTAAGAGGATCACTTGAGGTAACCTTTTTGTTATGAACTGTTATTTTTACTCTAAACTTCAAGATACAATGGGGACACATGCCTATAAGTGTAAGTGTTTGTTCAGGTGTTTGGAGCGTTGATTAGAAAGATCCCAAGAGCGACATGGGCATTACTAATGAGAATTTGGGTCGGTTCTGAAATTACCAAATCAGCATTGTGGAGAAAACGTAATGATTCCGGTCAATGTAACTATCAGACTAAATGTTATTGGTCTACTTTTCACATATATTAGAAAATATTATCATATATTGTGTCTGTTTATTTTGGATTTGTTTATCTTTTTAGGTTGGGACAGCTGTCTAGAATCAAAACTCAATTCAAAGTTGTCTTGGTAAAGTAAAATATAATTTTCTTACGCAGGCTATTTAGACGGGTCAAAACAAATTGTGATCTAAACTCTAACGTAGCTATATATACATATATTGTTTTCCAACATCGTATTACATATATCATTTGTGAAGAGTGACCTGCTTTTCAATCAAAGAGTATTTTTTTCTTTGTAACATCTTCTACAATGTGTTCTCATGATCCTCTTCACTTCGTCGTAATACCCTTTATGGCCCAAGGCCATATGATCCCATTGGTTGACATCTCCAGGATCTTGTCCCAGCGTCAAGGCGTGACTGTCTCCATCATCACAACTACTCAAAATGTAGCCAAGATCAAGACTTCACTCTCATCTTCCTCTTTGTTTCCGACCATCAACATCGTTGAAGTTAAGTTTCCGTCTCAACAAGCTGGTTTGCCAGAAGGGTGCGAGAGTGTAGATATGTTGGCTTCAATGGGCGATTTGGTGAAGTTCTTTGACGCGGCCAACTCCCTTGAGGAGCAAGTTGAGAAAGCTATGGAGGAGATGGTTCAGCCACGACCGAGCTGCATCATCGGAGACATGAGCCTTCCTTTCACTTCAAGACTTGCCAAAAAATTGAAGATCCCCAAACTTCTCTTCCATGGGTTTTCTTGTTTCAGCCTCATGTGCATACAAGTGGTTCGACAAAGCGGGATCTTAAAAGTTATAGAATCTAACGACGAGTATTTCGAGTTGCCCAGCTTGCCTGATAGAGTTGAGTTCACTAAACCTCAGGTCTCTGTGCTGCAGCCTGTTGAAGGAAATATGAAAGAGAGTACGGCCAAGATTATGGAAGCTGATAATGACTCTTATGGTGTTATTGTGAACAGTTTTGAAGAGTTAGAGGTTGATTATGCAAGAGACTATAGGAAAGCAAGGGCTGGGAAAGTTTGGTGCGTTGGACCTGTTTCCTTGTGCAATAAGTTAGGGTTAGACAAAGCTAAAAGAGGAGATAAGGCTTCCATTGGTCAAGACCAATGTCTTCAATGGCTAGACTCTCAAGAAACTGGTTCGGTGCTCTACGTTTGCCTTGGCAGTCTATGTAATCTTCCCTTGGCTCAGCTCAAAGAGCTAGGACTAGGTCTTGAGGAATCTAATAAACCTTTCATATGGGTTATAAGAGAATGGGGACAACATGGAGATTTAGCAAAGTGGATGCAACAAAGCGGATTCGAAGAGCGGATCAAAGATAGAGGACTTGTGATCAAAGGTTGGGCGCCGCAAGTTTTCATCCTCTCACACGCATCCATTGGAGGGTTTTTGACTCACTGTGGATGGAATTCGACTCTAGAAGGAATTACTGCAGGAGTACCATTATTGACATGGCCTTTGTTTGCTGAACAATTCTTGAATGAGAAGTTAGTTGTGCAGATACTAAAAGCAGGGTTAAAGATAGGAGTAGAGAAATCATCTATGAAATATGGAAAAGAAGAGGAGATAGGAGTGATGGTGAGTAGAGAAAGTGTGAGAAAAGCTGTGGATGAGCTAATGGGTGATAGTGAAGAAGCAGAAGATAGAAGAAGAAAAGCTAAAGAACTTAGTGAATTGGCAAATAAGGCTTTGGAAGAAGGAGGATCTTCAGATTCTAATATCACATTGCTCATTCAAGACATTATGGAGCAATCACAAAATCAAATTTGAATCAAGGAGGTTACGAGTTGAGGAAAAGAAAACATAGGGTTGTAAACTATTTTTATTTCTCCATGTTAGAATAAAGAAGTTTGTAATAATTAAAAAAAAAAAGTTACTAAATTACCTGTCCAATGTGTCTGAAATAATTGAGCTGGTTTTGTTTATAGCAACGGATAATTAACAAATAACAATGTTTCATGTGTCAAAAGGTGCGTTTGTACTGTATCTACCACAATATAAAGACAAAATTTGTTTCATACTTTTGGACCCATATGTTTTAAAATATAGGTTTTTGTTATTAAACTAGAGCCCATATATAAAGAACATGGTTTAGGAGAAGAATGAACTTGGCCTGGATAGAGAACATATCTTCTCTAGATTTTATTTACCAAAACTCGTCTCCATTTAATATTTTTGATTCAGGAGCATCAAACCATATACAATGAGTACATTAAAAGACATAAAGAGGATGCTGTTGCTGTCATATCAAATGAAGAAAATAAGGTATTGGGATTTGGAAATCCAAAGCTTTAGTTGTTCAAGAATTTACAACCAATATTCCTTAGTATTTAAAAGACGACCAAGAGAGGATCATCCAAGAATAACTTATATTGAATCGATTTTTCTTCGTTCAATATTAGTCTATTCAGTTTTCTGCAAAAAATTATTTTAAAAATCAAGTTTTTGGCACTGTAGATTTGGATCATCTGCATGTTAATGTGTTGAATTTGAATAAGAAGATTTTTCCAATCACCGATTTTGATAGATTAAAATATGATACTAGTCAGTCATTTAGGGTAAGATTGCAGAATTGTTTTCAAAATTTCTGTGAATCTTCTTATGCAAGTTGTTCTGAATTGATTCATTTTTGACATTTGGACGTGGCTTTGCATTCCTTTTTTTTTTTTTTTATATATTAATTAAAAGTCTAAGTTTACAGATTGATTCGTCTTCATTAGTCAAATATGAAGATCTTGTAAACAGTAAATGAAGACATACACGAGGAAGAGATTTCAGTATTTTTCTTGTGCACAAAGAGGCATGCTCCATCAAACAGCATGACTGCATGAATGTATGTATACATACAATATATAGTAGCAAAATGAAACTATGTCATATATAAATACAAACTTAATTAGACTTTTAATCAATTAAAACTAGAGTGGATTTTCTTAAATTCGTTTTTGTTTATATTTTCATATTAAAATAATATGTTTTGCTTTAACTGAAACCATGTCATATTTAATTTGCTAGTGTGTTTATTAGAATTTTTATTTAAAATTTGTAAACAAAGACATAAAACAAGAACGGAAAAGAGAATTAATATTTGATTACAAAAATACGAAACTTGTAATCAGTAGAAGATGCCTTGTGAAAAGCAATACTATGTTGTAAATATGAAAAAGATTCATAATTAAAAGCATCAACATAATGACAAATTATGATTAACCAAAAGGTATGAGTGTACACGTCAATGCTCCAATATTCCGAAAGTTGAACTGGTCTACGTTGGTTTGTTCGCCACATACGCACAATTGAACGTTTCAAAGAGTTGTTTTTCATGCAGACAAAGAAACAAAATGTCCTTTTCAGACGGAACTCTATTAAAAGGTAAGGAAACTACGTGCGAACAGATATGCCGTGGTGTTTGGGGTTTGTTTATTTCAAATGATCAGCTTAAATTTACGACTTGACTGTCACAACTATATGATTTTCTCGGGCTAAACGCTACCTAGCTAGATATATAGTTTCCTAATTAGTTGGTAGAAATGCCTTGATTTAAAAGATTTTATGAACTTTTTGGTGATAAAAAGTTAAAATTGAAGTATTGTTTTTCCAATCTCCAATATATTTCGATGGGCAAGCTATTATACATAAGTACATAACCGAAAGTTGAGATCATAATTCATACATTAATATATCCAAGTTGTCATTCATTATCTATCTTTTTTTTCATACATTATCTTGTTCTTAGTCAATAAAAGAATCTTTGTATTATACATATCCTGATAGACAACAACTTAATAGAATACATATTTAAATTTCAAGATTTAGCATATCCAAAGTTATAGATTCGTTCATTACCACCAGCTAGAAGCCAACAATTTTAAATTTAAACAATATCGCTCATATCTTGAGTTGAGGTAGCCTTTGATTTTGTTTTCCTTCTTTCTTCGTTCATGCGATCTTTGGAACCAATGTTTTGAACTACGCCAAAAAATCACATTTTCATAAAAATATCTGATTCATACGTACAGAAGAAGACGGTTCTATTCTTCTCCTTTTGTTCGGCCAAGCTTGACCTACTTGTATCACTGGACTATAAGGATTTCAACATTTTTGGTTTCATTTGAGAATTTAAACTTCCTCATATTTTCCTTGAAGTTTTATCTTATGTAACTCATTAATGTGCATGTCATGGTATAATGACGTAACTCACTTCCGTCACCGACAAAAAATTTAAAACAATGAGGGTACATGATTGGTTCTCTAAACATTAGTTTTTTTCGTGACTTGTTCAAAGTCAATGTACAGCTTTTGATGACTTTCCCAACAAATTAAGGTCTCATACCAGATGCATTCACACATGTATATACACGTAGTCGAATTTTGTGTATTTTCTATATGCGTAAATGTTTGCTAAACCCAAAAATGGAACCAAAACTAGTTTCTAAAACCAAAAAACTTCACTTTGTTTTGATCCCTCTCATGGCTCAAGGGCATCTGATCCCTATGGTCGACATCTCCAAGATTCTTGCGCGACAAGGCAACATCGTTACCATAGTTACAACCCCTCAAAATGCTTCTAGGTTTGCGAAGACAGTTGACCGAGCAAGATCGGAGTCGGGTCTTAAAATGATCAATGTCGTTAAATTTCCAATTCCTTACAAAGAATTCGGTCTTCCCAAAGATTGTGAGACTCTCGACACTTTGCCATCCAAAGACCTCCTACGGAAATTCTACGACGCTGTGGATAAAATTCAGGAGCCCTTGGAACAGTTTCTTGAGCAACACGATATCCCTCCAAGTTGCATAATCTCCGATAAATGCCTTTTTTGGACGTCAAAAACCGCAAAGAGGTTCAAGATCCCGAGGATCGTGTTCCATGGAATGTGTTGCTTCTCTCTTTTGAGTTCGCACAACGTCCATCTTCATAGCCCGCACCTTTCGGTTTCTTCGGCCTCAGAGCCATTCTCTATACCAGGAATGCCACATAGGATCGAGATAGCTAGAGATCAGTTACCGGGTGCGTTTAAGAAGTTAGCAAATATGGATGACGTTCGTGAGAAGATGCGTGAATCTGAATCAGAAGCCTTTGGGGTTATTGTTAATAGCTTCCAAGAATTGGAGCCTGGCTATGCAGAGGCCTACGCTGAGGCCATCAATAAGAAGGTATGGTTCGTTGGACCCGTTTCTTTATGCAACGACCGTATGGTGGACCTATTCGATAGAGGAAACAACGGTAACATCGCGATAAGCGAGACTGAATGCTTGCAGTTTCTCGACTCGATGAGACCAAGGTCCGTCTTATATGTTTGTCTTGGTAGCCTCTGTCGACTAATACCTAATCAACTGATAGAACTAGGTTTAGGGTTAGAAGAATCGGGAAAACCCTTTATTTGGGTGATCAAGACCGAGGAAAAACATATGAATGAGCTAGACGAATGGCTAAAACGCGAAAATTTTGAAGAGCGAGTTAGAGGAAGAGGGATAATAATAAAGGGTTGGAGTCCTCAGGCTATGATACTTTCACATGGTTCAACCAGAGGGTTCTTGACTCATTGCGGTTGGAACTCTACAATAGAAGCGATATGTTTTGGTGTACCAATGATCACATGGCCGTTGTTCGCTGAACAATTCCTCAATGAGAAACTAATCGTGGAGGTTTTGAATATCGGGGTTAGGGTTGGGGTGGAGATTCCGGTGAGATGGGGAGACGAGGAGAGACTTGGAGTGTTGGTCAAGAAACAGAGTGTTGTGAAAGCTATTAAGCTTTTGATGGATGAAGATTATCAACGTGTAGACGAAGATGATGATGATAGTGAATTCGTGAGACGAAGGAGACGTATTCAAGAACTTGCAGGAATGGCGAAAAAGGCTGTGGAAGAAAAGGGATCTTCTAGTATTAACGTTTCAATTTTAATCCAAGATGTTTTAGAGCAATTGAGTCTTGAGTAGAAAAATCTAATGTAGAAGGTAATATAACATTTATAAGAATGTACCAAACGATTTTTCTTTTTTGCCAAAGAAGAAAATTTCATATTATAATATGCATAACATGCATATAGTCACATACGTTGTATCGAACTCTTATCCTAGCATAATGAGTGATTTCTTAAAACTACTCTTGAAATCATCACATAAGTGCCTTTTTTTCCTTTTGTCGAAAGATGAAACTTATGAACAATGCCTTTAAGGATGCACTTAGAAATAGACTTTAGATTATTACATCTTGATGAAAATATTAATGTATTCATTAGAGATCTCAACAAAGAGCTAGGTCTTTTGATTAATTTATTTCGAAGCATTTAATATAGAAATATCAGAAGATAAATGCTTTAACAGTACTACTTCTGAAACTCTAAGATGGTGTAGAAGTAATCGATGTAGAAAGGTCGAAAAGTAGGGAATCCCGCAGAGAGACCAAGCTCTTTAAACTCTTCTTCGGTTCTATGCTTACCTTTGGTTCTATAGATGGTCATGACAAAGATGTCGCCTTCTAACAAGGCACGAGTCCGGTGGCTATCATCGGTTTCCTTAGGCAAGACAGGCTCACACGCAATTAGCTTTCCTCCAACCGGTAATGCCTTGTAGCAATTCTTCATTATCTGCTTGCATTCTTCATCCGTCCATGTCGTTAACACCCACTGTCCACGCAAACAACAACATTAATTACAAAATATTAATTTGGGACCAAAGAAGCAAGAAATGTGTTTATTTAATTATTTGTTTGTGTTGTGGTGTAGAAAGATCACAATTTTTTGGTTTGATAAATGTATAATTACTATTTAAATGATCATAAATAAATAAAAGTGACCAGTCGCATGATCAAACGATAACTCAGCATATATATAAAATACCTAAACCATCAATAAATCTTAGAACTATATTACAGAAATGAAAATTCGTCCTATTAGCAAAAATGTTAGTAGGTGTATTCTCGTGACAATAATGTTACCACAAACCTTCATGAAGATTGCGTCAGCGCTTGGAACTGATTGGAACATATCCCCACCCACGTGAGTCACTCCTAAACCATACAATATCATCCATTATTACTTCATTACTAAAAATAGCTTTTTACTTTCAGAAAATAACATAATTCAGTATTAAACTTACCAGGAATATTGGGGGCTTTGGCAACAACTTCAGGTAAATCGAAATTAATCCCTTCACGGACGTTAGGAAATTGGTTAAGGATCATACGGAGACAATCTCCTGCACTACCTCCTACGTCAACCAAATTATCCACGGATTTAAACCCATCGTAGCCGTCCAATATAGCTTTCATGAATGGAACAGATACCCCAGACATTGCCTTTTGCATCAGACCGTTCATCTCTTCACTTTTCCCATACTGAGCGTAAGCCGCCTCGCCGTTAGCTTTCACGTACGGTTCTGTCTCCGGCTCCACCACCGCCGTGTGAACTAGAGGCCATGCTCGCATCAACGCCTCCTGTAAAATGTCATTTCACAAAAAGTTTTATTAATAAACTCCTACCTTTTTTATATATAGTAGGAGAATTTCAGACCGAAATCTAGACTAATCTCGAGATTCGTGAAAAATTGAATATGTTTCCATTTAATTAAGGCGTCTACTTTGGCCTAGACACGATAAATCGTAGTAGGAGAACTCGAAACATAATCCCCAACCCCAAAATGAAAACCACTAGACCATCACGAATTGGTTTAATTAACTCAGATTTTGGAAAATGAAATGAGTCTTGAAAATTTGAATCGTTGACCTGGTGATGTTGGAGGACATAGGCGGCGTAAGAGAGGCCGCCTGAGTCGGTGACAAGAGTTTTTCCGACGTCCGTAAGAGTGTATTTCCTCTCGATGGATCCGACAAGGTGTTCGGAAAAGACACCGTAGCTAGTGAGCATCCGAAGTATACGCTGAAGATTCTCAGGATCGCCGCCGATAGTAGTGGCAGATGGAAGGAGGCGAGGGAGGATCTCGGCGGCTGAGAGGGGAGAATTGGCTCCGCCGTTCCAAATGGCGTCGGCAATGCCTAATCTCACGGCGGCGTTGAGTGACATGGGAACGCTGATCATGTTAGCGAGCTCCATAATGGCAAGACGAGCTCTGTTCCTAGTCTCTGAGCTTTCGTTCTCCATTTTTTTTTATCTTCCTCGTACGTGAAAGTGAAACTACACTTCGCTATAGAACCACTAGTATTGGTTTTTATGGTTTTAAGGTTAACGTTAGTTTGAAGATTTTATATATTTTAAAGTTCCAAAAATTTTAACTTTTGATTTTAATAATTGTGGAAAAATGGAGAACAAACACAAGATGTATGAAAGATTGATTTGAAATGATAACACAACTACCAAACTTTATTGGTAGTACTATTTTCACTGCTCGAAATTCACATTTCCGATAGTACAATTTTCCATAATTCTTTTTGTCGTTATTTCTCAAGAGTACTACTGTATGAAACAAGTCCATTAACACCAATCAATCATGATGGTAACAAAAATAATCAGTTTGTATGAAAACATAAATTGAACTTCATCTTCGACATTCTGGCTTTACCTTTGGCTCACCTTCATATACAATCCCTGCAATTAAAAGATTCAGCATCAGAGAAATTGGAGTCATTCTAATTAATGTGAGTTTTGAGAACGTTGTCATACATTGGTGGTGTGTATGGTTGCTCCAGTGGTCATGCTAATGGTCTGATCAGGAACCAGCTCGACGTTTAACCGCTGAAGAAACACTGCGAGTGCCACAATTGCCTCCATCAATGCAAACTGATCGCCTACACATTTTCTAGGCCCTCCACTGAACGGTATGAATCTGGTGAAAAAAGCAAATCATCTTTTAACCTTTCTAATCAAAAATAACAATCTTGATTCAATAGTTTGTGTCAAAACATGTAGCTTTACTTGAAATCGGTGTTTGTTTCATTAGGGATAGCGCCTTCTATGTCGAAACGTTCAGGAAGAAATTCCTCGGCTTTTTCCCATACCTTTAGAATAACGAACACATAAGAAACGTGGGCATAAATGTAATACTGGGAGTGCCCAATGCGGTTAAATATCCAAACCAAACCAAAATCGTATAAAAAAAACCCATGCGAACATTGAAGAAAAGGATTAGGCTCCTCTAAATGTTACTATGGATGAGAGAAAGGAACTGTACCTCGGAAGAACGATGGATGTTATAGACTGAAATCATAATGTCTTGTCCGGTATTAACCTTGTAGTTCCCAGGAAGAATGTCAGGAACTTGAGCTCTTCTAATCAAGACCTACCAGGAAAAAAAGCAATCAGAAAATTTAGTTCATGAATAATTAGAGAGATGAGCCTGGTTGCTTACAGGAGGATGAGGGTAGAGACGCATTGACTCGTTTATACAACGAGTAATGTACTTCAACTCCTTTATATCCTCATAAGCCGGTTTTCTTCCCGCTAAAACTCTGTCTACTTCTTCTTGTGCTTTCGCCAATGCAGATGAGTTCTACGAACATAAAGAATTTGAAGAGGTAAATGAGAACAGAGAAGCTCCCCTCCAAGTATATTCTGTAGCATAGCAAAGTAAAAGATACCAAAAGGTACCTTACTTAGGAGATAAAGTGTCCAAGTAAGGACAGATCCAGTGGTTTCATGACCCGCGACAAGCATTGAGAGAAGATCATCTCGTAGCTGCACACTTGACACCTGAAAAACCGCACAATCCAAAGTCAGCTTCAATTTGGAATAATTAAAGGCCAAGTTTGCTAATGGCCTGAAGGAAAAAAAACGTTAAACCTCTTCTCTGCTTGCAAGCAAAAAACGAAGGATACTTGGGTCAGCATCATTTACATACTCCTCATCATTGATTCTTTCGCCTTCTCTTTCGACAATTTCTTTGCACTTAGCAATGAGGTCTTCAACAGTTTCCCTTATCAAAGTTACAGCCTTTTCAGCTTTCACCTGTCTCGGGACTATCTTACACAATGCATTGATCTGAAACAACAACCAAAGCCTCTAACTTAACAAGAATCCAAGTGAGTCACAGAATCAACAAACCACAGGAAAACACACAAAACTTGCCTTCCAATATGGTAGAAGATCAGTAGAACGAAGCTCAGCTTCTTTAAGAGCAGTGTAAACAGCTTCAATGACAGGACTATCGGTAGTCAAAGAATCGAAATTGTAGTTAAAAAGAGACAAGCCAATGACATCAAGTGTCATCTGAGAGAACTTCTCTTCCATGTTCACAGCATTTCCGTCTTGTGCATAAGGCTGCAACTTCTCAACAAGCCTCTCTGCACATTTGCAGAATACTCTCTCCACAATCACAGACAAATACCTCTTGTGAAGCGACGGAACCACCGCTCTTCGCCTCGCCTGATATTAAAAATCAAACATCAATGGTTCAAATTTATGGTTACTTATCCCACAAGACAGTCACACATTACTTCCACGATTCCAAAAACTTCAAAATTGAGATAGGAGAAGATGAAATTACCGTCCAAAGAGGTCCTTCAGCGATTGCGAAACCCGAACCGAATAGAAATTCAGAGACTTCAGCGACTAAGCCTTTAGCGTACTTTGGATAATTCCTCAAAACGTGTTTAGCGATCGCTGGGTCGCTCACAATTACGAAATTACGAGGACCAGCAGCGAGACGGTAAATGGGTCCGTACTCGTTCATCCATTTGTAGAGAGGTAAGAAGAGAGCACCTCCGAGGAGGTCAGTGACGTCTTCGAGCTTCGCGTTCGCGATTGGTATGCCTGAATCGTCGTTTTGTCCTGAGGAAATGGTACGAGTGAGTGATGTGAGCCAATCGGGACTGACCCATGACTGGGATTTCGATGAATTGGTCTCGAGTTTGGGTTTGGGTTTAGGTTTCTCAATGGAGGATTTGATAGAGACAGAGAAGAATTTGGGTTTTGGAGAAGGAAAACGCGTAGATTTTGCAGTGAATAGAGAAGAGTAAGAAGAGGAAGATGGAGAAAAGAGTGAAGACTCCATTGATGACCTCTTTAAGAAGCTTCGGTGTAGAAAATATTTGACTCTGTGTAGAAACGCGAGCCGTTTGACGTAGATAAGGACGACGATGAATTAAACGACTCCGTTTTGATAGTCAAAAACTTATTATGGGCCTCGTATTTGGGCCTTTTTGAGAGCAAAGAAGCAAAATCTGAAAAGAAACAGAGAAATCGAAGTTTCTTTGAAACTCTGTTTCTTTTTTTTTTTTTTTTGTAAAACTCTGTTTCTTTTAAGTTGTTAAATTTTGTCGAATCTGGTAGGAAGAAGAAGTAGAAGAGAACAAGAAAAAGTCAATTCGGTTGGTTAGTTGGCGAATTCGAGAAACGATGTTCAATTTCTGGTATGATTTTACGAATTTTTTACCATCTGCTTCATTTGCTCTATATGTAATTTATGAATTGCGTGATCCAGACATTAGGTCTGTTAGCGATTAAGGGAATCTGGTTGTTGTGTTGTTTATTGAGTTATAATCATATATTTGAGATTTCTTGAGGTGAATTGACAAGTGTAGATTTTGCTCAGCTGCTGATTTAGGGTTCTTAGTTTACTGATATTAGATTTAGAATGATGTGCCCTTAATGCAACTTTCAAGTTTATATCTTGAAATTGTTGAAGCTGAGATAGTAGTTGATGATGTTTATTTTTGTTGTGTACATCAAGGGGATCAAAAGACCAACAGCAAGGGCAATCTCGTCCTCAGGAAGCTTCTTCACAGTCACCATGGTACTCGCCTTCTTTAGTCGGCTCGCCAAGCTCATCCCGGCCTCAAACTTCAGGTCAGATTGGAGCAAATGTTTCACCGGGTGAAGCAGCTGGCATTATCGCCTTCTTGAAAGACAAAAGGTTTCCGCTTTTTGTTTGTTATGTTTCTCTTGTGTGCGGTTTTTGTATACTTTCTTTTGAATAGTGTATTCTTTTCTGTAGCGTGGATGAGCTCAGGAAGCTTCTCTCTGACAAAGATGCGTATCAGCAATTTCTGCTCTCTCTTGACCAGGTCAAAATCCAGAATAGTGTAAGTCTCCAAAACAGTCGGTTGATTCGTTATTACCTATAGGTCTAAGAATGTAGCTTCGTTAGTTGTGTTGATATTATTCATTGGTGCTCTTACAAGTCTATTGCATTGATATTGTTTGAGGAAGCCTTTATCATGGCATCATCTTTTACATGTTGCCAGTAATTAGAGCTTTCTGGTTTTTTGTTATAGTCTCTGGACGCTAATTGTTTCGTGCTTTCCTTCTGTCCATCAGATCAAAGATGAGCTCCGCAGAGAAACATTGCAGCTAGCTAGTAAGTTCTCTATGGTTCATGTCATTCTACAAGAAACTTTAGTTCAATCCAGAAATCTAAATTTTTCATTTAATCAAATGTAACAGGAGAGAACTTGGAGAAGGAGCCACAGATAATGGAGCTCAGAAACCAAGTGTGTATCAAGAACCAACTTTTCCTTGTTCCGTTTACCATGATTACCTTTTCCATATCTCTTATTTACCGATCGTTACTTAATTTACAGTGCAGAATTATCCGTACAACTGAGCTTGCAGCCGCTCAAGAAAAGCTTAATGAGCTTGAGAGGCAAAAAGAAGAGATCCTCAAATTCTACTCCCCTGGTTCTCTTCTTCATAAACTTCAAGGTAACAAGTTATACCATTGCAATGGATTCTCCCCTGTCTCATCTTCTATACTTTTCTTGTGTCATCACACTTCTATACACCTTTTACTGGTTTTGCAGAGGCTATGAATCAGGTGGATGAAGAATCTGAAGCCCTGCAAGAGAAGTTCCTAGAGAAAGAGATTGATACAGTAGCATTTGTGCAGAAATACAAGAAGCTGCGTACTACCTATCATCGACGCTCATTGATCCATCTTGCCGCTAAAACCTCAAACATTTGAATTTAAAAAGCTTTGCACATTGAACTCAACACAACCAAAGTCTTGGTTGTGTATTGTGACTCTCATCCCATTGTTGTAAAGAAAATGCTTTGCTGTTTAGGTTCATACTAAAGTGATTTGACATTGACATCAAAAATATGTGTTTTTCCTCAACAAAAAAGCTACAAAGCTTGAAAATCTCAGTAATCTGATAAAAAGATTACAAGAAAACCACAAAGACGTATACAAGTTTCTTTCTTAAGCAATCTCAGAAAACAGACGACATAGTCTTTAAGATGTTTTGAACACATCTGTCTCTCTCTTCCTCACTCGCCGAGCAGGCCAGCTTCCTTTAATGCACTCTTATACTCTTCCTCTGAGTTCCACGACTTGATCTGCAGCAAAGTTTATATGGTTGGATACTGTTTTAACAAACACTTAAAAGACATAGCAGTTTTCATATATCTTATTATACCTCCTTAACATTTGCTTCAAAATACTTCTCGATCTTCTCCATCACCTCTTTATCCCAGCCATCATCAAGCAGCAAGTTGAATACCGCTCCTACAATACAAATACATAATTCAGAGACTGATAAGAACTTATGGAAACACTTGAGAAAGAAAAAAAGAAGAATCAAAACTCACCTTTACGACCAAACCGGCCAGCTCTCCCAACCCTGTGAAGGTACACCTCATAATCTGGCTCTCCGGTGTCATATTTAGTGGGAAGATTATAATTGACAACCAAATTCACCTGCAAATAGTATTGTATATAACCAACAAAAGGCATTAACTACGTACCACCTTTGAGGAAAAACGAGAAGAAAGGAAAAGGGTCAAAGGACAATATTTACCCGCTGTTGGTCAAAACCTCTTGCAATGACATCGGTAGCAATGAGCACTTGAGTAAGGCAATCTTTAAACTCTTTAACTATCTTATCCCTGTCCGATTCAGACAGATTACCATGGACACTGGTAACGTCATATCCCATTTCCGCAAGGGCTTTGTGTACCTTGTGAGCAGACGCTTTTGTTTTCACAAAGATAATGGTTTGCCCAATATCCCCAAGCTCCATAATCTGATCCTTGATGACTTCGATCTTGTTTTGCTCCTTTGGACAAACAACTTTATACTGCTTCACTGAGTCCAAAGCCAGATCCTCTCTTTTGACAAACAATTGGTTGGGATCTTTGACTGTCCTTGCAACAAAATCTTTGACAGTTTCGTTAAAAGTTGCCGAGAAAAGAAGAACCTGTTGAAAAAAAGGTCAAGAACGCAAGCACACATCAAATATAGCACGAGTGTCTTCTTAAATTTAGCACAGACATATGTCTTCTTAAAATACGAGGCTCTAAACAACAACAATAAAACACAGCTGAGTTGCTTCAATTTACTAAGAGCTTCTGAGCAGTGAAACAAGTATAACTATAGGCTCAGTAGAATATCTTGTGCCCCCTAGATATCACGATAGATATGCCACTAGAAATCAATTGTCATCCTACTTATAATTCAAGAAGCATGACCAAAATCAGACACTAGTTTAACAGACCTGGAAATTGGGATTAACTCTCCCAATGTCTTTCATTATCTTCAAGGAATCATCCCTAAAGCCATCCTGCAACAGCAATGAATCTTTAATTATCAACAACATATGAAGGGAATAATATTATCACATTATACAGAAGTTAATCATTACAGTTGAGAAATTAACAAGACCACGTAAAACAGAAGAAAGAGCATACCGTAGCAAGCATATGGTCAGCCTCATCAAAAACCAGAATCTTCAGATGATTTAGACCTAGTTTCTTAAAAGCCATCCACTTCTTAAGCGTTCCAGGGGTACCAATCACAACATGAGCAGAAACAGGAGCTCGTCTTGGGGCCGGTGATGCGCCTCTCGTTGACTCTGGCACAGCCAACTCAGCAGTGATCCCAGTATACTTCCCCATCTTCTGAAGAACTTCCATATTCTGTCATTCAATCATTCAACAACCATACATGAATTAAGCTCCTAACACGTTTTCCCAAGTCAACAATCAAATTACTCTAAGATCATTAACACTAAACTAAACTAACCTGATTAGCTAATTCTCTAGTGGGACAAATACAGAGCGCTTGAGGCTCTCTCAGTGTCGGATCAACCCGACTCAACATTCCAAGAACGAAACAAGTCGTCTTTCCAGATCCGTTATGCGCCTGGGCAATCAAATGCTTGTGAGGCGGCGTCATAATCATCGGCAAACTGATTGCTTGGATCTTGCTCGGCTTTTCGAATTTCATCTCAACATACAAGCCTTTCATCAATTCAGGTGACAAGTTCAAGTCTTCAAATCTACTTGCTGATGTATATGGCGTGTCACCAGAAGTAACCTGCAAAAAAAAACCCGAGAAATCAAAACAAATCTGGAAATCTAATAAACCTAGACTGTAATTTGCATCAACCGATTCAAAGAAACCTAATTTCTTCTAGTAAAACCAGATCTAAGCTCTAATGGCAAGATTCAACACAATCACAAATTCACTAAATCTAGCCAAAAAAAAGGGAAAGGGATTGAAGTAATACAGCTTTGATGTTTGAATCTTCAGGTTCCTCAAGCACAGAATCACGTTTCTCTTCTTCCTTAATGCTCAAAGAATTAAGCTCCGATACTGCTTCTTCTTCATCATCATCATCCTCAACATCGCCCCACTTTTTCTTCTCCGTCGTGGGCTCAGTCTTCTCGGTGCTAATAGATGCTTCAACGGAGGACGATGAAGATGACTCAACGGTGGGAACTTTCTCTACAGTATCCGCCATAGCTATAGCCAACAAAAAACAAACAAATTAGAAACCTAAATCCGACCAAATTCATCAACTTTTCCATTGATTCGTGAAAGAGCTGAGATTCTGAGAGAAGTAGAACCTTTGAAATGTGGAATTCGAGAATCAGAGAGAAGGATGACGATGCACGATTGTGTTTTTGAAGTCTCGGAGACGACGATTTGGGGAAAAAGTGAATAAAAAAACAAATAAATAAGAAGCTGCCTGCTTTATTTTGAAGCTACTGTAGTAAGAATGTAAAAATCACTGACTTTAATTTCAAGCTACTAGTAAAAATGGTTCAAGCAAGCCACCAGTGAAATAACGTAACCGACTCTACCAATTCGGTTTATCCTCTTTTTTCCTCTAGACAATTCTATTTATTTCTTAGACGACCCAACTAAATCCTTTTGGGCTTTAGTTTATGTATAAACAAAACAATATGGCCCAATAAAACAATATGGAAGTAGAGATTTTTACTTCCATAGTGATATGGCCCAAACTCTTGCTTTTTCGTTGTAATATACACTTCGTAAGCTTTTTAGTTTTTGCTATAGTATTCAAAAAAAGCTTATGACTTCATTATGTACAAGAAAGAAAATAAACCATGATGGCTCAAGCACAATAGAAGAAAGAAGAAAAAAGCCATGATGGTTTAACCACAATCTTTGAGGGAAATAATGAAAAAAAAAACACAATCTTTGAGGTGGATGCCACATTACCTAAGAAATTATTACAAGAACAATAACAAAAAGTTGGTGGAGCTCACACTTTGTTATAATGATATTTTGCCAATATACAACTTTGTTTTCCTCAAACATATAATCTCTTATCAAGAAAACTGTATTCTATCAGAATCTTATATTCATGCCTCCAACGGTTCAACAAGAACCAAAATTAGATTAATGAAGTATTGAGCAATCAATCAATCAAGATTAGATGATCTCTCATTACCCGTCTGTTTATCGATCGAGCTACCCTTCAAACCAAACAATCAATCGGCTTGAGATTCAAATTTACCGAATTGAAATTTCGCGCTATGGCGGAAGTTTATGTTCGAGGATACAAAAATATTGTTGATCATGGTCCAAGATCAATGACCAAAGAGACTGACCTCACATACAATTTCCACCTACTCTATTGCACTAGCAAATGCGTTTTCTTTATCTTAAACATAAGCATGGGGAGAATGATTATATTTGTATAACATGCATCATCTTCTTAAGTCTCCATTTTCTCACCACTATCTATCACTATCTGTTTCTCTCTGTTTCTCTCTCGTCTCTCTCTGTCCTAACGACCTGATTGCATTAGACAGGAAAGAAAAGGAATGCAAGAGATGAGAGTTTCAGGGTTTAGAGTTCTTCTCTTGGTTTCTTGTTTCTTCTGCATATCCAAAGGAGCTATTGTTCCTGCACTCATCATGTTTGGTGACTCCATTGTTGACGTTGGCAACAACAATAACTTACTCAGCATAGTCAAATCCAACTTTCCTCCTTATGGCAGAGACTTCATCGACCAAAGACCCACCGGAAGATTCTGCAACGGAAAACTCGCAGTTGATTTCTCAGGTAAAGTCTTTTTCACAAAACCACATATCTCTCTCTCTATCACGTTCATATGTTCTCTCTCTCTCTCTCTCTTTTTCCTAATCTAATTAGTTTTATATCTGCCTACTCGTGTCTAGCCGAGTACCTTGGTTTCTCTTCATACCCACCTGCATTCCTAAGCCGAGAAGCAAGTAACGAGACTCTACTGACCGGCGCCAACTTTGCATCAGCTTCTTCAGGATACTATGATGCCACATCTGTTCCATTTGTAAAGGAGACAACACAGTCAAACATCAATACACACATGCCCAAGAAATGATCCATAAGGCTTTACTCTTCCTTTTGCAGGGCGCCATCTCCTTAACACGGCAGCTGAGCTATTACAGGGCATATCAAAACAGAGTAACAAGAATGATCGGGAGGGAGAATGCGCGCAGGCTGTTCTCTAGAGGTATCCACATTTTGAGTGCGGGATCTAGCGACTTTCTTCAGAACTACTACATCAATCCTCTACTCAACATCCTAAATACACCTGATCAGTTCGCTGACATTCTCATGAGATCCTACTCAGAATTCATCCAGGTACTTCTAAGTTTAGTAACGAACTGTAGAACTCGATATTCATAACAAGGCAACCATATGAATGTGCAAATTTACAAGAAACAAAAAAAAGAATTGTATCAGTTATTTACCCTTTTTTTGTGTCAACAAGAATCATACTGTCACTTGTAACAGAATCTGTATGAACTAGGAGCAAGGAGAATCGGAGTGATATCACTACCGCCGATGGGTTGCCTGCCTGCAGCTATCACTCTTTTCGGTGCAGGAAACAAAAGTTGTGTTGAGAGACTGAACAACGATGCTATCATGTTCAATACCAAACTTGAGACCACAACCCAGTTATTGATGAATAGACACTCAGGCCTCAGGCTCGTCGCCTTTAATGTCTATCAACCTTTCCTGGACATCATCACCAACCCAATTGACAATGGTACGCGCCTGCATATGCAAACTTTAAACCATGATAGAGTGAGCTATTCACAGAAAGAACTTCTCAGATATTTAATCTAGTTAGCAACTAGCAAAATACCATTAACATCTTTAAATGTCTAAACTGCATGTATTCTAGGATTCTTTGAAACAAAAAGGGCATGCTGCGGAACAGGAACAATAGAAACATCGTTCCTTTGCAATTCTCTATCCCTAGGAACGTGTGTAAATGCCACAGGATATGTGTTTTGGGATGGATTTCACCCCACAGAGGCTGTAAACGAGCTGTTGGCTGGTCAACTACTGGGTCAAGGGATTTCTCTAATCAATTGAATTGAGTCGTCCCAGTTGGATTGAATTCAAACTGTATACCTACAAATAGCTACCAAAGTGTGTGTCTCTCTCTCTCCCTCTTCTCTCTTTTCTCTTTCTCTCTCTATATATATAACTCACAAATAAGAAACAGATTGTGTACGCGTGTGTGTGACTGAATGTAGAAACTCGCAATCTGGTCTGTGTGATGGGTCTATAGGTCCAAGCTTTGTTTGAGAAGATCACAATCTTTGGTATTTTATTTTTGTCCCTAATCTATCTCTTTAACATTTCTAAAGTTGATTACAGCAAGAATTTTGGTGAAGCTATAAACAAATTAAAGTTTGCTGCTATGTGAACATCATAAAAAAATCAGGTTTGGTTAGACATATAAGATTTAATAAGATTCTAAATCAGCTTAGTTGATTATCATATATTCATATACAACTACCAAGAAGAACCAAGTTCCCATAATCTTAAGATAAACCAAACACACTGTGTACACCAGCCCTACTAATTTAACTGACAGAAGCCATATACATTGAATAGAATAAAGGATAAAAGGTCTAGTTGCATCACAAGATGAATACCTGGTCGGAGGTCTCTACGAGAGTTCAAATCCTGCATTTGAAGTAATCGCATACAATAGTTTTTCCCTCATAGTGCTTGCTCGTTTATACGTTGGAAGCTGAAGAAATCCACAAAGAAAGACTGAACAAAAAAGATACAGGAATCTTCACATGTAGACTACAAAGATAACAGAACACTTGAAACTTCACCTTAAGAGTATTGTAGCACGTAGAAGCAGATGGAAGCCTTTCTACATCTTGTCCTCCAATAGCAGCCCAAAGAGAGGTATCACAAGAGACCTGCAGAAGATGAAAAAGCACAAAAGTAAGAAAAAAAAAATACCAAACAGAATATCACACATTCATTTCTAAGCCAAAGATCAAAAACAAACTTTATGGATGATGAAGGTTGGCTGCAAGTATTTGAAACCAAGGAGTGGTGCCCGAGAACAACTAGTCACAAATTTGAGGAGCAAGCAGCGTTCACTCGGTTCAAACCCTTTCATGACCTGAGACAGGATGCCCAGAGAGAAATTATACTAGCCGCTTTCAATCTCTCTGCATATGTCATAAATTGGCAGACAGAATAGGAAGAAAAGGAAGATATCAGGACTTCTGAATATGAGTTCTCACCTCCCAGAAGATTTTGATTGTTCGACTGCTATCACTGTAACCACCAGTGTATTTTGTATTCCTCCTTAAGTCATCCACATCGATGTCATGGTTTCCTCCAGAGAGTAACTGCACAGAAAATTTTGTTAGACAATAGCTTTGTACAAGAGAAAAAATCTAGAGATCATTACATTAGAGCCGCATACCTGATTAAATTCCTGGGCATTAAATAGTTTCAACCAAGCAGGAGATATAAGGTCAGTCAATCCTCTGTAAAATGCATTTGAAAAGGGCACAATCTGCATTCAAGACATAGGATAACATGTTTACCTCATTAATTATGAAGTAAATCTGTTTTGCAGGAAGATTGACCTTTAGATTATTTATAAAACGAGAAAAAAGACGATACCTGCCGGTTGAGTTTATAGTCAGCCATTGCATGAATATATTGCATTTTGTTCTCATTCGTGACTGAAATATCCTTCCCACCAGGTTTGAGCTCAGTTATGCTCATTTTTCCACAAAACTCTTCAGTGACTGTGAAATCCAGACAGAGTTCCTTCAAATCACCATCATAATGCTGCGTATAAACAAGAGTCTTGATCTCCGAAACCCTCTCTTGTGATACTTAATGCAAGATTGAATTTTGACATATGAGGCAAGAGATATATCAACTGCGACGGTTTTTACCTTGACATACATGAGGTTCCTGTAGAGCTCTGGATCAAGCCCTGATAGTTCATCAATAAAGCTATAACGTCCCAAAAGCTTCTGGATGAAAACGTGAGAAAAAGAGTAATCCAGCAGTATTCCCTCGTATAGAGCTTTTCCAACAATTCTTCCAAGAAACTCAATCATCTGAATTCCGTTGTCAAGGTGCCGTGCAGATGAGCTAGGAACAAGCAACCTATCTGAAGTAGGGGTTTGCGAGAATAACCCATACCTTTTGGAAAAGGAATAAAATGGACATACCAATAAAACAAAACTTAATCCATTGGACAAGTAACACCATAAACTAGAATAAAGTATGCATGCATATAGAAGAGCTTACTCAGTAGCAAAAGCTGCTTTTGTTATGTCAGTCAAAAACTCTTTTGAAAGCCCACCATAGTCTAGGCCAGCCTCAGGAAGGCCAGACTCATTCACAAACGAGACATGGATGGATGATTTTAGCCTGCTACCAATTGAATTCAGTTGTTGAAATCCATCTTCAACCACATGACCTCGACGAACGACTATCTCTATTGACCTCGCACCAGGTGCATCCACTTCACCAGCCATTTTCCTGGAAGCTTTATCCCTGCTTATAAACTCTCTAAACACATGGACCCTGCAGGGATAACAAAACATGAACATCATTCAACAGATAAAGAGAAATGAGGAGATACGTAATAGTTAGTTAGAAGTTATTGTAGCACAAAGAAAAAAACATGGATAGGCTATGAAGGGTAAGCAATGTAAGAATACCTTTCCTCAAATGGAAAGACATGCGGAGTAATTGTTATAACAGAACCCATGCTTGGAGACGTAAGAACATCACTGGCTGGTAAAACCTCATGAGTTCTGGCAGCAAATGCAATTGGAGGTCTACTAGTTCTACCAGGTGAGAGCCACAGGGCAGAAGGACAAAAAGGGTGCCTGCAATCTCTTTCATACAATAAATGCAAACATCTGATAGCAGAATCCATCAGTTGTCTACTCTCAGGACCTATGCCTCGCAACAATCCATTGTAAACGAGTGTATTAAGCATTGATGCAATTCTCCGTTGTTTCTCTAGCATAAAAGGGACCTATATGCCAAAACAAACCTTTAGTAAATATCAGACCAATAACATATAAGCTGCAGGAAACCATATAGCATATTTACCTGCTTTTCATAAAACTGTATGTCATCAAGAACAACGAGTAAATGCGCATAGGTTGCACAAAATAGATGAAGCAGGCATGACACTTCTTTGGAGATACCTACAGGACCACCCCTCAGAGTTTCCACATCCCATACATCATTAGTAATCTCATTAACCTGGCTTGATCCTGGTTGATCACTAGTACACTCCACATGTTCACGCGGTCCCGGTGATTTACCAGAAAACTTGTTTAGCACATTCACCCACTTGTTGACACTGTCATTCTTAAGATGTTTCAATTTCTTCTCAGAAGGACTTCTTGTATTCCATGAAGTTTTAGCAGATCCATGAGATGCATCGTCAGCAGTGCAACCATTTTCAGGGAGTAGGACACTCTCTAGAGAACTCCACAAAGAGACAATGTATCCAGGACAGAAGGATAACATGTTAAGGACAGGCAAAGGTCCTAGGACAGGATTCAGCACGCAGAAGATTCTCAACATGCATGAATATAATCGTGCTATATCAAGCAATCCTAGTGTTTCTGATCCTTTCTTACTACTCGTTGTTGATGCATCTTTATCTGCTATAACACGAATTTCTTTCCCAGAAGCTGCCAACAGTTTTGCGAGATGCCACTGTTGACATACTGGTCGAAGCATTTCCACAAAAGAAATCTTAACTGAATTTCCTTTCCCAGTCTCATTTGATGTGGCCTCAAAATCAAGATGAATATCCTGAATTCCAACATTTTCAACCTTAGACAATAGATTCTCGGCGAGAGTCACAATAACATGAACATACAAGACATAAAAAATCTCTGGATTTGATTCTTGTGGATCCATAAAATCGGTTTCACTAACTGTTGCCAGGGAAATGATGTTCCCGATAACCCATCCAACAGAAGGTATCTCCATGGTACAACTTTGCTTCTCTGAATGCTCCATTTCCGATATTCTGGTCAAAATTTTGTCCTTCAAAAGCTGCTGTCACCTGCCACGCTTTAATAAGTCCTTCGATTGTTTGGAAAAAAAGTAACAGAGATTAAAAACAAATCAATCAATTCTCCCTACATTCTTTTTGAGACTTTGACAAGAAATAAATTGGTCTAAGAAAATATGATATGAGTTTTACCAATATGGTGTGAAAGCTTGGCATTAGTATGCTCTTGTGCTTCAGTGCACGTATGAGAGCGCTTGGCAGGCAGCAAACGAGCCGAGGAATCGTCAGTATTAGAGAAACATATTCTTCAATAGCCAAATTCGTGTCCGGTTGGTTGTCATCAACAAAAGCAGGCTGTTTCACGTGGAATGGTCGTAGAGCCAAAGTTACTGCACTTGTAGTAATCAGCAGTCTCTCATCTCTATGTTTGGTTAATGTCTTGATATATCTCCTAAGTGCTGAGTAATATCCACTTTTACAGCTCCCTATAAACTGAATGATCATCTTTCCAGCTGTTTCTGCATCTTCGAAGTTTTCCTTTGTAATGATCTTCCAGCTTTTGGGATCAGTTAAAACAATAAGAATACGTAATAGAAGGGCACTGACACCAATAACATCTTTTATCCTTTCCTGTGAATAATTACACTCCATGAGAAGGAAAGAGCAGAGAGAAACCATCCTTCGTGTTTGACAGGCCCATGTTTTACTTTCTTCAAATGTACCAACTGCTAGAGAGCAAAAATTGTACCCCTGATCTGCAAAACACAATAACAGCATCCATTCAAAAATTATTTCCCTCCTAATTTGCAAGACGAATGATTCAAATTCAAGCGAAAAAAAAGAAAGAATCATACCATTAGAGTTGATGCTTTCCAAAAGAATCTTAAAGCAAGTTTGCATACAGTGTATATCTCTAGCCTGTATCTTTTGATGTTGGACAGATAAAGATCTGATAAAGAAGAGAAACGGTCTCAATACTCTGCTTGATACCCAACTTTTGGTCAGTGAATCAGAATGGCAACTTAGTAAATTCTCCCACTCCTCTCGGATCTCTATAGCTGCCTTCTTTCTGACAATATAAGACCTCCAAACTCTCTACAAGTATTGGAAAAAATGAGGTAAGTTTATGCCTTGGTCTATGTAGCAGAATAATCCTACCAATACTACAAAAGAGATTTTTATCCGGTTTAATTTCGGTTCACCGCTTGAGCCTAAAAGATAGCAGAAAGAAGAAGAAGTACCTGAATAAAAAGAGCAGCAGCATTAGCCCGTCTTGCATAACTGCGTAGCTCCCTTTCTTGTGAGACTTTAGCAAGCAAAGCATCCCTTGATATCTCCCCACTGCTAGCACCTCTAAGGGACACCTGATCAGATTTCATTTAACAATCACAGATGCACCATTTTTTTAAAGACATCATTTTGAAGCAACCCGAAACATAATTTTTCTAATTTCCCATGAAAGTAGTTGAGATTCCCTCGGAAACAGTCCATTCTAATAGCCTAGGTTTAAAATTGAGGCATCGTCTACACTACCAGAAGCTTAAAATTCCACCGAATCTGAGTGCTATAAGAATTAAGAACCCTAAGTTTTATAAATTTTGAGAGAGAGAGTAAAAAAAAAAAAGAAGTTCAGATCGAATTCGAAAGCGATGATCGGAGAGGATTGAAATGGATCAAGTTCAACACAGTAGCAGGAGAAGAAGAAGAAGGAGGAAATAGATACCTTGTGTTTGCGATTCAGGTCCATTGGATTCGGAAATTATAGATCTTCTTCTTCTTCTTGGTCGTCTTCGTATTTGGCTTCGCTTGACGTCAAGCTCTTCGTAGAAACTCCAACCAGTTTTTTATGACGTCAGCTTTTTAAGTCATAATTGAACTTAATGTGTCATTAATAATATCTTTTTTTACTTTACCAAAATTGTTTTTTTTTTTTTGCAAATATTTTGTTCTCAAAACAATTTAAGGATAATTTTGATACTTTTTTAAAAACAATTTAGGATCTTAAATAGTAAAACAAAATTACTTTAATGAATGTGGGATCTATGCACTGTTAGTTTGTTAGTGGCTAATTCACATCCACAACGTTGAGCCTAATTAGAGTGGAACTGTGGAAGGTTTGACGACGACACAGGACACCTGAAGCATGCGTGGTTGTTATACTAGCTTTTGGAAATGAGAGGCAAAAGTTTTTTTACTCTTATAATTTATCAATCTCTTAAAATTCACCAATCGATACACTTCCATATTGAAAAAGTGACAACAATGAGCCATTGTCTACTTTCCCATGTTGCAGATTTCACTATAATCGTTTTTTTTTTTCTATTCGCTATTTCGCTCATATACATTGACAAAATAGTGACAATGATTAAATAAGAAAAAGAAACCTTATTAATGAACTTAATCAAAAAAAAAACCAACTTCCAATCCTCATATGATCGCTCATGTCGACCATCGATATCAGTACATCGGCTCATACAACGGGTTTGAGAGATTATAAGATGGAAAAAAACACTTGAAGATATCTCTATATATAGGCAATATGATGAAACCTAAGCTAGTGTACATGTGGTTTCAACAGCGAGCTTGGAAGCTCCTTTGCAGTGGCTCGGACCAAACATCTCATCCGTAACCAAAAGGTAACACTCTTTTTTTTAAGACAATTCTGCACAAATCAATACTAGCAATAAGATTCATTGAAATATTTATTAGGAAAGGCACAACCAATTAACATTAGTGTTAGTTTATTTTGTTAACCTTTTTGACGATCCTCATGGTAGCTCGTGCACCGCAATTGCCGTGTCTAAAGTGTCCACATGTACCAATGGGATTGCCATAATCAGCGAAATTGATCTTTGTAATAACATATCCAGGTTCGTTGCAAGAAATCAGCGTCAGAGGACCGAGATCAGGTTCTTCATTCGTACACGCTACATGTTCCTTGCCATGTTGAGGAGAATTAGTGAGAAAACGTTTCTGGTCACCGCCGATTCTGATGCCTCGTGCATCATCAGAAACATCGATCTTTGAAGCTAAACTTAACAGAGATGAATGAAATAGAAGAAGAAGCAAAATGAAGCCATGGTTATGACGACAATGTAAAGTATCCATTTAATTTGTTTATGTTCTCATAATCAAGGTATCAAAAATGTTTAAGTACAGGCTACTTATATATAGCTATATTTAACTTCTTCTTTTTTACTTTTTTTTTTTTTGTTAAACTTGGATTAATCAAACTTTGGAGAGGCAAATTCGTTTGTAGTTCTATATTGGATAATTGGATTTAAATGTGGCCACGAAATTTCCTCTCAATTTGTAGTTCTATAGTTTTCCATTCTCTTGTTTTTCTTGGTTTTCGGAGGAGTTTGGTGAAAGACATTCATGTTGACTTTTTCCACGATTACTTATTAATAGATTTACATCTCCAGGGAAAGAAAAAAAATTAACAACATTTTAAATTTTCATAGACGTGAGATTAATTTATTACATAATTATATGTTAATTGGTCTTTAGATTTTTTCCTCTCTGCTAATTGATTTGTTGTTGTATAAAGGCCATAATATGAAAGTACGTATGTTTATGTATCTCATGAAAGTTCATTTGTGTTCTTACATTCCCACCCAACTAGTGATAATCCTATTGTCGTCACTATCTCTAAATTTCACAGTTATATACTTATATTCATTGTTTTGAATTGTATCCTTAGTTTTATCATTTGTCCAGTTGTTCAAGTTTTAGGGAAATTTGTGTCAGGTTAACTTTTCTAGCTTGTGTTGGTAAAATAACATTTTCAAAACATTAGTCCGAGTGACGACTATGTTGTATATGCACATAACTTACGTAAGCTTCAATCGAGTTTGTGTAGGATTGGTTACACATGTAACGCAAAAGCTTGGTTTGTGTTCTTCTAGAGTATTGGCCTTGTCATTCCACTCACTAAAGAAACAGAGGTTGAGAAGTTTTGTGTATGTTTATTATGACTTGATAAACATAAATTTATTGTCACAAATATGAAACAAAAATGTATAAAGTTGATCTAACGAATCATAAATATACGACAAAATTTTCTGCGATTTTGCAGGAAGCTACAAGCCCTAGTTTGATCAAGAACAAACTTTGATCAAAGCGAGGAAACAGAGAAACTATAAAGAATCACTTAAGCAGTAGAAACCTAAGTTTTTGTACAAGTAGCTTCAACAACGAACCAAGGAGGACTCTTGCAATGTGTCGGACCAAACATCTCGTCCCCTCTCCCCAAAAGAAGTATACACTGCCATTTTCCAAGACAATTCTGCATGAAATAGTAATTATAAGATTTATTGAAATATTTATATATCACTCTCCATCAAATAAAGGTGAACCAACGTAATGAACATATACTGATATACATGTTCTAATTGGCACCTAATGTCTAGATTTTCCATACCCCAACTAATCATGGGATGAACAAGAGTTTTCCGCAAACTCATTTCGTATAAAACATTGTACCAAAGCTCAATGAACGAGTTTGGTACATACAAATCAATATATGCACAATGTAAAGGTTAAAACATACTATTAATGTTAGTTAATTTTTCTAACCTTTTTGACGAGCCTCAAGGTATCGGGTGCGCCGCAATTACCACGTCTAAAGTTACCACAATCACCACTTGCATGGCCATAGTCGGCGAAATTGATCTTTGTGAAAACATATCCTTTCTCTTTGCAATCAAACATCAATACAGGGGCCCTAGACCTGTTTTGGTGACGACAAACTGGAATCTGATTGCCCAACGTAGGAAGATAACTCCCAAACTCACTACGAGGGTTAGGAATGGAATCAGAGAGATTATGTTTCCGACCAACTTCTATTTTGATGCCTCTTGCATCATAGTTTACGTCCATTTTCGAAGCTAAACAAGAGATAGAGGAAAGAAACAGAACTAATATGAAACCATGACGATGACTATCGGTAGTTCCCATTGTTTTTTTTTTTTTTTTTGGTAGTGAAGATGCTATTAACATACTAGTACGGATTCAGTTATATATAGGTAAAAAAAACTTAAAAGAATTAAAGTCTGTTGGAGAGACGAAGTCGAGTGCGGATGTGTCCGCAAAATTTTCTGTCAAATTTTCTTCTAATTCTTGGATTTCGGAGGTGTTGGTGAAGGACATCATTCTGACTTTTCTACGATTAGTTATTAATAGATTTCCATTTTCAATGGAAAAAATTGATTTTTTTTTCCAAAAGAGAGTTTAATTAAATTGGTTTCACAATTATTCGTTAATCTTTAGAGTTTCGTCTCTGCTAATTGATTTTACTGTTATATTAAGGTTAGAAGCTTTTCTTAAAAAATTATGTTCTTCTATTTTTTTATATGTTCTTCTCTATTTGTGTGAACGTAAAAATGACTTAAGATTAATTTTGCTCTTTACGTAATACTGTTTTAGAAGATTAAAAGGATTTGCTCTTTACGTTTTAGAAACAGTATTCCCTAGTTTTAGAAAAATGACTCCCCTATATATTGTGAACGTGTTTAAAAGGATTGTGTATATACTAAAACCACTTTCTTTGTTAATGTTTAATAATCATTACGCATAAATTCTTATTTGATCATATTCCACAATTTCCATTAGGGTTGTTGAGTTTTTATCTTTTAGGCGAGTACAGTTTACTCCTTGAAACATTAATATGTACGTTGAACATATATGATTCTTATAATGTGCGGTAAAACATATCGTCATGTCTTTAATTAAGCTCCACAGTTCAAGATACAACGAAAAGATCTAGTATTTGTAGACAATCTCAAGATAATGAGATTAATGCTCTTAGAGAGCTTATTAACATAGAAATATGAAACTGAAAATGAGATAGCTCATATGGAGCTTTATTCAAATGTAAAAAGCAAAGAAAGGTGCAGGCTTAAGGTTGTCTTCAAGACCAAAATAGATTTCGATTATGTTTCATAAAAAGATGAATGTGGCTGCTCAAAGAGGCAGCCTTGGTTACTTTCATCAATGTCTTACATAACATATATATATGAGAGCTCTTACAAAACCTAATCTCATGGACTAATGGGCTTCTCATGAGGCTAATCTTTGGGCTTCTTTGTGGCCTCTAATAGTATTAAACCAACCTAGAAGAAGAGATTTGAATTCGTGAATAAACTTTTTTTTCAAACTTAATTAGGAAACAAAAGCCTAATTCGGTGGATTACGTAAATCAGCAACATAAAGATGCGCTACATTAAAACAATAAATTGAGGAAAATTGTAAGAATCATTTTCCTTTAACGTAGGAAATAAGTAAGCATAATTAGGTTTTTTTACAAATAGCAGAAAAAACGAAGTTAACAGGTCCTTTACAATGCGTCGGCCCAAACATCTCATCTGTAATATAAATCCTACACCGTTCTTTTCCAAGACAATTCTGCATAAACAAAAAAAAACAATAATCGATAAGAAGATTTATCGTCAAACAGATTATAAATGTTGATGTATTTTGTTAACCTCTTTGACGAGTCTCAAAGTAGCTGGCGCGCCGCAGTTTCCACGTTTAAGTGTTTCACATGATGAACCACTGGGCTGACCATAGTCAGCGAATTTGATCTGAGAAAAAACATATCCTTTATCACAAAATGGTGCATATATGATACCATCCTCAGACGGGTTATTCAAACCGCACAGAGGATATTCTTTGCCCCGTTCTCCTCCACCCTTTGAATTGGAGATACGTTTCGGATCACTGTCGATTTTAGTGCCTCTTGCATCAAAAGAACCATTGATTTTTGTTGCAAGATTAGAAACCGATGAAAGAAACATAACAAGAAGCAAAATGATTAAGCCATGACAACGAAGAAAACAATGTGAAGTTTTCATTTTTTCTGTTCTCTTACAAATCAGAAGGAAAATGAAAATTCTAAGCAACTTAGATATATAGCTGTGTTTTCAAAATATATTCTTCTTAGATCAAATTAGTATAAGGTAATTGTGTGCGAATATCACTACGAAGTTGCTATCAATTTGTCCATTTAGCTATGTTCTAATATATTTTTATTCTTTTTCACTTTTCATACTTCTTGGCTTTCGGAGGTGTTGGTGAAGGACATTCATTCTGACTTTTTCAAAAGATAATTAAATTGGTTCCTAAAAAAAGATAGTCTAATTGGCTTCACATCCCATAAATCTTCAGGCTTTTGTCTCCACTAATGGATTGTATTATTATATTTAACTATTTGGATATGTTTTTAGACAAGTCATATATGTCTTCTTACATAAGCTTAATTGTTAAGAAGGGTTGGTGTGAACCAACAACAAGTTTGATTTATAAAACTTTAGAGATTTGTTTATCCTGTTTGATTCCCTTCGAGCTATACATATTTGGCTAGGTGGGAATTTATTCCTTTAAAGCTTATAAGAGAATATCGACAAGATTCCTCTCATGCCTTTCACCCCAACAAGTTAACCTAGTTTGATCCTGAAAAATACTACATCTTCTTTCTTCTTATATGAAACATAACTTTTTGTTCCTCAAGTCGATCCTTACCAAGTTGGCAGATTATGGAACCCTTAGATCGGCCGCCGTTTCAAAATCTCTACTTGTTTAAGCAAACTCGTACTATTGGATTTTTTTTTTCTTTCAAATAGTATTGTAATTTGAACTAGGTTAGCATTCAAAAACATTTTAAGTATGGCAACGGTATGCATTGATTAATTGTTGATTTGTTAATTTAAGTCTTTGTGGGCAGGTATATCTTCTCATAGATGATTTTGGAAATAGCATAATTTATTATAACACTCTTTCTTATGCATCTATAATCGGAAAGAAAAGGAGTTCAATCAAATAGGCAAATAGGAAACAAGAGCCTGATTCAAGGGATTGCTTGAATTAGCAACATAAAGATGCGCTCTATCAAAGGTTTTTACTAAGAAAAGTGATCACAACTTGATATATATAAAAAAGAAGACAAAATTTTGTTATAAGAATCACTAATCCTTTTTTTTTTGTCAAAGAAGAATCACTAATCCTTTAAGTTCCTTTTTTTCTTACAAGTACCGGAAACAACGAATTTAACAGGTCCTTTACAATGGGTCGGACCAAACATCTCATCTGTCACTGGAAACCAACATTCTTCTTTTCCAAGACAATTCTGCATAAATAAGAACAAAAGATAATAATAAGGTATGGAGTACTAGTTAGTACTTATTTCAAACAGATAATTCATATGTTTAGTTTAAACCTTTTTGACGAGCCTCAAAGTAGCGGGTGCGCCGCAGTTTCCACGTTTAAGCGTGTTTTTTTCACAGTCACCAGTGGGTTGGCCATAGTCAGCGAATTTTATCGCAGAGATAACATATCCTTCACCACAAAAGATGGGCAATATATTGCTAGGCGCCGGTTTATCAATGCATATTGGCTGTTGATTCGGTTGATATCCTCCAGATTTGGAACTGGAGAGAACACGTTTCTGATCACTGTGGGTTTTAATTTCTTTTACATGATAAGAACCGTTGATGATATTCTTTGAATAGAAACAAGACACATAAGAAACGGATATAACAAGAAGCAAAACGATGAAGCCATGACGATGAAGAGAATGTGTAGTTTCCATTTTTATTCTAGTTTTTGGTTCCCTTATAAATCAGAAGGATGATGTTGAAAAATGCTAAGCTGGCTACATGTAGGTAAGTATAAATTTGTAATGTTTTGATATTGATTTAACATAAAATAATAATATTAGTAATTAAAGTTTCTTGGAGATGCGAATTTGTGTGCGGATGTGGCTGCTAAATTTTCTATCAATTTGTCGTTTAAATTTTGTTCTATCTTCTCCTCCTCTATTTTGGCTTTCGGAGGTGTTGGTGAATAACATTTCTTCACTAAATTAGTAACTTAATTATTAATAGATTTGCATTTCTTCTTGAAGTTGTTTAGCATTGAGTAGTTTCTTGATATAAATAACAACCATTAAGAGTTTTAAAACCAACAAAATGGATGGATATGTGACTTCATTGGCGTCCGATGTGAATTGTTACGTTACTTATAATGTGTTCCCTCTTGATGTAGTCAAATAGTACCAATAATCCAAAACCATATCTGCCTCTGTTTAATACCATAATGATTGCATTTTGCACCTCCTCCTATCATCATGACTCTTACGCACCGTATCATCGAATCATCGCATCGTATATCGAATTTTACCACATTATTATTCTTCGAATCCACCACATTGTTTATTTCTTAGTAAGTTTTACTTGAGTACTTATATACAAAAAAGGATTTGACTTCACATATATTCAATAATGGCTTGAGAAACAAAGAAGATTTTTTGACAACATCAATCTTAAGATTTGGTTAAGCATAAAATCCAACAAAAGATCGTCTCTAAAGCAAAGATACAACAAACTGGCTTACTTACATATCAAGAAACCAAAAGAAACACACAGAACAAGCAAGAAATAGACGAAGTCATCATCTATATCGCAACAAGAAACTGAGAATTAAAACACAAGAAAAGAAAACTAAACAAGGCTGGTTTTGATGAATCCGCTTTCACTCAAAAGCCCATTGATTCTCCCTGAGAATCTCAGCTTCTTCCTCTGGTGTAAAATCGTTCTCGATCTTGAAGTATGCGCGAATCTCCTCTGGAGTTTTTCCTGAGAGAAAACCAGCAACAGTTTTACACGTGAGATCAATAAGGCTTTGGATATTGAGATAATTCGCAGCCATCATAACATCAAAGACAATCGATTGTTTCATCTTCTTCATGAATTCAGTGTCCCACTTCTTGAGATCTTCTTCTTCGTTGCTCTCGAAGACGTGCTTCTTGCAATACTCAATCACCAACAAGAGAATCTTGCTTGTGACGTTTGGAAGTGGGATTCCATTATCGGCACACTTATCTTCATCCATACCCTTTATCATCGCCGATTGGAATGCCACCGCTTCGTCGATCTGAAAAGAATCACCATCGGAGCTCGTCAACACAAATATCTTCTTCGACATGGTTACTTCGTTATGGGGGGATTTTTCTCTGGAAGCAACTTGATGAAATAAGATTGAAGAATAATGGAGTAATTAGGTTATGAACTTATGCGTCTGTGTATTTATAAACCCTAATTGTCAGAGTCGGTGGATTACACCAAGCTGAACTAGGTCAAATTTATAGTTGGCCCAATTTTATAGGTTCGGCCCAAAACTTAATCAGATTGGATTAAAAAAAAAAATGAATGAAATTGGTTGGTGTTTTTATGTGATTCTCACTTTAAGATTTGGTTCAGGTTAGTCTTCACATTTTATTTTTCTTTGGATAAAATCTTCACATTTTTTGTTGTGATGAAATATTGAGTAATCCGTTAAAAAGTTGGATAAGATATGGCAAATGAATGAGAATGCATGGAAAAAAAAACGTACATACATATTCGGGATTTTTTTTTTTTTTTTTGATAACAAAATATATTCGGGATTTGCCATCAAAATAAGCTACACATACATATAATCTTGTAAATATGAATAATAGATTCTAGTGTTCCTAGGTGTTCAAAAAAAAAAAAAAAGATTCTAATGTTCCTAACAATATTTATCCTAATAAAACTATGAATTCACGTATACATAGGAAAACAGAAACAAAGCTAATTTGAGTAATTAATTAAGTTACATAGGACTTTTTCTAAAACCAAAAAAAAAAGTTTTCAAAAAAAAAAAAAAAACTAAGGACTTGGACTAAATTCAAATTAATATTCGATACAGAAGAAAAAAAATTGAACTCTGAAATAAACATGTAATAAAGTAGGAAACAAAAGCTATTACATAGAGATATTGCTATACGAAATTACGAATCATTTAAAAATAAAACCCCTTTAACGTGGGAAACAAGAAAAAAACTAAGTTTTTCTACAAGTAGCGTCAATAACGAGACTTAGAGCTCCCTTGCAGTGGCTCGGACCAAAAATCTTGTCTGGAACAAACAACTTACACTTCTGTTTCCTAAGACATTTCTGCACAAACAAATTAAATGATAATAATAAGAACACTACTTGAAAAAATATTTGTATTTGTGATTGATTTTGTTTACCTTTTTGACGATATTTAAGGTATTGCTTGCACCGCAGTTACCGCGTTTAAATTTCCCACAACTACCAGTGGATTGGCCATAGTCGGCGTAAGTGATCTTAGAAATAACATATCCTCTTTCACAATCAAAATCCAATGCGATTGGTTTACCATCCTTAGCCTCCCTATGATTCGCGCACATTGTATATTCCGCAGACTCACCGAGAGAGGAATTAATGGAGCTAGAGAGACTACGTTTCTGGTCACCGTGAGAAGAAACGTCCATCTTTGAAGCTAAAGTAAACACAGAGGAAAGAAACATAACAACAAGCAAAATAAAGCCATGAAGACAACGGCAATGTGAATCTCCCATTTTGTTGTTGTTGTTGTTGTTGTTGTGGTGGTGTTCTCGTTAATGATCAAAAGGAATATGAATATGCTAATTAGGCTATTTATGGATAATTTTATTTTATTTTAGTTATAATGTGGATGTGGTCGTGAAGTTTTCTCTCCATTTCTCGCTCTCCTTCTTCTTGGCTTTCGGGGGAGTTAGTGAATAACAACAATCCTTTTGACTTTTCTACGATTACATAATAACAGGTTTGCATTTTCAGTAGCAAATAAGAAAATATGTTTCTAACATAAGAGAGTTTAACCGGTTTCACGAAACACATATTCACAACCGCCATTCCATTGATCTTTAGTTTTTGTTCTCTCTGCTAACTGAATTTTGTTATTACACAAAGGCCGGAATTTCATAACTTTCATTTTTTTCTTCGTAATTCTTTCATTGTTCTTTATCATGTGTCTTATTACTTCCAACCAGTCATGTTACATCGATCATTGAAACAAAACTAGTCATACTTGTTTAGTGTTTGACTCGAGACATCTCAAACTAGATCGATTGCATGAAGCTTAAAGATTGATTTAACTTTGCCAAGATAGTTGATTTTGTAAAATTATGGTGAGCATATTTTATTGTTAATTAGTTATACATACACACTAGCCATATAATGATACAAAGAAGTTGGAGGAACTTTTATCACAAACCTCTCAGGAATTCAAGAAGAGGGTGGTTTAGGGTTGCAAGAGCGTACTCTAACATTTCCAGCAAAGTGGTGGAAAACCACTGCTTGATAGGGCTTTGTCTGATTACCATCAGAAGGATCATTGACTTCGAAAGAGATGTAGTAAGTACTTCCAGCAGATGGATGAAAGTTTGCCCTCAAAATCTTGCCCAATTCCAGACTTGTTCCCTACCACCAAACCAAAAAACAACAACAACCCCATAAAACAACAATCAAATTTCGAAACAGAGTCCAAAAAAAAAAAGTAAGTCCTAACGTTTTCATCGTTGAGCTTGGCGAGAGCCCGATTGGACAACATGGCCATTAAATCTCTGTTTTCGTCAGCCATTTCAATGTCGTCCAGATCCAATGATTGCCAATCAAAACAGTTGCGAAATTTCGAGAAGTCGATTTCATAACCCTGCAATGCAGAGAATCAATATTTCTTGAAAGAAAGAAAAAAAGAAAAGAAGAAAATTGGAAAACCCCTAACCCCGCCCTTCCTCATCTCTTGGTTGAAGAATTCTAATTGCTCGTAGTAATCATCGTCGCTATCATCAGAGGTTGTTTCCTCCACCTTCTCACGCTTCGGGGAAGGTGGTACATCGGATCCGATCGGCGATGGCATCACTCCAATCACAGATATGAGAGACTTATGTGCAACAGTGCAAGGAACCCTAGCTTTCTTTTTTTTTTGGTGAGCGGAACCCTAGCTTTCTTTCTTCCCGATTCTTTTTTTTTTTTTTTTTTTTTTTTTTTTTTTTTTCTTTCTTCCCGATTCTTGTCTTTGCCCAATTTTATTTTATTTTATTTTATTTCAAGTTTTTACCACTAGGGTAAGAAAAGAATCTGTAAGTTTTTAATATCCAAATTTTTAATTGAAATTCAAAATAAAAATCCAAATTTATTAAATTCTTATAGGATAAGACTTTGTCTTTTATTAAGTTTTAACAGTTAGCCTATTCGAACCCACTCAAATTAATTTTTAACATGTGGTTAATTGAGGTTATATAAAGATAACAGTGTCCTAATCAATCTCCCCCCATATATATATATATCTTCGATTGTGAGACCCAATCCTAAATTTGCTTCTTCTTTTTTGCACAATGAATCGATAAAATAGTGAGCCAAAGTTCTGGATCTTATGCAAATTCGGTGAACCGGTGCTGAGGTTTTTTTAAACTGTGGTACAACGACGACAGTTGTTAAAGCATGGACAAACGGTAATCTGGAAAGAAGATCTTCATATGTGTTGTTCATGAATTTTCGATTAGACAAATGAAGATAAACGATATGGACCATATGGTTTGCTTAAGCTAAGCTTATTTTTTAAGCTAAGCTTATTAGAAGCTAAAGATGAGCTTCGTCAACAGAAAGAAAAAATTAAGATGCTTAAAGAATCTCTTAAAATCATAAATAAATAAGATGTGAGTAGTGTGAACAATACGTTAATGAATAAATACGAGTAAGAGAAGAACTAACTTGAAATGAAGTTATGACAATTAATGAGAAGAAAAAATGATTCGACAGTTTCTCGTGTTGTTTTGGAAAGGTTACGAGACTGGAAATTGAAGTGGATTCAAAAATAGTAACTGGTTTATAAGACAGAGATTATTAATTTTCATTCACTGTCATTTTTGATACGTTTTTGTGATATCAAAGGATTAGATAGTGCATATAAGTTATGTGTATAAAAAATTTCGTTTAGTTGATAGTTTAGATATAGGAGTATTATGTAAATAATACTTAGTTAAAGGTCTAAATTAATGTAATTTAGTTAAGTATTAGCTTAACCCTATTCTCCTTAACTTAGCAAAATGTATTTTCATTTGGATTTTTATTCGTTTGAGTCTATTTTTCAGAACTTATTCCTTTGATTTTGTTAAAAAATACCGATGAAGCTATGTATCCACGATATGTTGGACTGTAGTTTATTTTCTTACTTTTTTTCTGAATAAATTGGAGACAATAATTGTCTCTTCCCTTCGACCAAAAACAAGAAAGAAAGAAAAAAGAAACACCCAAATTTTAATACTCGTACTACAGAATTTAGAAGTATGGGAGCCGACCACAATTGCTTCCTTACATGTTAAGTCCAAGCTCTCTCGATGCATGAAAAGCCCACGTGGCATGGTTCCTCGATAGAACGATCTTGTTAGATACGTGTCGGGCAAAATGATATTTGGGAAGATAAGTAGGAAAATAAGGAAAATACCAGAACATACGTGGCAGCTTTTGCTTTATCAAAGTCATCACGTGGCATCTCATTAGAACCAAAACACTTGCTATAAAACCAACAAGCAGCTCTAAATACTTCATTAACACGACGAGTATTCGAGAAAAGAAATCTTTCTTAAAATTTTCTTGGAATCCAAGCAAACAAGAAACAAATCATGGCATCAGGACAACGTGAGGCAGAGAGGTCCGCGAAGGCCGAGAGAGCTGAGGCTGCGGCGAGTCTAGCGGCTGACGATTTGAAAGATATCAACAAAGGTGATGTGACGTACAAGGTAACGGAGAGGACAACAACTACCGAGCCGGAGAGGCCTGGGCTGCTAGGTTCAGTGATGAAGGCGGTGCAAGGAACGAAAGAAGCAGTGATCGGTAAAAGCCATGATGCGGCTGAGTCAACGAGAGAGGGAGCCGAGATTGCATCGGAGAAGGCAGCGGGGATGAGAGACGCCACAGGAGAGAAGGCCGGAGAGGTTAGAGACAGTACTGCTCAGAAGACTAAGGAAACCGCAGATTACACGGCCGATAAGACGAGAGAAGCTAAAGATAAAACGGCTGACAAGACTAAAGAAACCGCAGATTACACGGCCGATAAAGCGAGAGAAGCTAAAGATAAAACGGCGGAAAAGACGAAGGAAACCGCAGATTATACGGCGGAGAAGGCAAGAGAAGCTAAAGATAAAACGGCGGATAAGATGGGTGAATACAAAGATTACACTGCGGAGAAAGCAAAGGAAGCCAAAGACACGACGGCTGAGAAGATGGGAGAGTACAAAGACTACACGGTGGATAAGGCGAAAGAAGCTAAGGATAAGACGGCAGAGAAAGCAAAGGAAACCGCGGATTACACCGCGGATAAGGCGAGGGAAGCAAAAGACAAGACAGTTGAGAAAGTGGGCGAGTATAAAGACTGTACGGCCGAAAAGGCGACGGAAGGGAAAGATGCGGGAGTGAGTAAGATTGGTGAACTGAAAGATAGTGCGGTGGACACAGCCAAGAGAGCTATGGGTTTCTTCTCGGGCAAGACAGAGGAAACCAAACAAAAAGCCGTTGAGACTAAAGACACGGCCAAGGTAATATTTTAGCAGAGTAAAATGACTTAGCCATGAATGTATTTAGATATACTTTGTTGGTTAGTAAAATGACGTTTTGTCGCTTATCAATAGGAAAAAATGGAGGAGGCGGGAGAAGAAGCGAGGCGGAAGATGGAAGAGATCAGACTTGAGGGCAAAGAACTTGAAGAGGATGCTTCTAGAAAGACACAACAGAGCACCGAATCGGCTGCTGACAGAGCCCAAGAGACTAAAGATTCCGTAGCCCAAAGGTATAAGAAATGATTTCTTGAAAAGATTTGATCCAAGGGTCGGAATTAGTGGATGTGTTGATAATAGTTGTTGGAATTACTGTTTGTAGAGGTGAAGAAGGAAAGGGAAGTATAATGGGTGCGTTGGGGAACATGACCGGAGCCATAAAGAGCAAGCTGACTGGTGCTACGACGCCATCTGATGAAGAGACACTCGCAGCGGCACGTGGAGACGAAGGCACAGGGAAAACAACTGTGACTGTTGACGTGAAAGATACTAGGCCTGGACAGGTGGCAACGGTACTGAAAGCGGCGGATCAGATGACCGGTCAAACTTTCAACGACGTTGGAGAGATCGATGAAGAGACAGGGAAAGTGAAAGTCGTCGTGGGAGAGAAAGGGAAGCTGGGATAAACTTAAAAATATACGTTTTGTGGTTTTCTGTAAAACGAAGATAACAAGTTTTTCTTTTCTCTCTGTTATGTCTTTTTCAACTTGACTTGTAATAAAACTACTACTGTTTTTGCATATTTGATTTGATTTTCGTTGTGAATAAGAAATCTACTTAAGGGTGTTATAACACACTAGCACCAAAGCGGAGACTGGACTTGCACAAAAATTTGGAACAAAGCAGTCGGGAGTCGGAAACAGAGTCGGTGGTTTTATAAGATCATATACTCAAATCAAAGATATGTTAAATTAAATGTGAATAATTGGTATTGGATTCGTAGAAGTACACAAACAAGATACCACTACATATATGAAATTGTTCTTTCTATTAAACAGCTTGAGTGGTACACAGAATCAGATATGGAACAGACAAATCTCAGAAGTCAAAGTGCTTGCTTAAGAGTGGAGCTTTGGCTCATACCTGGTTTAGAGTCCGAGGATGATATGGCAACGTTTCCCATTTTAACTTCCACAGCTTCTTGCTCCTCATTCTCCCTCTTCTTCTTCTCTGTATCAAGCTTATCTTCGGAATTTTGGTCTTTAGGTGAGAGTGAGGGTTTTAGAGAGCGGGGACCAGAGTTGATCCACGGATGTAACAGACACTGAGCCGCAGTTGGTCGTTTCTCTGGGACAAAATCAAGAATCGAAACAAGAAAATCACTCAAGTCATTTGCATCTTGCTCGCTGAACTCGTACTTCTCAGTCAGGACTTTGTTCATGGGCCAGAAACGCAGTCTTCTGATGTGTCGAAGATCACCATGCCTGTTAAAGAAATCTCTGGAATAACGGCCTCCCAATGCTATCTGCAAAACACAATAGAGAAAGTGTTGTGAATTATGATTCCTCGAAACAAATTTCTTAGTAAAATGATAAAACTATCTGCTGATGATTATATTACCTTGCGTGGCATCATCCCAAGAAGCTCCATCATCAGAGCCAAGTGGTCCTGTTAACAGAAAAGCCAATTAGATTTTCAAAACTAGCATCAAAGAAAATTGAAAGGTTCTGAAAAGCATATCCACGCTAAGATCCCACAAAACACGAGAAGAGAAAGCCAAAATATGTAGAAACCATAAATGCACACAGCAAAAAGACAGCAGGGAACTTCAGCATACCTCATCTCTATCATAATTGTCTCCACTATGGGGATCGAATAGTACATCTCCAGTGGCAAGTTCAAAACATATGCACGCAAATGACCAGAGATCTGCTGATGTAGAGTATTTAGATCCAAGGATTACTTCTGGGCACCTATACTGTCTCGTTTGAATGTCGCTTGTGAACTGTTTGTATGTCCAACATGCGTTACCAAAGTCAACCAGTTTACACTTGAGGTCAGCAGATGCCACAAGGTGCCTTCTACTCGATCGACTCCCTTTCTTACCACCTTGCTTTCCTTTCTCGCTACCATCTAATCCATTTGTGTCAGAAGTAGAAGGACAATCTTCTTCAACCGATTTTTCTGCAGCTATTGGTTTTCCATTAACCGGTGATCCCACTCCACGAACTTTGTCAGATTCAGTATTGCCCTTACTCTCTGCATTTCCATGAACCGAAAGCTTTGCCTTTCTATGACTTCCTGTCTTTTGATTCTTAACAAAATCCCCATTGGAGTCAACAACTGTCTTATCCTTATCAGTGGGGAGAACAAGAGGAGCTCCAGACTTCCTCGGATCTTTAGATGGATCAATAGTCGACGGTAACAAAACATTCTCAGGCTTAAGATCCGTATGTATAATCGAAAGCTGTTTATGCAAGTAGTCTAAACCAACCAACATATGATAACAAATCTCCTTAACCATCGGAATAGGCAAGCCACGGTAATCAGAATACTTAATCAGCGTTAAGAGATTATCTCCCAAATACTCAAAAACCATACATACATGCTGCCCATTCGGACCTGAGTGTTTGAAATGATCCAAAAGCTTCACAACACATTTGGTATCATCAGTGTCTCCCTCTGCAATCTGTTGCAATATAGTTATCTCATCCATGGCAGCTTCAGTATAATGCTGAGCACTCTTTTGCACCTTCAAAGCCACATATCTCTGTACATTCGAAATACGAGTAAGAAATCACACAAACAAAGCAACCAAAAAGGAATCTCTAAAGCATTTCATCTAACTGTTTAAACATCTAATTAACAACGAATTAGAACCACTTCCATGTAAAGATTAGCTTCAAGCAATTCGTATGGCGAGAGAGAGAGATAGAGATGCGTACAGAGAATTGAGTATCCCAAGCGAGCCAAACAGTAGAGAAATGACCCCAACCGAGTTTGCTCTGAACAACATACCGGCCGTTTTTGAATGAGTCACCGATCCGAACAGCGTGGTAACCGCCGCGCCGGTAATCCTCCGTACCTTCGTCCTCAGACGTGTATTCACCGCCGTCGCTGTTCCACTTCTCCACCTCCATATTTACTAAATCTAGACGCAACAGGAGACAAACTAATCTCTCAACTCTTGGAATATCCGGCGACGATTGAATCCAATTTTTTGGATCTCTCTCTCTCTCTTTTGATTTGATTTGATTTTTCTGGAAGCTTGTGCAGAGAGCTTAGCTACTTGTTCAAACTTTGATCTACCTTCACGAAACGTCACCGTTTCCTCTACCCTCGTCGGCTATGGAAAATAAAATTATTGGAGGAGATGCTGACGTCATCACTCCAAAAATATAAGGGCAAACAAATATATGGGCCTATTATTGGGCTTAAATTTTGGGCTAGTATAATTTATATAAACGAAAATGGCTTTGGGTTGAAATGTGAAGTGTCGTTGTAGTCTCTTATATATAAGCGTCGATAGAATTAGGGTTTACGGGAGCAGCCTGAGCAGGAGGAAGAAGAAGACGAAGAGGAACAACATCAGCAGCCATGGTTCTCAAGTAATCAAATCTGACCTCTCTCTCTCTGAATTCGCCCTTTGTTTCAATCGGATTTTTTATCTTTACTTTCTAGTTAGTTTGGTAGTCGAATCTGGGTAATTTCGTGGGTTTCTATTAGAGGATGAGATTGTGTTCTGCAGTAATTGGATCTTGCTCGAAATGTTTGATGAGTTATAAAAGTATGAAACTTGTCGCTGGAGCTATAATTAGTCTTGATTTGGTATAGGATGATTCATTTCTATCATTTGCTTGTGTTTTGTCTAGTTGTTATGTCTCATTCGTTTGTTATGTTTGGAATACAGGACAGAGCTTTGTCGTTTCAGTGGCCAGAAGATTTACCCAGGAAGAGGAATTAGGTTTATCCGATCTGATTCTCAGGTTAGCTCTCTTTTATCAATCTTGAGCTTATCAAATTGATGTGTTTATACTTTGCAAATGTTTTGGTTTTTAGTGTCTTAATTGTTGGTATTGTTTTTCATGGTTGATCAGGTTTTCTTGTTTGCTAACTCAAAGTGTAAGAGGTACTTCCACAATAAGTTGAAGCCATCCAAGCTTTCATGGACTGCCATGTACAGAAAGCAACATAAGAAGGTAAAATACTTTTAGTGATTTGGTTCTGTTTTGCGTCTGTACTTTGGTTTTTGACAGTGACCTTGAGTAGTAAACTTCTAAAAGCTCTGTTCATTTTATAGGATGCAGCGCAAGAGGCTGTGAAGAGAAGAAGACGTGCGACCAAGAAGCCATACTCAAGGTCCATTGTTGGTGCTACCTTGGAGGTGATTCAGAAGAAGAGAGCTGAGAAGCCAGAAGTTCGTGATGCTGCCAGAGAAGCTGCGCTGCGGTTAGTTTTCTCTCTCCCTCTCTCTCTCGAATCATTCAACTAGAATCAAAATTGTTATATTTGAGAACAGTATATGACTTGTGATGATGATTAAACAGTGAGATCAAGGAAAGAATCAAAAAGACCAAAGATGAAAAGAAGGCAAAGAAGGTGGAATTTGCTTCTAAGCAACAGAAGGTTAAGGCAAATTTCCCCAAAGCTGCTGCTGCATCAAAGGGTCCTAAGTTGGGAGGTGGTGGTGGCAAACGCTGAAGAGCTTAAGCCATATTTTCTCACTCTGTGTCTTTTCTGCTAGTGGCTACTTTTACTAGTTAATGTTGATTTCTGAATATTCTGCAAAACGTAAACCTTGTTATTTCGCTTTTGTCTCTTACTTTTGCTACTCTTATAATATCAGACTTGAGAATTTTCCTGCTTATGAACTTCATTTCACTGATCTCTCTTGTCCTCTTATTATTAAAATCAAAAAGAGTTCGTTTTTCCTATAAATCTTTATAGAACATTGTTTAATATGTTGCTAATACAATGTCATATCATTCTCTTAGAAGAGAAGTCGATTCTTATTGGTGTAAACTATGTTGATACACAATGTCATATCATTCTCGTACGTTCCAATAGCTGATTCTTGCTGCAACTACTGAGCAAACAGCAATCTGGTTACGTATCTTTATGGTCTTTTGCTAGAATCAATGCAGGATTGTTGTGCACATGTGGACAACCTCAATTGTTACAGATTGCATCAGAACTGAAGTTGCAGTGTGAGGAACAGAATGAATATTGATTCAGTTTTTCACTATTCAACTAATTCATTTCAGCAAGATTTATGTTATTGGCCAATAACTTTAGCAATAAATTTACTTGTGGAAATTTTTCACGGGGCCAAAACATAACATATGTCGGAGGAGAAATATTTTGTTCATGCATGATCCTTGTCCCCCAAAATGCCATACTCTCACTCAAGTACATTTCGATACATTCGAGATATGATAGAAAATTGCTGTGCCTTATGTTCGATTCTATTGTATAATAAAACTAAGTTAAATTTTAAAATTTTTGGATAATGGGTGTTAATTATTACTAAAACTTTGGGGATGTATATAGTTTGTATATAAGTATGAAATCCATATAATTTGTTGAAACAAAAACGTTTGCTAAGTTTATAAATTTTTTTTTATGAGTTTACTTTATTAATAAAATTATGCAATTTAAAACCGAAACGATTTTCTTTGGGTTAGGTTATATATTACGAAATGGGCATGTGAAACACTATATAAAGGAAGGAAGTAAGAAGAAGAAAATTATAACTCTACCACATTACCACCATTCTTACACCTTTCTTTTTCTTTGGTTCCTCTTTTGGATATCTACGGTAATACTTTATCAACCAATTAAGGGACTGTGGTCTTTGTTTGCGACCCATACGTAATCTTTTGTGGAGATTATGAAAACAGTCTTCACGAGAGACTACGTGTGGGTGGCACACAAAGACGACAATCCCTATTCCAGTTCCATCAGAACTTGAAAAATCATGTGAACTCTTGTGTCCCAACAGACACTTTACTCACGGAGATGAAACTTGTTTGTTAAGTGGGCATAGAGAAACAACCGGCCTCAATAAGTGCTAAGGCCATGGAAAAACGTGGACTGATCATCTACATTCCACATGAGCCTCGGTGGTAGCCCTCGCAATGATCTCAGTAGAGTGCATGCCAAGTTCTTGTAAAGACGTAGATGAGGACTCCTCAGATGTTCATGTCGAATGTAAGATGATGTATGTTAGAGTTTCTTACAACGCTACATCGTTATTGATCTCGTCTGTCCCTAGCTAGAATCAAGATGGGATCTTATATGTGACTATCAAAACTCATAATGATTTTGGTTTAAGAGTATTCGTCAGGCCAACATGATAGCCTCACGATTTTAATTTTGATTGTTGGTTCTTGTTATGCTTCTTCTGAGTTTTGTCATGTTCTGGTTTTGGAAAAATAAACTAGAAGTAGGGATGTTGTCGTGGGTAAAAAAGCCCGGCCCAGCCCGAACCCGAATTGAGCCCGCCCACGAAAAGCCCGAATTTAGAAAACCCGATGGGTTTTGGGTTTTAATGGGTAAACCCGAAAAAGCCCGATGGGTTTCGGGTTAGCCCGTGGGTACCCGAATTTTTATACTTCAGTTTTATTCATAATTATAAATATTTGTATTTTATATGTATTTGTATTTTATTTGCTTTAATTTATTAATTATAATACAAAGACATAAATTAACTCTTCTAATACAACATTTGAAACTATTAATCTTTGTAAGTGAATTCAATTCATACCAAAAAAAAAGTGAATACAATTTATTAATCTTTATAAATTAAATTAGATAAACATTCTTTAAATTAGTTTCTATATCAAAATCAGGTACAAAATTTGCAAAGATAGCAAACGTCAAAGAGATGTGATCCACTTCTTTTATAAAAATTATACTTAAATTTGACTCGTCTTCATGAATCCAGTATCTGGAAAATCAGGTTTTGAAAACCACCCACGAAAGCCCGTACAGATACAAAGTAAAAAACCAAAACTAAGATTCACAAAATCGAGACAAAAACTAATTTGATACAATGAAACTGTCAATTTCTAATAACCAATAAACAGAGATATATGTTTATAAAATACAATCCCCAGCTCACCTTGAAAAGAGTCCGAATTAAGAATTGATTCCCAACAATGGAATTTTTTTTTAGGATGAGACGTAAAAAAAAAAGGATGTAAACGATGTCGGTTTAATACAGTCTTTAAAAAACCCGTGGGTACCCATAACCCGATAGGGTAAACCCGTATAAGATTCTATTTATTCGGGTACCCGGCCCGTTTTAAACCCGCGTTTTTTAAATATCAAAAGCAGGTCTATAGGCTTAGTATTTGACGTGGGTTTCGGGTACCCAGTGGGCTAAAGCCCAGTATTAACATCCCTAACTAGAAGTCAAAAACCGCAATTGGAACATCTATAGGTATATTAGTAGTAACCTCCTTTTTATTTTTATCGGTAGAATTTTTTGGTTCATGTCTTGATATGTCTATAACTTCTTTGATATTTTTATCCCTATTAATTGTACACTATATATAATCTGTTCATACCTCAGAATTAATCTTGATCACTCATCTGGCTCTCATTCATTCTCAGACAAATTCGCCCATGATTCTTGAATCTTACCTGCAAATGAAAAATGCAAGCTTGTTGCTTTCTCACAGTGTGTACTCTGTTCCACTTCTATTGTTCCTTGTGAAACAAAGAGCTCAAAACGTTTCTTGAAGAGCCTTCATTTCCTCTTTATTCAGTGGAAGTCATGTGTAATGTATAGAATTTGATGCGAGTAGTTATGTTCAAATATAAAGGCCTTGGTTTGCTTAAAAGGAAATTAAAAAAAAAAACAAATCAAAGCCTGTCTGGCCTACTCTATTTGCAGCTCTATTACACTCTCGGAGTTTGCAAATGATTTGGAAATGCTCCAAAAATTTGTTAATACATTACAACAGGGAAGGCCAAAGACTCGCTCTGACCTAAAGTTCTTTGGTAAAATTCATAGGAATATTCCTAGTACGTATAATTGAAAAAGGAAAAATTGATGATATATTTCAAGGAAGCACTAATTAGTAGAGAAAGAAAAATTGAATCCTATACGAAAAAGAAGTATATAAATAAAAAAAGCAAAAAAGAAACAAAAAGTGAAGAACTCATCACTCACTTGCCCACGCCGTCTTGCATATTCGATCATCATGATCGATCTTCTTCCTCTTATTTTTGGTTTTTAATTAGTTTTTTTTTTCTCATCCAAACACCTCCAATATTTTGGAAAACATTATAGATCTTTAAGAAATTAAACAAATGAATCATTGATGGATTGTACATGTGGCGAGACTGAAAATAGTCTTTTTTTTATATATATATATAATCATGTTTGTGTATGAAAAGGTTTTAGAGTCTATTGACTAATACCAAACCAATTATTCTTCTTTCTGTAAAAAGAAAAACAAGTATTTTTGAAGTGAATAAAAAGAAAGAGACAAAACAGGAAGAAAACATTATTCTGTCTTGCATCTTACTTCGACTCTGATTTGGATCTCAATCTCAATCTTCAAGCTTACTCGAAACAATGGCTAAGATCTTCTACTACTTCTTCATGATCATCATCATTTTTCTTCAATCTCCACCACATCTCCAATCCCAAATGATTCCAAGAAACATTAGCATTTTCATTTTGGCCGGGCAAAGCAACATGGCGGGTCGAGGCGGAGTTTATAACGACACCGCTACAAACACCACCCTGTGGGACGGTGTGATTCCGCCGGAATGTCGATCAAACCCTTCGATCCTCCGTCTCACGGCCAAACTCGAGTGGAAAGAGGCTAAAGAGCCACTCCACGTTGACATTGATGTTAACAAAACCAATGGTATTGGACCGGGAATGTCATTTGCAAACCGGGTGGTTAACCGGTTTGGTCAGGTGGGTTTGGTTCCGTGCTCTATCGGTGGGACTAAACTAAGCCAATGGCAAAAAGGTCAGTTTCTTTACGAGGAAACGGTTCGGAGGGCCAAAGCGGCGGCGGTGGCTAGTGGTGGTGGCTCGTACCAGGCGGTTTTGTGGTATCAGGGTGAGTCCGATACGGTTGATATGGTAGATGCTTCGGTTTATAAGAAGAGACTAGTCAATTTTTTCAATGATCTTCGAAATGATTTACATCAGCCAAATCTTCCTATTATCCAGGTACGTTGCCTACTAAACTTTGTAATGCGTAAAATAGCAGAATATCTCACAGCACTTTATTATTTTGTTGAATGTTGATTATGTTTAGTGATTCCGCAAGTGTACTATAATTAAGCATGGATTTAACTTATTTAATGCATTCCATTATTTCTATTCTTGCTTTTTTTTTTGTAGTTTAGCTTACATAATTTCGTGATTATATTCATTGTTTTAATCCAGGCTGTGGCTAAATATCGTACCAATCCAACTTACAGGGTGTTTTCAAATTGACAGTTTGGTCTTTACCTAAAAATTCTAGAAAGAATCTGATATTTAGTTACATGCTTCTAATATCTTTTTTGTTGTGACCTAAACAACAAAAGGTGGCTCTAGCGACAGGAGCAGGACCATATCTTGACGCGGTGAGAAAAGCTCAATTGAAGACAGATCTTGAGAATGTGTATTGTGTTGATGCCAGAGGCCTACCACTTGAACCGGACGGTTTGCATCTGACCACTTCATCTCAGGTCCGGCTCGGTCACATGATAGCTGAGAGTTTCTTGGCCATTCCCAATTCAGCTCAACCATCACTCTACATGCATTTTTTCTCCTTGTTCTGTTCCCTCTTTGTTTCTTTAAATATTTTTGGAACTATCTTTCATTTTCTGTAACAATTCTTTTCTCTGTTTTGGATCCGTCATGATATTTGTTCAAATTATTCTAGATCATATTTACATGCCACAAAAAAAAAAAAAAAAAAAAAAAAACAGATCATCTTAAATTTTGCTCACTTCATGTATTAAACTAAATTAATCTTTTACGTTTTTGTTCATTTTCTTATAGAATCTGAATATTAGCATTTCAGAATCCAACGAAAAATCCAGATCCAATATAGACAAAGATATATGATCCATACCTGGATCTAAAATATATATAGCCATATTAGGATGTTCTAATTCTTTTAAGTTAATCTGACCTTTCAAAACAAATCTTATTTTGTCCACTCCTACACAACATTATTTTTTATAGAAAAACCAAAGAGGATAAGAAATGTAGATTATACACAAAATGAAAATATCTTGAGTACAGTGTATATTGACATCTTATCACTTTATCAGATAATATAGTTATTTTGATAGTTCAGGTCTTCAGGACTTCAAGCATTTGTATTTTTGGATAAGCTTGATTAAAAGATTTTGAATAATTATATTTTTATATAGCTTAAAATTCGTCCAATCCTATGCATACCATCTATGATTGGATAATAGATATGATATTAAAAAAAAAATGCAAGCACATCACAAAAATAATTAGAAGTAGTCAGACACAAAATAATTTAGATAATCTTGGTTGGATACAGATAGTCACAGAAACATGGGTATACACAAAAGAAAGAGTCCTCTCGCCTAAAATATGTAACAAAATGAGTATGAAATAAAAGAAAAAACTCGATGAAATGCACAATAATAAAATGAAACCGTATCGTCGACTCGATGTACCCTAATTTTGGGAACCAGTAAAAAAACGACGACAAAACCACTAATAAGAAATGATATTAAACATCAGTCATTAATATTATACCTTGAAAGAATCAAAAGCTTTTGGTGTTTTGGTATGTTCTTTCACATCACCAATTGGGTTTATGAAGACTGAATCAACGCATAACCCGCCTTTCGAGTGTGTGCAGTCAATCTGTTTCATCGACCATTGGATTTCGGTCGATGGTTCTGATCCACTCACTATGAATTCTCCAACCCTATAGTTGATCCAACAACCGCGTTTGTGTTGCTTGAGTGCTTCGTCTCTCTCTACGTCGTCCAAGTAATATTCACATGATGCTTCTTGACCATCAGAAGTTGAAAGCGAAAACCTTACCGGCTTTAAATCCCAACCATGAGTGTGTTCAAAGTGGCACACACGTCTCCCTAACCTTTTTGTGAATCTCCCTAAATGGATTCTGAATGATAGAGAGTATATACCAGGTGGGAGATGGAACCTCACTGTTCCATCAACTTCAAACCACCAAATCTGCTGTAAGTAGGCTACAACATGGAACCTGTTCAAGGGAAGATTAAAAAAGGATTTTTACTTTTTGTTCGAACACAACCAAAAACATAAAGCACCCGTTTGAAGTTTTATGGTATAAAGCAGTCTCACACAAAACCTGATGCAGAAATATGTCACTGTCGAGGAAGAATCATCACTACAATAACACCTCAAATCCATAATCATAAAGATTAGGTAAGAACACTAATTATCTATATTAGCTACTCATCAAAACTCAAAAGCAGAATCACAAAGAGAAATCAGGCCATTAATCAAAGAGTAACCTTCACACAAACTTCTCAAATCTATTTTTTTTATATACTTAAGAGATCATTATTCAAGCAAGACCTAAGAAACAAAGTATCAACAGCTCATGAAATTCAAGTCAAATGACATTACCACAAACAAGATTCTTGACACATACTTGTTGATCTTTCTAAAATTCAATTTGAGATTCAAATCAAGAAGCGTTTGTTCTATAGTACCTAGATTCTTCCGTCGGAATCCAGTTCCAATATCTCCGGTCTTCAATTCCAGTTATAGCCATTCCTCTCGCAGAAATTGCCATACAAACTCGTCCTGTAACTCTATCAATCCATAGTTCCTGGAAAAAAAAACACACAGAGTTCAATTTGAAACTGTCTTCATAGAAAATTCATCCAAACCAAATCAAAACCCTAATTCCCAAATCCAATACATCAAAATCACAATCAATCCCTAAACTCCCAAACAATACCTTATTATCATCATCAAAGGGAATTGGACGAGAGAGCACAGCGAAAATATCCTTCTTCGAGAGACTATGATACCTCTCCGGCGGCAATAAATCAAGCAGATCCTGATAATTCGCCGGAAGCTTCTTCTCCCAAACAGAATCCGAAGAAGCCGCACCACGAAACGAACGATTCAATCCAGCCAGATTGCAAATCTCCGGCGGAGTCAGATACATAAACACACAAGCGACGCAACTTTCCGGTATATCGCCGAGACCAGGTCCCATAGCCAAACCATTCGTCCCGTCGTTTAGATTCGACAAGGACGAACCCATACCTCTCTCTCTATCTCTCTCACAAACCTCGCTCTCGTTCTAATAGTTGACCGAAGTTACGCAAACACACACAGAGCTCCGTACACGTGTAATCACAGAAACACGCGTAATCGATGAATCTCGATAGCCATGGCGGCGAAGATAATATCTATTAAGCTTTCTATAAATGTATTGCTCTCTTTCTCAGTGGTGATTTTTCTCGGAAAATCTTGGAGGAGAGACGAGAAACGGAGAAAGTGAGGGAAAGAGAGAGTAGTATTAAAAGAGAAGAAAATAAAAATGAATAATGGTGACGTGTGAAAGGCAAGATCCAACGAAGGTTATAGATGACACGTGGCGGCACCGAACAATCGTGAAAAGTCCGTTTGATTTGGTGTAAAGCATTTGGATGTAATGTTTAATTACAAGACTCCAAAATAAGATTCTTCCAAAATATGTATTTTTTTTTTCTAAGGTCTTATACGTGTAACACTGCGGATGTTGTAACTTTGATTTCGTTGTAATCATCACTCGTGTGATTAAATAAATAAGTAGTTCTTACAAGTTTTTACTCTTATCGAATTTATCGAACATTTTAAAACAAAAGTACAATGGTCAATTCTTAGATAATTACCCATCTTTTATGTGCCAATATTTATGATCTTCATTCATCCTACTGCAAAACATACTTAAAGAACCCATATTTGTCTGAACTCTGAACTTATTTAAAAGTTTTAATTTATTTATGTGGTGATTAACTATGTCTCTTAGTTGTATACATGTAGATTATGAAGATATTTTCAAGTTATTAATAATTTTCATGTAGGGTCTTGCATGTTTGTTAGTTTTGTGATATATATTTACTCCATGTGATTAATATTGGGATTGAGATCAAACATAAATGTATAGACTGAGACCATTTGCTTGCTTTAATCATAATTTGCAACGAGTTGTTGTAATATGTGGGAGCATCGTTATCACTCCGACAGGAGGATTGTTTATGGATGGGAGAGTTGGGGAAAAAATCAAAGAGAAGTCAAAATTAAAAAAAACGTCATAATTATTTTTATGGATTCATCATTCATAAATCATAACTCATGATCGAGCATGAATGACTATCTTTTTCTAGAGAAAAGACTAATCGAGGAAAAGATCTTAATTCATTGTCAAACCAACCATAGAACTGTTGGTCCCCAAACTTAAGCATGCAAAGACTAATTAAAATTAATTGAAAACCAACCATATAAATTGAAACACAGCTAAAAATAATAATTGATATAAGACAATAAAAGACTATTTAGGTGGTGTACAACGAATTGTATTGTTTAAATTGTGTTTATTTGGTCATATTTTAAATCATACTCCCTCCGTATCAAAAATATTGATTTTATAGAGTTTTCACACTAACTAAGAAAAAATTGAATGTTTAGTTATAAATGCACAATTTATTTATACCAAACCATTTTTCATAGCTATTAACCAATAGTAATTCATCAAATTTTAAAATTCTCAATTAATGATTCTTGAAATTCATAATTTATTAACATTAATTGATAAAAATTTATAGAAAATCAATTTTTTTGATACAAAAACAAAACCTCAAAAATCATTCTTTATGATACAGAGGGAGTACATAACAAACTGACGACGCAATCACTAACAAATAGCTATACATAAGTACATAATTGAGAAGAAAACCCTAATATAGTAAACGAGTGAAAGAAAAACGGTAATGGTGTATAAGGTCAAAGGTTAATACAACTTAACGAACCAAAAAGACTCTTGTTTCTTTTGTTTTGTTCTTGCCTTAGATATTTTTATTTTCTGATGGGTTTTTCCAATACAAATTCTGTATGTATTCTCATTTAACAATGAAAACGATTATCAACCACCAAATTTTCTCCTCACTATATTTTTTTCTATTTTAATTTCATTTCACGACAAAAATCAGAAAATAAAACAATAATTAATTTTGGAAAATGATATAACTTCGTATTTAGGATATTTGACCGCAAGAAAAGAGAAAATAGTCTAAAATGATAGAATTGTATAACAGATCGAAGAAACAGGGAATGTAACAGCTTATTATAAAATTGCTAGGCATTGTATACTTTTATCATATGCTTAAATTTGAAAATAAGAGAAAGCCTTAGAGACATCAAATCTCCTAAGTACAAAAAAACCAAAAGTCCCGGAGATAATATATCCACTCCGGCAATGGGAGTCATCAATTCAAGGCAACCCAAACAAAATGCAGCCAATTTTATAATGTTTTGCGAGGCAAAAGTTAATCCTCAAGCTCGATAATCTTAACCACAGATGCATCACCAACTTTCTGACACACCACTACTCTGTCATGCGACTTGATAACTCCAGCATGCTTCCCATGGTCTAGAGCAACCTTCAGTACTGACTCGTTTGTCGCACTTGTAGATTCCGCCTTAAGAAATAGCAAAATTTCATTAAAACACTTAGAGATGATATTGGCCCAAAGGCACTAGTCTTGGAGATGATATAAGTGTACCACATATAGAGTATCCACATGTTTCTTCAATAGAGAGAAAGGTGTAATATGCAATAGAAGAAAGATAACAAGACTTACAGGGTGACGAGGGTCAGCAAGCATTGGGAAGAGGCCTCTGACAATAAGTGACTGCCTCGCCTGATAAGAGACACGGGTTAACCTTGTAAGAGATTGGCATGAATGTAATAATCTCTAAACTTGGGAGACCAGAGGGGAAACATACCTCAAAAGCTCCACTAAAGCTCCATTTCAGCTGATTTGTCTTAACCCGGGGAATGACAACAGAAATAACCGGCATCGTTGGCCTGTATTTGGCAATCAACCTGCATGGAGATCAAATGAATAACGATTCATTAGAAAAATATGAATAGATCAAACGAAATTAACAGTTGAAAAGGAATGCTATGAACCTGGCTGCTCTTCCAGAAGAGGTGAAGCATATAATCACGGATGCCTTAACCTTGATGGCTGCCCGTACCTGATCAAGTGTGTAATATAAGCCAGATTAGAAATTGTGATGGCAATTTGTCTCTTCAAACCAGAAATTCTGATCATTTCTTATGTCTCTGCAACACAAAAGACAGACTTACAGCTGAAGAAGCAATGGATTCCAAGTGAGTCATCGGTTCTCCAACATACTTGACAGTCTTCTTGAAGTACAAATCTTGATTGAAAACCTTCTCTGCCTACGAATAAGTAAAGAAACTGTGTCAGAGAAAATCAGAAGACAAACCACAACTAGGTTCCATACAGTTGCAAAGATGTGTGGGATTTAAAGACGCAAGTAAGGTAATCATACTAAAGAAATATATCATAAAGCCTACCTCAGCACAGATCCTACCAACAGTTGATATTGTCTCAACAGGGTACAATCCACGAAGGGTCTCAGCACCAAGAAGAATTGCATCACTTCCTGCAGGACAAAACATGGAAGAAGAAATCCCAAGTTATGACAAAAGCCATGATCCAGAGATAAAAATTTCCTTCCACCATTTTATAACACTAACCAAACCAAACAGATTCTGCTATAAAATGTTAGAAGCACCGTAAAAGAAGCACATTCAAGGATAAACATACCATCTAAAACAGCATTAGCAACATCCGTTGCCTCAGCACGAGTTGGACGCAAGTTGTCAGTCATACTGTCAACAACACGGGTAAGAACGGCTGGCTTTCCAGCCATGTTGCACTTGTAAAGAGCAGCCTTTTGAAACAAAAACACCTGCACCAGAACCCACCCAGTAAGTTATAAAAGAGTGTCAAGTTTGGTGCCGCACAAATTAATTTAAAAGACTAACCACCAACATACCTTTTCTGGGGGTAAATCTATACCCAAATTACCACGAGAAAGAATAATGCCGTCAGCTTCTTGTAGAATCTCATCGAAGTGGGTTAGTCCCTAAATAAAAGATTTAAAATCAGTAGCTTCCTCCTCGGTTAAGAAAAAGGATGAATTACAGAGACATAATAAAATAGCAAATATAAATGCATTGCACTTACCTCTACATTCTCAATCTTAGCAAATATTTGTGTTTGAGAGAGGTCGCCCAACTTTTTAAGCATTTCACGGGTCTGTGTTATGAAACAAAAATTGGTTATTGTTCAAGCTTATCAGAAGCTCAGAATTAATAGCGCATACACATAGAAGTATGACAACAACTGAAAGGCAGCATAAAAATACAGACCTGGCGAACATCCTCCGCATGACGACAATAAGACAACGAGAGAAAATCGATTTTATTTTGAACTCCCCATGTGCTTATAACCTAGAAAATCAAAACAATCTGGTCAAACACTCTGACAGAAAATATGTATTATAAAGGGAGTAAAGTGAATCGCTGAGATTTGCAGATTAGAAGTAACTCTGACCTCCTTATCCTTCTCTGTGAGAGTTGGCAGATCGATATGAACTTGAGAGGCATGTAAAGTGAAAAGAGAACCAGCCAGAGTAGCAGCATTCCTTGACAGGCAAATGACATCATCTCCTTTAACTTCATCAACCTGCAGGTTCGTTTGGGAGGTGGGTCTTACAATATATCCATCTAAATGTCTAAACTTTAACACAGAGAAACCATCAAAAGTAAATTTGTAAGCTTCATTATTTTATACCTCAAGCCAAACTGAAGTTGTTTCACTACCAGTGAAGAGGTATTGTCCAACAAAGATAGTATCTCCTTTCTTCACTGCCTGAAAACATCAAACAAGAACACCCATCACACGTCTATATTAGTAGCCACTAAACCATTGATTACATATAATAATAGCATCTCATTCTATAAGGGTCATAGAGAACCTTGGCAAGCCCATTGAAATTAATGGGAAGAACTTCAGAAGAAGCTTCTTGGTCTTGATTCGGTGTCAAAGTTACAAGACCATCAGCTTTCAAACTAATAGCTTTCTCAGATTTGTTAATAACTTGGAGTTCAGGTCCCACAGTATCAAGCATAACCTGAAAAAAACCAGAAGACATCTCAAGCTCAGATACATATAGCAAACAAAAAAAGATCCACCAGACAAAAAAATCAGAGAAGTGAAAACATACAGCACAAAGCTTCTTAGTGCTCCTCACAGCAACCTTGAGATTATCAAGTGTCTCCTGGTGATAATCAGCATCTCCCCAAGAGAAATCGAATCGAGCCACTAATGAAAGAACATGAAGTAAGTATCAGTGAGACGAATCCAAATCAAGTTAGCAAAACACAAAAAGAGAAGTAATCGGTTAGTACCAGACATGCCGGCTTTGAGACAGCCGGAGAGAGCTTCGACGGATCGGGATTTAGGACCGAGAGTTCCGACGATCTTAGTCAATGCCGGGAAGAAACTCTGAGAAATACATAAAAAGAGATCAGAGAAACCTCAACAACAAAATTGAATCCATGCGAAATTGCAAATCGATGAAGAAGAACTGGGATACTAAAGCACCGAGCAGGGAAAGAGAGAGCTCACAGATTTGGAAGGCTCGAGGATTGAAGCCATCCTGATCGGCTCCTCGAGAAGAAGATGACTGGAATGCATCTTCGGTGACGGAAGTGGAAAGAGATCTCAGATGTTCGACGGCGACGAGAGAGAAACGGAGAGTGAAAATTCGACGGAAGAGGTTTGGTGACCGTCGAATATGCTTTCTTCTTCTTCTCCGAATAAATAAACAAACACCGTTCAATGATATCTGACGCAACGGAAGACAAATATATAAATGATAAACAAAAAGGTTAAAAAGGAAATTGATGTCACAAAAAAAAAAAAAAAGGAAACAAGTCGACGCTTTTTTCCTTTTCTCTTTAACCTAAACATTCTCAGTTTAATACAATTTATACCCCTATGTTTTTTCTTATTTTCTTAAACCCTAATGTTCTCTTTGTTTTTTTTACCATCACTTTCACTTATGTAAAAAGTAAAAACATCTGGTTATTCTTTTTTTTTGGTATATTTTGTTCAAATCTCTTCAATTTATGTATCTAAATATCTACATTCATTTCAATATCAAACAATATGCTAAAACATGATAGTCATCGTCCATTTGTAAAAATAACAAAAATAATTGTTCCAAATTTTATTTATTTTTTCTATATATCTTTCAAGTTCGATCCAGACTTTATTTATTTTTGTCAGCAAACAGAAACAATCTAACAACCTTATGATATCTTATTTTTATTTTTATTTTGTTTCTCATTTTAGTCCTTAACTACCTGATAATTGGTTGAGAAACTAAAACATATGCCTTAAATTAAAATCAAGCTAAAACTAGAGGGAGTGGAAACGAATATTAACTATTTAAGTGTACACCGTAAAATCCAGATCCGCAATTACCAAGACTATGAAGGACTAAAATCGTAAAGATCTCGAAGCCACGTGGACGATCTTTCATTAACGTAATTGATTTCTTATTTCCAAGTTTTATTTCGTGGAGAAGGGGTTAAAATAATCACCACGCGCATCTCTTAGCGCTTGTGTAAGAATCTGGTCGGCTAGGAGTTGTTATCGAAACGCTAAAAATGCGCGTCAGGTACATGGTCACTGGTAAGTATCGCATGTTTATGGAACACGAGAAGAAGAATATAAATGGGGATCCTATAAATGGTGGCTCACGTCAAAATTTATTAATTTTTGTTTATAATTTTTCTTGGGTCAACATTACTATTATTTTGTTGGGTAATTCGCAACAAGATTTTCCAGATTGTTGTCAAAAAAAAAAAAAAAAATGGATTATAGCCTTCGAATTATAGCATTTTCGAATGTTATGATTTATCGATTTATTTTTGGTCCACGTTTTTCATCCATGTTATTGATCTTATTGAGTATTGACTACACAATACATATGTGTTCAACATTCATAAGATTTTTTTCATACCGACTATTCATCGTTGGTGGCGATATTTTCTTAAGTATGTGAACCTACCCATACACTTCTCTAAACCTTGTTCGTAAAACTAGACGGAATTGTCATATGATACAATGAAGTATGATCCAGTCTTGCATAACAAAAGTTATTAAAAAGAAAACAATAGAAAACTAAACCATCATAAACGTTTCAATTAGTCATACATATATAACCCATGTAGCTTATGTTTCTTAATTAACCTGAACACCTCACATTGTAGTTGAATCAAACAGATCCTTTATGTTGTGTGTCTATCTGTCTCCCTTTTTTCCTACGTGATGTTGTTGCTAAAGAACCTAAATTCTCTATGCCATCGACCAAACATTCTAAACCCGAAGACTCCATCCATGCCATCGACCAAATAGTCTAAAAATCTAAAGACTCCATGCCATCGACCAAACAGTCTTAACCCCAAAGACAAAGATGATGATGTGATTACATAAGTATATGTTTTGGAATTTCCTCTAACCTTTATGCTCATATCTTCCTTTTCAGTTTTTATTTTTGGTATGGTGACACTCTCTCTATGTAACCATAGAAATCTTCTTCCCGCAAAGGGAAGAAAACGGACTCTCAGGTAAATTTAAGACTTGACCCACTAAAGATTCACAGTGTATCCTCCTGGTGGAAAAAAAAAAAAACAAAACTTCATATGAGCTAACTAAAAAAAATCTCAAAATATGTTTGTTAATTATATCAAAGTTATAGCATACCGATCATTGTCTTTGTAGTTAGGACTTATGTTCATGACATTATCTTCGGTGTTCAGATAATCCAGTAGATAACTTAATTGTTCTGCTTGTTCCTCTTGTTCCTCTACAAATTAATAAAAAGTCATAAAATTTATCTATTTTTCTAAAAGTGAGATATTATTATGTTGTAAGAAGAGGTATAGTTACCATTTGTTGTTAGCTTGAAGTCATTGGAAGAGAACCCGAGATATGAGTAATTATTAGGTAAGGACTTAGACACTGATTGCTCATGATCCTCAAGAAACCGCTTCCTCGTTAGTTTGAAGATCTCGCTAACTCGTTGTGGCACTTAAAACAGCACAAAAATAAACAGTTAAATGAAACCGTAAAGCGAAAATTTTCGAAATGAAAGGTTTTGAGAATATACTAACAAGTGTTTAGTTCTGTTTCTCTGTCAATGTATTGAGATCCATATCGAACGTCGTTCGGAGGTTTGTTATTGTCAAGATACCTATTAGAGCGTGATTTTTCCCGGTAAGGCTTGACGAGAACACGTGCTCCGCATATGAAATGAGGATTGCCTTTAGCAAGAATGTGTTTGACGTCTTCTGTGTAAGCAAAAGTTACAAATCCAAACATTCTCTTTTGTTGACATGGAATCCTCACATCTTCCACTGATCCAACTTTGGAGAAATAGTTTGAAACATCATGTTCAGTGAAACTACTCTCTGCCGGAAATGTTAAGTAAATCTGTCTCGAACCAGCAAGGATCGCTCCGTGTTCGCTTCTCTCTCCCGTATATTCCACAAACTTTGATACATCTTCTGCTAGTATAACTGAATGTTGCCCATGAGGCCTACAAAATTCAAACACCATTAACCAAAACAATACTTAAACTATACTTCCTCGTAATTCTTTTGTTAAAATGTGTTAAGTAACTAACATGTCGATGAGGCGGATGGTGTTCTTTAAGCGAGCAAGAAGCTTGGTGAGGCTATAGCCAGCTTTTCCATGTCTTTGTGACTCAGTGAGATATCCTTCAGCTTGAAGAGTCCTACCATACTTCTCGTAGTACATCATTGGCAAAGAAGCTATGGAAATTGGAGCACCTCTTCTTGATTTAAGTAGCTCAATGATCTCTCTTTCTAGCTTCTCAAGTGATACAGGGGAAACAACATGCTCTTCATCGCTTAGGTTGTTGTTTGGATTAAACGTCTGCGCAAAACTATCTCTCTCCGGTGTGGTTTTTCCATGGAAATACCTACAGTTGTTGCCGTGTTTGCAAAACCCTTTGTTGAAGTAGTGGCAGATTTTCACAGGAAACTCCGGTAAACTCGGTGATCTTCGACTAGTTCTCAACGATAGACCTTGTTTCTCTTGAGAGAAAAAATTAGTTGAGAATTCAGGACTGGTCAAAGAATCCTCAAAATTCAAGAACTGAACATTGTTTTGCAATGATGAATCCATGTTGTTTGTATTCTCCCAAAAACTTGTTCCCATGGAGAGAACAGAAGGAGGAGAGACAGAAACCAAAAGAGATTGGTTTGATGAACCGGTGAATGATCTGAATTTACGGACTTGAATGTGATCAGAAGTAGGAATGTCGCAATGAGAGTTATTAGCCAATTCATATTTAACACAGTTGATCATGGAACGCATCACCGAATCTGGACAGAATGCGAGACGGATCATGTCACGGTCGTTGTGGTGTTGCATCAACAAGAGATAACCGATGATCTTCAATGCATTCTCTGGTTCAAGTTGGTGAATTCTGTTGTGCACAACATTCATAGCTTCTGTGAAATTCATCTCTTATTGGTCTTCACTACAAAAAAAAAACCTCATGCATAGCAAATCATTCAAAAAATTCATTATTTCAACAAGATTAAGTTAAACTCCTATAAATATATCACAAGTAACATATAACAAGAAACCAAAGAGTAGATCTCACTCATGAACACATGTTTATATTTTGTAATGTGTACAAATAGAAGGGGGTTGTATAGTAACTCAAACAAAGAAATCTACAATGTTATCAATCTCACTTACGAATATGTAATCAAAACAACATTTTTCCCCGAATAATCTTCTTCGTTCTTTTTTAAAAATTATTTACATGCATTATATTTTGTACCATTCTACTTTTAAATTCAATAGAGAATAAAAACCTAAACAGTACCATTCCAAAATTATTAAATTTTAGAAAGAAAAAAAAATAACAACGATGATCGAAAGATGTAAAAAAATTGATTACCTGTAAATAAGAAATCTTTTGGAATTGTATAGAAAGAAGTGTCTTTGATGAAAAATGACAAAACAAAATCAAATGAACCAATCAAAGCTGAAAGACTCTTCTCCCATAACCGTTGAATCTTTTTCACGCAATGAAAGCTTTTGCAGATATATTCTCTTATTCTTCTTTAGTTTCTTCTAATATGTGTATCTGTTTAAAACACCACTCCTAAACAAGAAAAACAGAACACAACCAACACTCTTAAAAAGGAACAAACTGTGAGACAACAACCTTTGTCTTTTTTTTTTTTTCTGATAAAAGACAATGACCTTAGTTTTCACTTCACATTTGCCTCTCTTTCGCATATATAAGTATACACAGCTCTTATACCTATACATCTGTACATGTGAGTGTGTGTATATTCAGCTTTTCCAAATATAGTAAATAAACTTACGATTTGAGATCTCTCTGACTTGGCATCTCTTTTGACTTTTATTTAACGTTTTTACCATGTTTTATTGTTTTTTCTTCTTTCAAAATTGCATTATCTTTCTTTTTTTATTTCTTGACTTCCAAAAATTTGGGATAAAAAACTCACATTTTGTTAATTCATTTTTTTAACATTGTAAATGATTTTTTTCTTTTGGGAAACTAGATATGGTTTCTTTTGATGACTTAAACTACTCAAGAAGATTAATAGTTATTTTTTGTCAAAAAAAAGAAGATTAATATTGATCAAAATTTAGTTGGTAGTTTTTATGTACAATGTTTTACAATAATAGTTTATAAATCTATGTAAACTTCGCATATACATGATACACAACTTTTATACCTATTTTGTATATATACACACACAATCATGTCAAATATAGAAAATAAACGTCTTGTGATCTCCGGCGAATTTGGTTCGAGATCTCTCTGACTTAGTTTCTGATTTGATATTTGCTTACACACTTTGCCAAAAATAGCATATGTAAAACATCTATAAATATAGCAAAAAACTAACTATTGTAATCAGTGACGATTTGGTTCGAGATCATTCTGACTTAGTTCTCTTAATTCAGGTTTAGTGCTTTCTTTAAATTTACGATAACTCTTCTTATATCTTATCTACACATTTGTTGGGTCTCAACAAAATTGCAATGGAGAGCTACATCCTAGATGAAAATGAAAACAATAATATAATAATGTATCTAATGGGATAGGCTAATCTTGTGTTTAAAATGATGTTAAATACTTACATTGTAGAACCAATTACAAGTAAAAAATAATTATTATGTCTAGAAAATATCATAAAAAGTTTTTGATGTAGTAAAAATATCAGAAATGAAGTGTACAAATAAATTAATGTAAATTTAAGAAAACAAACAATATTAAAGTCATATTTCACTAAATTTTTTTACATATAATATATATGTATTTTGATAATATTATTATTTTATCAAATTATATTAAATATTACCTATCTCAATTTGGAATCAAATTTTTTTATAAATTATAATAATTATTAATTTATCGAATTCTAATTCGTAGAAGTTTTACTATACTTCAACCTTTGTCATCTAACGATATGCGGAATGGTCAAATTCCAACTGCAGATCCACCACAAACGTTCCTAACGTTTGTACTTTGTACAAAGAATCATCAAATGGGCCTTCTAATTTTAAAATTTTGTCTCACTTAAACTTACTACTATCATCCGATACTTTAATGGGCTTACAATAAAATGACCTTACAAGTTACAACAGATTTTTTAAAGCAATTATATCCGATAAAGATTCCCAACAGAATAGCGACAAGATCATGAATTATTAACATTTTCATAATTTATTAAGAGACACGAAACTTGTGAATAAAGAAAAAGGTGACACGAAACCTTGATACCTATAAAGTAGAAACGTTCCTACTCATATTCAGAACAAAACAAAACAAAAATGATTAATCAATTAACGAAGAACGAGTTAATCGGATTATTTACATCCATTGCCCTTCTCATATACGTTACATGTCTCTTCCACACCAAACGATGTCGTACGAGACTACCTCCGGGACCAAATCCCTGGCCAGTGATCGGCAACATGTTCCAGCTCGCCGGGTCACCGCCACACGACTCATTAACTAAACTTTCACGGCGTCACGGGCCAATCATGTCTTTGCGGATCGGGTCAATGCTGACGGTTGTGATCTCTTCGAGTGAAGTGGCTCGGGAGATTTTCAAGAAGCACGACGCAGCTTTGGCCGGCCGGAAAATCTACGAGGCAATGAAAGGAGGGAAGAGTAGTGTCGGCTCGCTCATCACGGCTCAATACGGTGCGTATTGGCGGATGCTGCGGCGGCTCTGCACCACTCAGTTCTTTGTCACGCGCCGTCTTGATGCTATGAGTGATGTACGCTCTAGGTGTGTTGATCAGATGCTTCGGTTCGTCGAGGAAGGTGGCCAAAACGGTATGTATTAATTTAATTCTAGATGTCCTTTTATCAACAACATTTTATATGTAGGCTTGAATCCGAATGTGACGCATCAACAATACTAATCTGAATATGACTCTATAGATTTATTCTGATGAAACTTATAAAATGTGTTTTTTTTTGGACAACTAAAATGTGTATTTTATAATCCACTCTACATATTTCTTTCTTACCAGGTACAAAAACAATCGACGTGGGGAGATATTTCTTCTTGATGGCGTTTAATCTCATAGGAAACCTCATGTTCTCGAGAGATTTGCTCGATCCCGATTCAAAAAGAGGCTCCGAGTTCTTTTACCACACTGGAAAAGTGATGGAGTTCGCCGGAAAGCCCAACGTTGCCGATTTCTTCCCTTTACTAAGGTTTCTTGACCCTCAAGGAATCAGAAGAAAAACGCAATTCCACGTGGAAAAAGCGTTTGAGATCGCCGGAGAGTTCATCAGAGAACGAACGGAAGTTAGGGAGAAAGAAAAGAGCGACGAGAAGACGAAAGATTACTTAGATGTTCTTTTGGAGTTTCGTGGTGGGGATGGAGTCGACGAAGAACCTTCTAGCTTCTCATCAAGAGATATCAACGTTATTGTTTTTGTAAGTTTACTTTTTCCGATTGATAGGAATCTTTTTTTCGAATTCAAGAATTATACAAAAAAAAATATTGCTTTTTGGCTTTGTAATCCAAATATATCACAACTTTTCAAGAAACCAAAAATACCATAAAATTTAACTTTAAAAAGGGTTTCTAAACTTCTTCATCGACAGTAGTACATAAATTTTTGTGAATTTTCTTTTGTCATTTTATAAGTCAAACATTTTGAGTTTATTGATAGGAAATGTTTACGGCTGGAACGGATACGACAACGAGCACGTTGGAGTGGGCACTAGCGGAGCTTCTACACAATCCAAGAACCTTAACCAAACTCCAAACCGAACTCCGAACTTACTTCAAGTCCACAAACCAAAAGCTCCAAGAAGAAGACCTTCCAAACCTTCCCTATCTCTCGGCGGTTATCATGGAAACCTTAAGGCTGCACCCACCTCTGCCTTTCCTAGTCCCACACAAAGCCATGTCCACGTGTCACATCTTCGACCAATACACTATCCCCAAAGAAACACAAGTCTTGATCAATGTATGGGCCATAGGGCGCGATCCTAACACATGGATCGACCCGATAATATTCAAACCCGAGAGATTTATATCGAACCCGAACGCCCGCGACTTCAAGGGACAGGATTACGAGTTCTTGCCGTTCGGATCAGGTCGACGGATGTGTCCAGCTTTGCCTTTGGCATCACGGGTCTTACCGTTAGCCATTGGGTCAATGGTGAGATCGTTTGATTGGGCTTTAGCAAATGGGCTTAATGCAGAAGAAATGGATATGGGAGAAAGGATCGGTATTACATTGAAAAAGGCTGTTCCTTTGGAAGCCATTCCCATTCCTTATCGAGGGACCTAGATTTGTTTTCTCTATTTGTTTTCTTTACATGCATGTGTACAGTGTACTTGGACACTTAAATCACCAAAGCAATCCAATATGTATGTATAATGTTAATGTATACCAAAAAAGAAAATCTCAAATGTGACTAATTTGGCGTTATTGTCTGAGATTTGATTCCTTTAACTTACATAGTCGATCACCCAGTGGCCAGTAGTGAAGTTGACCACATTTCGCCTTATAGTCTTTTTTGTTTTTTTAAAAGATGCATACGTTAGCACGTAGACGTGGCATGCAATTAGTAACCAACCCAAAGTCCTTTCCAAAAGTCAGGATCTTTTTTTTTTTAAAGTCAGGATCTTTGCCTTGTTGTTAGTCTACAATCTCCATAGACCAGTCACCAATGGGCTCTAGATCAATTGAAAAGATAAATTCATTATGCACCTTAAACTTAAATAATCATATCAAAGATGCATCAAAAACAAAAACGAAAACAAAAATCGTACCAAATAGTATAAAATCAGTTGCAATTAAAAAAAAAACGTGCCTTTTGGAGAAGTCCTTGAGTTGGTTGCTAACTATCTCACTAACATTTGACTAGATGTAAGAAAAACCTGGAACATCGATTTGATCGTTTACAATTCTGGAATATTCTGAGGATTCTATACTCTTTTTTAAGTTGTGGTCCAAACTCATCTACATCAAACGACGCCGTACTAGGACCAAATCCCTGACCGGGCGTTCAGCAACATGTTTCAGAGAAACCAACTTCAATCAATTAGTTGAGCAAAATCGTAACAACTAAACGCAACGCTTTTCCAAAATGTTCACAAACAACAGACCTCTAAATTCATTATTCCATTACAAATCCGATATGATTCGTAGATTTAAAGAAACAGCAACACAAAACAAAAAACAGACACAAAATTGAAACAGAGAAGAAGAAAGTGATGAGAATTGATTTCATCTAGAATCAGAGAGCTTTAAGCATATCCTCAGCACTACTATTAGTAAAAGCACCTCCTTCTTCAAGATTCAGAACTTTCACAACACCATCATCAGCCAATATCGCATATCTTCTTGACCTAACTCCAAGTCCTACAGGCTTATCCCTCAAATCCAATTCAACTCCAAGCTTCCCTGTGAATTCACCGTTACCATCGGAAAGCAACATTACCTCATCGTTGATTCCGAGATCTTTCCTCCACGCTTCCATCACGAACGCGTCGTTGACGGAGATACATGCGATTACATCGATGCCTTTAGATCTGAGTTCTCCAGCTTTGGATACGAATCCAGGGACGTGTTTTTGTGAGCAGGTTGGTGTGAATGCTCCGGGTACGGCGAATAGGATTGTTTTCTTTCCGGCGGTTAGGGATGAGACGGTTACTGTTTTGACGTCTCCGGTGGATGGATCGAGGTAGGAGAGGGTGGAGTCGGGAAGCTTGTCTCCGACGGATATGGAGGCAGTTACGGGTGTTGTAGCGAAGGATCTGGTGGTGGCGGAGGAGGAATTGGTGCGGCGGTTGCGGAATTTGAGGGAGAGATTAGGAGCGAGAGAGCGAGTGAAGGAGAGCGGCGCGGTGAAGGAGACGGTGGGGGAAAGTAACGGCTTAGCGATGGCGGAGGAGGAGGAGATGAATCTAGAAACGGAGAGAGAAGTCGCCATTTGATGCTGTTTAGGTGAAAGAGTGAGTGACTTCAGAGGTTTGTGATTTGTTTTGGATTGAGTAGTGAGAATGATGAAAGGTTATGTCGTTATTGGGCCTTAATGGGCCTACATTGTTTTCACCGCCTGGGCCTCTTTGTTTCATTGTTTCGATGGAGTCATGTCATCAAGAACAAAGAGACGAGGAGTTGGAAGATTTCTTCAAGTTTAGGTATAAAAAACAAAAACAAGAAAAATCGTCTCCTCTAAAAAATCTGGCTTGTTTTTGGATAAACGAGAGAACAAAGGATTATGTTGTAGCTTGGAGTAACAGAGAAAAGTATTTAGAGAGAATCATCTCCTTTCTTGAATAAAATAATCACATCATTAGATGATTCGTTTTCCAAAAGTTTCTGGTTTGTTCCGGGATATGCTTAAGTCTTGGTTCGATCAGGAGTCGAAAGATTGAGAGAGAATTATTAGGACATAATGTCCCACATCGGAAGTTGGAAGGGATCCTAAGTAATATATAAAGGGATATGGGCCACTCCACTCATTGCCAATTGGTTTTGAGTTGGAAGTCCATAGAACTTAACATGGTATCAGAGCCCGATCCACACATGTCCAACCCGATCCGACCCAAAGATGGTCCAATCATCGACAAGGCCCAAAATTGATGCCGTCGATCTAAGCCCGAATATTCCGAGATTAATGGCCAAAGAGCCATCATCTCGAGGGGGCGTATTAGGACATAATGTCCCACATCGGAAGTTGGAAGGGATCCTAAGTAATATATAAAGGGATATGGGCCACTCCACTCATTGCCAATTGGTTTTGAGTTGGAAGCCCATCAGTTTCACTCGATCTGCGTTTGAGATTTGGTATAATGGTTACATCTTCTCAGCTGATACCCCTTCCAGCTCATGATTCTGCTAAATCAACATGATTTGGTATAATACTTACATCTTTGGATCTCTTACGCGACCACCGGAAAGTCATTCATACTCTGGTTCATGTTTGATGTTATATGTTCATGGATACTGTCCTTTTTCAGTATGAATTTAGCTTCTGGAATGATATTTGTAGATTCTGGAATTGTCTTCGTTGGTGATGATGTTGAGCTTCAGTTAGAACGGTTTAGGCAGAACTATTATATTGATGATTGATACATGATACTTTGACCTAGCTGCATCTGTGGTTGATCTTCTTGCATTTTGCCGTGTTAGCGAGAGAGCTTCTTCATTGGAAATGGTCTCAACATTACCAACCATTCTTGAAGATTGCTATGAATTTCTACTTCTAATCGCCATGGATTATGACACGGTTGTCATGTTATTGCTGAACTTTGGAGGATTATAAGTGATAGCTCCTCCTATAGACGGTTTTGTTTCCATGCCATTGTGATTGATGTACAGACTCTGCAATTCTTTCTACAGTCATCACTTGTTCACGACAAGCTTTCTCATGTAAGTGGGATTCACATAACGGAGAAGCCGACTCCATTGCTTATAATTTCGGATCACATTCTGGTGGTACTATGAAGTTAAGAACTGTTGGTTTCCTCTTTGGATCATTGCTATGGCCTCCATAAAATTATCATTCTCAAGAATTTAGTAGCAGAATTATTTTTTGGACATGGTTTTGGCAAGAGAATGTTTGGGTTAAAAGAGAGAATGACATTTTCTTGTCTACGGCTTGCTACTCCTATGGATGGTTCGTGATATCATTTGGCTACAAACTCATGAAGACTTCAAGGTTCTTAGAGTAGTTTTCTTCACTTGTGATACTCAACAGTTTTATCAAGCTTACCAAGCTCAACAGTTCAATCATCATCCTCAAGCCATTCACGTCACATTAGAACTTAACATGGTATCAGAGCCCGATCCACACATGTCCAACCCGATCCGACCCAAAGATGGTCCAATCATCGACAAGGCCCAAAATTGATGCCGTCGATCTAAGCCCGAATATTCCGAGATTAATGGCCAAAGAGCCATCATCTCGAGGGGGCGTATTAGGACATAATGTCCCACATCGGAAGTTGGAAGGGATCCTAAGTAATATATAAAGGGATATGGGCCACTCCACTCATAGCCAATTGGTTTTGAGTTGGAAGCCCATAGAACTTAACAATCAGCAGCTTGTCTTGACGTTTAGATATAATAACTAATTTAATTTAAGTTATCGTAGGCTTCCTTTTTTTAGGTATATTTTTGCAAATTTTCAAGAAACTTTGTGGTTTAATCATTGGTTGATGAAAATATAATTCTCGTAGCATATTCTTTTTAATGCTACCGAAAATGTAAAGTACTTTTGATAGATTTATTTTGGAGATGAGACTTGATAGTATTTAAGCTAAAATAGTAAAATGGTAGAGAAAAAAAACTTCAAGAAAGAGGGAGGATTGGGTTTGAGGCACATTGGTTCTTGGATCGAGACATGTGCCTTAAAACTTATATGGATGTTGTTCTTTCGGGCTGGTTCTCTTTGGGTGGCTTGGATACGGAAAAAATACCTTTCACTTTCCTCGTTTTGGGCACTGAATGCCAATAACTATGCTTATTCGTGGATTTTCCGAAGGTTACTCAAGCTACGACCTAAGGCTCTCAAATTTCTCAGCATCAAAATTGGAAATGGTGATTCCACTTTCTTTTGGTGGGATCCATGGACCCCTTATGGATCGCTTTATCACTTCCTTGGTGCAGATGGACCTTCTCGTTTATGGATCCCTCTGTTATCTACTGTGGCAGAAGTATGGAATGTTGATGGTTGGTCTCTTCCCAATGCTAGAACTGAGAGACAAGTCCTTTTATACGCTTTCATCTCCACTGTTACTTTCTCCTCTTCCAGTGACAAGGCCATGTGGGCGGTAAATGGACTACCATGTCGATCTTTTTCTTCAAAAGATGTGTGGAATTCAATTAGAGATTCACGAGATTTGTGTTCTTGGGCACCTCTTGTCTGGCACAAAGCGGTTATACCAAAACATGCAACTACTACATGGATTTTTATTTTAAATCGCAATCCTACTTTGGATCGTATGGCTTCTTGGGGCTATGATATTGAAAGAGATTGCCTTCTTTGTGGTTTAGCTCAGGAAACTCGGAATCATCTGTTTTTTGAATGTTCTTTCTCGGCTCAGGTATGGAGTTTAATAACACAAAAGCTGGGAATTTTATCTCCTCCTACTATTTGGGATCAGGTCCTCCTATGGCTTCCAAATGCTCTACCAACTAAGTATAGCAAACTGGCAGTTCTACACGGGTGGCAGGGTGTAATTTATGAACTATGGCGTGAGAGGAACCGACGTTATCATGATGGTCTCACCTTACTTCCATCTACAGTTGCAAACCTTGTCATTTCCACCATAGAAAACAAGTGTACTGCTTTGCACCAGCTTGGATCAAAAAGTGCTTTACCTATTCTTCAATGCTGGATGCGCACACGCTAAATGAGGGTACTGAGAATTGAGCTGAATTCTCTACTTATCCATCATTATCAAGATTTTGGTTTCGATACCTTCTTTTGTTACGTACCTTTTATTGGTTTATTTTTTTAATTCTAGTTCTAGTTTTGGTTCTTGCTTCTTATTTGGTTCTTTGTAAACTTTTTATGTTTAATTTATATAAGAAAACCCTTTCACAAAAAAAAAAAAAAAAAAACTTCAAGAATTTTATTTCCTAGTGACGTTTTTGTTGTGTATACATGTCGACGAATCCCCTCTATAGATGATGTCATGATGTTTAAGATTTTATAATCTAGACTGGGACAAGTAGTAGTACTGAGTTTATTCATTTTTAATTTTTTTGAGCGTGAGGTTAATCATTTTAGTGATGACTGATGACTGATTGCCGACAACAATCATAAATAAAATTCATTTTCCCCGCAGTTAATAAATTATACAGTTGAGAAAGAAAAAAAGTGAAAGTGTATGTTGTTGGAACTTGGAATCCTAAATACAGTATATGCTTAAGCTTTTCAGCATCTTCGTTTAATAGATCATTGATCAATCAGAACTATCCAACAGAAAGAAAAAAATATATATTTTAAATTTAAATGCCGTAGAAAAAAAAAGATGTAAAAAAAGAAAGAAGTAAAGATGCCAAAGGAATATGCGTCTTATATTCTAATATCAAAACATTCGCTCGTTACCTTGTCACAAATTTATTCAACCTATTTACACAATTAAGCTCCTTCAACAAATCAGTTAATGCAGTATGTTTGAAAAAAATACAGACACTGAGCTTAATTTATAAGCTTGTCAACGTTCTAATTTAATAAACACAAAATGACTCAGAATCTATGTACATTCAATAGACGATTGAATAAATATTCATTTTCCATATTAGTTAATTACTTGTTCTAGTGTTTAGCTGATGTCCCAAAGTCGTATTTTACTTGAGCAAAGAGCAAAAAGAAAAAGAAAAAAGGAAACTCTTGGTCATCTGCAAAAGGCGTGCAACGCATCGTTTTAACGTTTTCCATTTCTTTTAGATCGTACGGCTGTTATTAGATGCTAACACTTTTAATCCGACGGTTATGATATAAACTGAACAGTTTCCCCTTTCCCGTTATATATATGAAGCTATAATAAAGCCTAAGAATCCTCTGTAAAATCATCGAACTCTCTCTCTCGCTTCTATTCTCCGTCTCTTCTCTAAGATCTAATTCAACTATGGCTACTATCACTGCTGTTAAAGCTAGACAGATCTTCGACAGCCGTGGCAACCCCACCGTCGAGGTTAGCTTCTCATGAGTTTTTTTTTTTTTTTTGCTACTTGAGATGCTTAGTGAGTGATGATCGGTGTATTAGTGAGTGATGATCGGTGTATTAGTCGTTTTTTATTAACAGACTTTTCTCTGATTTGGTTATTTTCTATATTTGTTTATCTGTACGATGGATCAGAATTAGTCCCTAGTTTTTTTTTTCTCGAATCATTGTACAACTCTTTCGTTTATTTCGATGTCTCGATTTGAATTGAATCCAAACGTTTGTTTGATTTGAGAGCATGAAGAGGACTCATGATTGTGTGATACATCTGTTCAATGTTTTAGGTC